TTTAACTAAGCGGGCTTTAGCCTTAAATTATATATGCTTTTTTATAAGAGCGCGACCGCCTTATACTACTACCTAGGTACCTTTATCTTTAGCGCCGCTATTCCTAAGTTTATTAATAAGAGGAGTTAAATTGCGGCCGTTTCTATTATTACTATTATTAATATCTTACCCTTTATTTAGCTAAGTATTAGGATTATCTTAGCCCTTATTTAGCTAGGCCTTATCGTTAATATCGGCCTACTTATTTTAAGGAGCAGCCTAAGCAATAATCTCTTATTAGCTAAAGCCGCCTTATTAAGATAAAGTAGCTAAGTTATTAATACTTACCTAAGAGCGCTTAAGTATAGTCTCTTTATTAGTATTAATATTACTAATAAGGGTAATAAACTTATACGTTTCCTAGCCTATAAAAGTAAGCTTATTAATAGTTAAAGTTAATATATTTAGTAAGGTAATAAAAGTATAACCCTCGCTAATATTAGGTCTTAAACTAAGAGTCTCTTAAGACTAAGATTCCCTTATACCTTTCTTAGCTTTCTTCGCTAAAAGGGAACTAGCGTTACTATAAGACTTTTAGGCCGATTACTTATACTTTAAGGGTAAACCTACTACTACCTACTCCTATATATAGTATAGGAAATCGGCGTTATAGTTCTTTATATTCTTTAGTATAAAAGGTATTATTATTAATAAATCGTCGATAAAAAAGTAATATAAAAAGGTATAAGGGATTAATAAAAAAAGGTATAAAACTTTATAGTAATCGTAAGTAAAAGAGTTAAAGAAAAAAAGAAAATAAAAGAAGTAAGAGATATATATATATACTCTTTATATTATAGTTATATAGCTAATATATAAGTAATACTATAATAGTTACTTAGTAGTAACCGCTAGTATAATAACTATTAACGCTATAGAGTATAGACTAATATATACCTATATAAGTATATATACGCGATATATAACTAAAACTATATTTTTTAACTAAATATATATAATATAGTAAAAGTAATATATATTAAAGATATAGCTAAGATATCTATATAAAAAGGGAGATAATTATAAGAGCGCTACTAAGAAGTATAAGCTAATAAAGCACTTAGGTATATAGTACTAATATATTAGTAGGGTATTAATAGGGAATTATACCTACCTTACTTATAAGTTATAAACTACTTACTACTTTAACTAAAGAAGAGAAATCCCTTTTCTTATAAGCTTTAGTCTTATAATAAGGAGAATATAATATATATAGCATAGTACCTCTAGCTATATCTACTACCTAACTAATCGTACTATAATATATATTCCCTTATATATATACTCTTAAGGTATATAAGTAAAAGCGGAATTTTAGGAAATTAAGGAATTATATAAGACTATATAATAAAGGGAGAAAAGGAGTATAAGGTAGGATTTTTAACGCAATTTATTAGTAGTATATTAGTATATAAAAGAGGTGTTAAAGTTAATAATTCTTTCTCTATTTACTAGTAGACATACTATCTTATATAGATAATTATAGTTAAACGGAAGAACCTTTTAGGACTAGATTTAAGCTACTATATAGCCCTAAGACTAAGGAATTTAGTAATACCTCGAGTATATCTAGAAGTATCTTAGTTCTACTAATATTTATATTTAAAGGAGGTTAGTCGTACTAGTATTTTTAAGAAGTCTTAGCTAGTATTCTAAGCTAGCTCTATTTCTTCGATTCCCGATTATACGATAACTAATAACCCGTCTAATGTATAATAATATATAAAATAACGAGCGATTCTTACTCTATAATATAGGATTTTATCTATAATTAATATACTACTTATTAGCTTATATAATTAAGAGAGTATATTATAGCTAATATTATTATAGCTAGCTTATTAGTATAGTATATAATAGTTATAGCTTAGGTTTACTATACTATACTATATAAAGGTCGCGTAAGAAAGTTATATTTAATAATAAAACTAGTACTAAGCTATATAAGGAGTACTACTATTAAATTTAGCTATAGCTTACTCTTACCTTCCTTATACCTATTTCCTCCCTTAAATACGATTATCTATTAAATATTATCGCGTACTTTATATACGTTAATTAATGCTATCGCTTATATCTAATAGGCGGCTATATCTTTTTTATAATAAATATACCTTAGAATTCTCTTAATCTAAGCTTAGATATACTCTTATAGTAGCTCTTTCTAAGCTAAATTCTAAGCTATAATAGCTTCCTACTAGCTTTATAGCGCGCCTTTTCTTATAGTTTATCTCTTTATCTAAGGCTAGGTAGGCTCTATTATATTAAAGCTAGGGCTATTACTATATTAAAGAAGCTATTAAACTTAATAAAGGTTATAAGCTTACTACTAAATATAATAGTTATATACTAAAGCCTTATCTTCTTAAACTATTATACTTAGTTAGTTTTATATATATTCCTTAGAGAAAAGAAAGAGCTTTAAAATAAGGATCTTTTATTAATATTAATACTAGTTAATCCTAGCGCCCTTATAGTATATAAGCTTACTAGTCTTTATAGTAAATTTCTAAGTTAGCTTTATCCTAGGCTTTATATAAAGTCTTAGTTACTTTATTTTAGTTATAAGCTCCTATTTCTCTTTCGCGGCTAGCTCTAGCTCTTTATTTATCTCCTAAATAACTCTCTTAGTATCTCTTTTCTCTTATATAGTCTCTAAGGACTAGTAATATAAAGGGCCCTTATAATTATACGAAAAGTAGCCCTAGAATATAAATTCTAAAGAGCTCTTTTAACGCTCGTAAATATAGCTCTTTATAAACGCCTTATCGCTTTTACGCTAGACGCGATAGCTGCCTCTATAATAGAGTAAGATAATAGAGGTCTCGTCTAACTAAATTATATTCTTTTAATCTTCGAGAGTCTAGTCCTTTCTCTTAAGGCACTAGCGTAGTCGATCCGCCTTTATCTTCTTCGTTAATCTAGGCTTCCTCGTTAGCTTAGTCTTCTAAAAGCTAAGCTTCCTTAAGACCTTCTAGACCGTAATAGAGGAAATAGGCAGTCCTTCTTAACTAAGCTCCCTAGCAATATTAGCATACGTCTTCTCCCAGCTATACCTATCGCGGCGGACCTTCTAGGCTATCTTCTCTTATACCTCTTCTATTTACTTAGTTAGGCGGCCGGACCGTAGGGTTTCCTTAAGAAATTTATCTCGAATAAGTAACGGCCGGCAAGCCGTATTAAATCCACCTTAATTGCCTTAGCGTAGATACGGTTAACCTAATAGGCAGAGACTCCCGTAAGGCTAGCAACCTTAACGGTAGTCTTGCCGCTAAATTTAAGCCTAACTACGAGAGCCCTTATTGCGATATCTATATTTAGGGCTATAATAAGGAAGAACGCAATAATAAAGATACGTAAATTTATATAAAAGAAGAGGGGAATATTCCCTTATAAAATAGGTGCGGGGTTTCCTAGCCCGATTTTAAGCTATACGTGTAGGGATGCGTGTAGGGATTAGCCCCCTATTAGATAGAACTTTTAAAATGCTCCTCTGTATGTACTGGATAGTCAGACCGGTGTACTGGCTAGTCACGGCCAAAGTTTTTCGACTCGGCCTTGCGGCGCAGATCGTCTTCTTTGTGAATGGCTTCGGGCGGCGGCCAGGCCCTTCAATCGGTAATACGGTACGGGTATGGTGCTGTGTCCGCATATGCTACTAGCTTCGCGCGAGTCGGCGTGCGATGAATGTGGTGTAGTACGAACGGGAACAGAAATGTTGTGGATGGTGAAGTGCCCGAACAAACAGTCAGGCGTCATAACCCAGACTCTGCTCGGCCAGCTTCGCTAAGACCTTGGCAGAAAAGCCCCCGCGATTCCTGGCGCCGGTGCACTTTCGGGGTTGTCTGCCGCTGTGTCTTGGCTGGCTCAAGAGTAATGGGCGTGGAGCGGATATACGATGGAGAATACTGTCAACTTCATATTGATTTAAGCAAACCCGGAGTCTGTATCAAAAATTTTCCAAGAGTGGGAGGCTGCACCACTGGAGGACGTCCACCGGCTACGGGTAACACGTTCTGTCCCTGCGGCGGGTCGGGTGTATCGTGTACGGACGCGACGGGCGTCGCCCGTTGCTACAGTCCCCTCGTAGGGTTTTTAGTGTAGGTTCTACAGGCTAGCCGAATTATTCTCCATCGTATTTCCGCTCCACGCTCATTAGTCTTGAGCCAGCCAAGTGGCAGCCATGCCTGATGCTCCTTGCTTTCGCATAAGCTGGCCCACCTGCGGCTGTAGGAGTTCCCTCCACTCTTCCCAGGGATTTACCGCGGCCTGGAGGGGTTTATTCCAGATTTATGGTCCCCCTAGGATACTTACGGCAACTGGGGTTGAATTCTGAAAACAGGTGAAATCTGCCGTTTAGCCTCGGAGTCTCACCAAGAGAACATGCAAGTGGGCATGGATTGTGCGAAGATGGGTCTGATGTGTTGTATTTCGTTGAGTCTCCCTTCTTGCAATGCCCTCTTCTTATCCCTTGGAGGCCGTGACAGACTGCTACCAGGTATATCTTATCCCGGCGGAAAGAGGGCATATTAGGAAATATGGGGTGAACTCCAAGGAAGGATGGCCCTTAAAAACAGATGTCCCGACTCGTAGTGTTAAGTTCCCACTACCTGACATATTGTCAGCTGCCACTACGCACTCCATCGCGGTAACTGCGCCCTAATTCTGTCCTCGGCCCGATGGAACGGGACCGGATATCCGGCGCATTGATTAAATATCGGCGCATCCCGCTGCCGCGAACCTCTAATTGTGGAGAAGTATGTTATTAAAGCATTAGAAGCCGGATGAACTGTGTGATAGTTTGCAGCCGTCGAAAGTATACGATATATATAAGAGCCAACGTGTCGTGTCGTAGACCAACCCAACCCATCCGTCTACCATTCCTTAATCACTCACTCCTTCCTCATCTCGTGTCCTACATTCCATCTTTCGTTAAGCCCGAATCATTTCCTCTATATACAATGAAGTACGCTATCGTCGCCTTGGCCGCCCTAACCGGTCTCGCCTCAGCTCAGCCGCCCCAGCAGCGCGATTCCATTTCGCGACGCGCCGACTTTGACATAGAAAAATGGTGCAAGCCCAAAGGACTTAACGGCGACGACTGCTACGCCGAATCCCTTTGTCTAGCCATGGCCGCAGGGGACGGGCGCTACGAGGACTGCTACAAATGGGTCCCAGAGAACTACCGTCGTCGCGACTCCCCTTCGACATCCGAGATACTCCCGCAGTGCACCCGCCTTAAGATTGCCGAAGAAGACTGCTACGCTGAGGCCGTTTGTCGAGAGTCCCTTAGCCTTACGAAGTGTCTCGATTGGCTCCCTCAAAAGTACCGTCGTCCCGCCCGGCTTACGCCGGCGCCTGCGAGCCGCAATGACACCGAGACCGCTCCTGTGGGCAAGTGCATGCTACCAGAGGCCACACTAGAAATTTGCGGCGGCGACAAAGAGAGGTACTGCGAGGCTATTACCGCCCATACCTATCCCACCGAAGAAGACCGGCAGGCGGCCAAGGACAAGTGCATCGAGTGGTCTTGATAAATCTAGTTATAGAAAGAGCATCTTAAGATAGGACAACACACTGAAAACACACCTTAAGAGAAGCCTTCCATATAAGCAGCTTGTCTAGATAGTTTGTTATCATTGAACTAAACTACGTCCTCTTTTTAACTGAAGTTACCATGACTATCCCTTTCCTTCCTCTTAGTCTTCTTGCTTACGTTGGCGGTTCCCGCGTCCGCCGTCATTCATGTGCCCGTAAATGCTTCTCTCTTTCTTCGCGACTTTACAGTCATCGCCGAGCCGGCACAGCGCCCCCTAAACGGTTATGTCGCTTGTTCCTCCAGCCTGCTTGTGGCCGTCATCTCCCGGCGGGGACAACAGCGTGTTCCAGACTACACATACATGCATCCATACATTTCTTAATCTACCCAATCCACTTGGGAAAAAGCCAGTGGATTAGCAGTGCTAGTGGATTCCACTGCGTGGATCGAGTGGAGTGGCTTTCAACCCTGTCTACCTGAATAGAAGCTCAACATACAGCAGTGTTAAGCTCGGCCGATGGCACCACCTTTGGCCTTACCCGACCCCTGACCCGTGTCCGCTGTTCAAAATCGTACGCGAGCCCAATCAACTGAGCCTCGGACCATTGCCGCCCCAGGAAGGTCAAGCCAAATGGCACCGACGGGCCGGTGTCCACCAATTTGCGCGGCGCATCGCGGTATACCGGCGCTGTCTCGAGATAATTCCCCATCGGCACCGTTATTCCTGGTGCGCCAATCGTAGAAGCCCAAAACGGCGCCGAAATCGTGGGCATCACGACGGCGTTAAGGTCATCACGGTCGAGCGCACCTAAGAGTCCGCCGGGCCCCGCGAGCTTCAGGGACTTCTGATGCCACTTCAGGAATCCCTTACTGGTATTGCTCCTCGGCTTCTTAGCATCGAGAATATGGTCCCAAATGCGCGTATTGCGGTCAGGATACTCCTCTAACGGGGAGTTGCGCGTCCATTCACGTACATCAGCCAGGGTGTGAACATTCGATGGGCTGGAGGTAAGCTCGGCGAGGTAGGCGGCAAGGTTGGCGGGAAAGTCTGCATAGCGCGTGTGCTGAGGAGCTAGCAAAATCTCCTGCGCCATAGAGAAGTCGGTCTCGACAACCGTGGCCCCGGCTTCGGTTAGGACTTCGAGTGCCTTCTTGAAGGCGTCTAGCTCGGGGGATAGCTTTGCCTCTGAACCTTCTATCGTCAGGTTAATAGCATTCCAGGGCACGCCGATCCGAGCCCTCTTAAGTCCCTTGCCGTTGAGAGCATCTAAATAATTTGGAACGTTCGGGATTGCAGACGTATAGGTATCGCGGGGATCCGATCCCGCAATAGCTTGTAGTATATACGCAGCGTCTCGTACCGTCCGCGCCATAGACCCAACCGAGTCCTGGCGCTCCGATATTGGGATTACTAGGTCGCGCGAGGTAAGTCCCACTGTCGGCTTGATACCCACGATGCCGCTGCGGTGTGACGGCGCCAGGATGGAGCCAACCGTCTCAGTGCCGATGGCCGCCCAAGCCAGGCCCAAGTCAGTAGCTACGGCGCTGCCGCTCGAGCTCCCTTGAGGGTCCTGGTCCGGGTGGTATGCGGCCAGGACTTGGCCTCCGTGTGCAGACCAGCCATTGCTTGTGTTGTTGGCGCGAAACGACGACCATTGACTGAGAGTAGTTTTCCCTAGTAAAATGGCGCCAGCTTCCCGGAGTTTCCTGGCTATAGTAGAATCGCGAGGCACGGTTGCCCCCAATAAAGCATACGATCCGGCTGGCCTTCTATTAGCTGGACGGACTGGTTTATAGACCATGTTGACTGACCCGTATTATTCATCTTATCCATGGTCGCGATGTTGTTCTTGAGCAGAATGGGAATGCCGTGTAGAGGTCTTCCTAGCCGTAAGCGATAGTTATGACGCGAACGACTGAAATGGCAAGCCCTTACCCCCTGATTCTATTCTTCGCCCTCTCCTCGTCGAGCGATGCCGCAATGGCGAGCGCATCTGGGTTGACTTCGGTGACAGCATGCAACTGATCATTGACTTGATTGATGCGCGCCAGATAAGCCTGTAACGGGTGAGAAATACCGACATTGCACGAAGCGCCTGAGCCCGGCCCACCTTGACCAGGTCGGTGCTTTTAAAGCAGCCCTTCTTGAGACCGCCCGAGAGGTCCTCAAGCGTCGCATCAATCAGACTCGGGAACCGAGCGTTTGAGGCTTCAGGAGAGAGAATAGCATCAGCCAGGTAAATTGGCAATGGAAGGGTCGGTTCCAACTCAACTAGCTTGCCCATTTGCAGTCGCAATATTCAGCAATGCCACCCAGATAGTTACCAGTGCAAGAACGGTGGCCGAGAGCGAAGCCATCTCTACTAGAGGGGAAATACGGAGAACAGGTGAAGCAAATTGCCATAGCAGTGCACGAACGGCTGTGAGCTGCTGCGGGTTCTTATAGAAACTTAAGGTGTTTTATGGTTAAATACCCGTATAGCATGACCTACTGATAGGGGTGAGCGGGGATAACTATAGAGGGGTTCTTAAGATACTTGCAATACTTTACTGTCGGTTTCGTCGTGCTTTTGCTTCTTACGGGACGAGCAAGTGGTCGGTCATACGTTAAGAGGGGACGTATTAAGCAGAACGTTGCGTCTATGCAGACTGGGTTAGGTTTCACCATTTAGCTATGGTTACTGTCAAACATAACAAATACCACTTGACCACCAGCAAAACAGGGGCACCCCCATTGGAGGTGTTATTGGTATAGTTTATAAGTCTTTATCCTGCTGACAGTTACCTATTTAGCCGGACTAAAACCTAAAACTACCCGTTGGCCCAGGCGTACGTAAACGGAGGTCGTCCCGCCATTCCTCGACCAGCAGGTAATAGTAATAATGCCTAACTAAGTTAGCAGAACGAGCCCGTCCAACGAAGGACGGTTAGGAAAGCATGGCTAACCCTACGACGGATCACGAGTTTAGCCCCTTGGTGGGTCTAGCCAAGGGTACAGCAATACATAATTAGACCACGCTCAGCTGATGGAAATAGGATCTTGGTCGTTTTCCTCATTCATTCTCAGGTCAAACTTGTCGGGCTCACTCCGTGCTTTTCGCAATGCGTTGTCGATCAGGCCCTTGACGGTGCCTACGCCGCCCGCAAACCAGTTAGCAAGCCAGCCTTCTGCTGGAGGCAACCAGGGATGGACCAAGGAGCAGGCCTTTGCGCTTCCTCGAGCTGTTACTCGAGGCTCAAGGTAACGAGCTTCTCAATAGCTCCAAAGCATTAGGCACCCCGCACGACCAGAGTTCCAACAGTAATAAGACCCTTCTTCACTTCGTTCCTCAAGGCACGGCGGTGGACAAGAACGAGAACCTGGAAACGTCATAGTTGAGAGGGCGGGATCCATCCGGAGCATTTCCTATCAGGCGAATAGGTGGAGGAGGCGACCCGGGTAATGGCTGCCGATTGCTAACCACCAGCGCCGGATTCAGGATAAAGTTTGGCGTCTCGGGCAGTGGATAAATGAAACAATGAGTCTTCCTCGTGACCCTTCAAGTTCGGCTACCGGCCCATCACCACCATATCATGGATGGTGTGACTGCAGCGGGTGTGCCGTGCCGAGTGGTGTTGGTCGGCGATCCGGTGCCGGCAGCCGCGGGGACGAGAGTGTGTCCAGAGCGAGCCATTCAGGAACAGGGTAGCTCTAGGTTTATATGTATTGTGTAGCCCTCGAATATTGTTATGTGTGTAACTTTGGCATTCCGGTATCGACCGTCCTCGTGGTCGTGATCCGCTCTTGCGCCTCGTCAACTCGCCCGACTCGCTTGCACCACTGTGTTCTGCTCCTTGAGTTTGTATATTAGTGAGCGTCCATTGTACGTGCTCGTCGCCAAACCTGCTGCACACCCAAAGTAAATTCCCAGCTGCATGTACTGGGGAGCCGAAATGAGCGGCTCAACTGCCGATGACCGAATAGGCGAGAAATGTGCCCCCTGCAGAACTCTATTCCCTTTCGCTAAAATCTTGTGGGGCACAGCGGTCTCGATTGGAGAAACTGGGGTACTTGGGCTCTGGTAGGTCTGAGCCGCGGCATCTTTTCCTTTTCTTTGGTATTAAGCCGCAACTGCCTCCGACTACAGCCACGTTATTGACAAGCTTTTCGACGCGCAAAGATCACGACCTTGAGCCGAGAGTTCTAGGACGTTTGGAAAGCAAGAACGAAATATAGATAGAAACTCGAATAAAACAGCATCACTTGATCCTAGGTTTCGCTCCATGTTGTGCACCCGACGCCGGAAACGCCAAAGCCATGCACATATAAGTCCATGTTTATAGGGCTGTTCACAGGATTGCATTCCGGGGTTGATCCCTGGACCCAGTTATCGAACAAATGCGCTCTCGTGCGAAACCAGACAGAGGAAGAAAAGTTAATTTGCAAATCTCTGCCGGGGTTTCGGGGCGCCACTTCATCTCATCGGTCGCCATCGGCGGGGTAAAGCCGGGGATTGCTAGCTATAGCCGGTTAGAGCTCAACGTTCAGAGGTATCTCGGATTTCCGGATGGTTGACATGCCTTGGCTGCGGGCTCTCCCGGTCCGGATATCGGCCTCTTGGACGGCTTCTGTCATGACGATGCCTGTCCCTGTTGTGAATAGTATCAGCTATGCTATAGTGACAGCATGGAGTTGCTGGAGATTGTGGTAATGGGCCTTCGCGATTGACTATAAGAGGAGGCAATTGTCCACGTTGCTCAACATGAAACCAACCAACCTCCAAGTAATCAATCACCAGTTCGCACTGCTCTTCTCCATCTAGCTCAACACCCCAATCTGGACACTGCCTCATAACTTGCCCCCTCTGCCACAATGCGCCTCCACTTGGCCGCCATCTCGACCCTAGCTGGCCTCACCCTTGCCCTGCCCAAGGTAAGCTTCCGCCAGGCCACTCCATGCTCGTCCAAGTTCATCGCACTGACATTCTGGGACTAGCCATCGCAGGATGCGACCGCGTCTTTTGATATCGTCAAGGGTGAGCGCGGTCTCGCAGACTTTGGCGAGGACGTCGTGGCACCCACATCGTCGGATGACGCGGATTTCATTGGCGCTGAGCCGCTCACTCCCGGGCAAGCTCGTTGGGACTTCGACAGGTCCGCCGATGACCAGCCAGTGGGCCTGGAAGAAATGCCCTTTGACGAAGATGACCTTGAAGAGATGGGCACCGCCCCGGGCGGCAACCAGCCCCAGTCGCCAGAGGAATCGGCAGCAATGCTTCAGCCAGCCAAGAGGAACCCACGAGGAGGAAGCAAATCACCTGTTCGCTCCAACTGCTACAGGGATAGCGACTGTGGAAAAGCGCTCCCTTACTGCTCTGAGATAGACGCCAAGACGCGTCGGGGTTGGTGCTCCAGGAGCAAGTATTGAGGTGGCGACGGGCCCACGGGGAGCAGGAGAAGTGATAAGGACCGTCTGCTGCTAGAATTGAGAAGATAGGAGGCCCGTGGTTAGACGAGATTTCAGATTCAAGACAGGCATTTGCCGCCACGCTCTCCTTAATCAGACTTTGGATGATAGATGGGAATAGACACATGAGAAAGGTCGCTGCTGGAGTCGCATCTGATCAAACCCCATGCGTAAGCTATTTCGGTCGTCTCCGGCCGATACATGCCAACATAATGAACAGAATGTGGAATATTGTGCCTTTCCTCACCCCCATCATAGAGAACAGGGTATCACAGCATGTACGGCTTTCAAATGGCATGGCTTGGCATATCATTAGAGCATGGTGGAAACCTTGATGGCATTTGACATGATCCATGAAGTCTAGTTATTGGATAGAACCTGGGAAATGACCATACCCAATCTCGGGGGCGATCTCAAGCTTATCCTCCGATATAGCAGAGGGTGACGTGTAACCCCAATGGATCTTTCTGATGTTTGCCACCGATGCTTGTGGTCTCATGCACCTCAGACCTAAATATTTCCTTTGGAGTTAATATTGGGTATTCTATGCCTGACAGCCGGACTAGACTAGGTAATGATCATTGTCATGGCTGAGTTCAGGTAGCTGCATACCTGATAAGGGCCGCCTTCGGATAGAGTTGCCTGTCTCTTGCCGTCTAATAGGCCAAGGCAATCATCTTCTGCAGTCTATCCGCTTCTTTTGGAACCATGCCCTTATAGAATTAGTACTTGACAATGTTGGCGCTAGACATACTTGCTCAATTAGCAAGGACGGGTTGAAGCTGGAAGAGCCTTGCTGCGACAGATGGGTTGACCTATATACCTAAACCCCACATTGTCGAACTCCGCTTTACTGATAGCTGTAGCCCTGCCGGAGGATCTCTCAAGGCACAAGCCTGAGTTTCATCAACTGCAAGACCGACCCTACATCAGTGGCCAGCCGCACCCGTAATGCCTTTCGATGGTCTTATTGGCTATGAGGCTTGCCGCCCGCTCGATGACTGGGCCTGCATATGCCTTTGGGCCATGTCACGAGCGTCTAACATGCATTACGTGGCCTAAAATGTAGTACAGTACGACCTTGGCCTGCCTTAACGCAGGTATCATGTGGACAGCACTCGCTCCAACATGCATGATCCATCCCGTTTCCCCGGAACATAAGGGGCTGTGCATATGTATAAGCGTACGACGCGACGGCGGATATGAGAAAAGGTAGATTAAACAAACTAACAAATGACAGGGAGTCTACAGATCTATCTATATATTCTTTATTGTCCAGTCCAAGTATAATCCGTATGTCGTATAAAGTGCAAAGCGTTCGACGTTTGCCTGGCGCAGTTGGCTAGTCAATACTTACCCGTTGGCGGGGCCCACGGCACAGGGGCCGTAGGGAGCCAACCTAGTGTGACCACTCAGTGGGAGGGCCGGAAAAGGCGTGGATAGGCGTGACGGCCCCTGTGCCGTGGGCCCCGCCAACGGGTACGCTAAACAAATAAAAACAGGGAGCCCTCAAGCCGTAGGTGGCACGTGACTACCTGAATGGGTCTTCAGCTTGATACCCCAAGTCCCAGCTAGAAACTGCGGTAGACTGGAACAAACAATGACGACTCTTCTAGCATTCCACGTCGCCTTCGTCTCGAGTCGCATAGCGCCTACATATAACAGCGCAGACCCAGACATACGTGGCCATTTTGCCTTTCACTGTCCACACAGAGGATGAAAAGGGAGTTTATGCGCCGTCTTCCCTCCCTCCGACTGAGTCGCCCACGAGGCGCCTCCTCCCGAACTTTCCTGTTCTCTAGCAAGACACAAAAGTCGCTACGTCCCAGCAACCGTCCTTACTCTTCGTTGCCTATGGACGCGCTGAACTCATTGTCGTCCAGCAGCAACCCTACACCAAACGTACGCGAGTACGAGTATATCGAAGATGTGGAGAATCTCGAAAACTATCGACCTGGGGGATACCACCCTATACAGATTGGCGACAAGCTTCACAGCCGATACCAGGTGGTTCACAAGCTTGGCTACGGCACATACTCGACTACATGGCTCGCGCGTGACCAACAGCTCCAAAAATACGTGGCAGTCAAAGTCGGCACATCAGAATCAAGCGCACGAGAAGTTGAAGCGCTCTCCACCCTCGCGAGTCTTCAGCATCTCAGCACTCAGCGCCTCCCCTTCAACAGCTTGGGCCAGGCCATGATTCCTCCGCTTCTTGATAGATTCATGCTCCAAGGTCCAAACGGCATCCACCCTTGCCACGTAACTGCGCCAGCCAGAACCACCCTCTCAGGGGCCAAAGAGGGATCGTACACCCGGCTGTTTCAGCTTGATGTCGCCAGGGCGATGGCTGCGCAGCTCGTCATCGCTGTTGCCTATACGCATGCTCGGGGATTTGTTCATGGAGGTTCGTCTCAACTATGCCGTCCCCGCTCAGGGGAATGCTATTTCCTGACCCCTTCTACCTAGATCTTCACCCCGGCAACATTCTTCTCGGACTGCCACCCAGCTTAGATCACCTCTCAGACAAACAGCTATACGAAAAGTACGGTACACCGAACCTAGAGCTAGTCGTCCGCCCTAACGGTAGGCCACTTCCGCTAGGTATTCCGTCCCACGTTATCGTACCGATATAGCTCGGGGAACCGAGTAAGGATATAACCCTCTCCGAGGCCGGGGTCTTACTCGCAGACTTTAGCGAAGCCTTTTTACCTTTACGGGAATTAAGGTGTGAGTCCTACGCGCCTATATCGATTAGCTCCCCGGAGGCTCTATTTAAACTAACAAGGCCGCTTTCCTACTCGACCGATATCTGGTCACTCGCCTGTTCTATCTAGGCAATACTTAGCTAGAGATAGTTATTTAACGGCTTCCTCGCTACATAGGATAACGTTATATATAAGCAGGTTAATGCTCTTAGTATTCTGCCCCCTAAATAGTAGGGGAAATAGGAAGGAAGACGAATTCGGTTTACTAAAGTAGGCAAACCTATAAAGCAGCGATATATTCGGACCTTAGAAGCTCGCTTTAAGGACAGCGTGCAAAAACCCCGACGAGATAAAGGGATGCCGCTATTCGATATAGAGGAGAGAGATGCGATCCTTACGATGCTACGGCCTATGCTTTTTTTAGGCCTAGGGGCCGACATACTACCGACCAAGTTCTATAGTCTAACTAGATAGAGAGATAGGCGTTGCTAGAGTATAAGAAGATCCGAGAGTAAGCTTAGGTAAATATATAGAAGGTAAGTGACGAATTACCTAGTCTCTGCGTTAAAAGCATTCGCTATAATATAAGTTTAGAGATTTAATTTAGGCCTTAGTATACCTTTAGAGTTGCCTCGGTCCCTTACCCTTACTGCGCTCCCTTAGTCTCGCTACGCTCTTGCTTAGTCGTTCGGCTAGGGTCCTATATCTTTATATCGAAAGCGACCGCACTTACTCTCGCTATGTGCTACCGTATACTCTCTCCGTTCGCATCTTAGTTCTATCGGCTGGTTAGATAAGAGGGAAATAAGGGCTAGGGCTGCGCCTAGGGTTTACGCAGTAAATTAGCTGCGCACCCCTAGCGTTAGTCCTGCCCTCTATTCGCAACACCTCCCCTTAGCTACTCTTAAGGTATAAGGCCTAAGGTTTTTTTTATATTATTACTTATATATAGCCTCTAGGGCTATAGCGAGGCTAATAGGGGCCTAGGCCCCTATTAGTAGTCCTAGCTAGCTATAGAGCGTAGAGGCTTATAACTAATTAAGGAAAGGGTAGCTATAAAGGTAGAGATAAAGGAAAGGTATTACTAGTTATTAGGTCTTTATATTAAAGAAAGAGGGTATATACTACTCTATCCTACCTAAAAGAGGGAGTCTATAAGTATAACTATATATATATATATATATAAAGTATAAAGGGAATAGGTTTCCCTACTAATCCGGTAGCTTATAGTTATCTAGATCTATTAAGTAACTTCCTTAGTATCCCTTAGGTTAACTACTATATTTAGGGCCTCTAGGTATAGCTATTAATAATAAGAAAAGTATTACCTTACTTATAGTACTTTATTTAAGGGATAAAAACCTACTTTAGCTATTAAATAGTAATAGTATTACTTATCTAGCCTTTTAAGGAGGTAATAAAGTCTTAATCTTATAGAAAATTAAGTTTATTAAAGAACTATTAATATTAAAGGTCTTAACCCTTAAAAATTATAAAGGGAGTTAAGGCCTAGCCTATAGTAAAGATATATTTAACTATTATAGTCTAATAATACGATCCTAGCTACTTTTTAAGAGTCTCTTACTTCTCTAAGCTCCTTAGTACTAAACTATTAAAGCTAAGGCCCTTAAAGATACCTATTTTATCTATATTAAAGCGGGACTCTAGTATAATTGCTTATATAGCCGGTAGCTTAAGTAATTAAAACTATTCCTTAATACGGGCTATAAAGGCGCTATTAACGCGAATAGAATTAAGAGATCTACCTTTAATAGTACTAATCTTTAAGTTCTAGGCTAAAAAGCCTAAAATCTACTACTTCTTAAGCGGACGGGTATCGCCGCCGGCCTTAATAATATAGCTAGTAAATTCCTTAACCTAATAATATATTAAAGGTAGCTTAAGGGCGGCCTAGGTAAGAACCTAGTCGGTAAGGTATTTTTCCTACTTTTAGCTAAGCCTTTAATATGCCTCTTTTGCCTCCTTATTAGAGTTTAAGATATATATGGTCCTCTTAGATACCTACTTTTAACTAGTATAAAGCTAAAGTATCCCGTTTTTAATAGCTTTAAGTACTTTTTAAAGCTAGTTTTTAGTATACTTAGAAAGCTAAGGTATTACTAATATAAATAGTATTTATTTTATAATTATAAGGTAAGAGATATATAAGAAAACGCGGTTATAATATAATATATTTAACGATATAATAGTATTATAAAGAGTACCGGTATTAGGGTATACCGGACTTTAGGTAGGCTAACTTATAGGCCTAAGCTATAGGCGCGGGCACGAGCCTTAACGTGCCGCTTAGACTAACTAAGCTAGGCTAGCCTAATTAGGGGCCGGCCGGCTATACTTAATAAAAGTCAAGCTAACTATATATTTATAGTCGGCTTAACTGCTAAGTTAGCCCACCTAAAGTCCGGTATACCCTAATACCGGCACTCTCTATAATACTATCGCGTCGTTAAATATATTATATTATAACCGCGTTTTCTCGTATATCTCTTACCCTATAATTATAAAATAAATACTATTTATATTAGCGATACCTTAGCTTTCTAAGTATACTAAAAACCAGCTCTAAGAAGCACTTAAAGCTATTAAAAATAGGATACCTTAGCTTTATACTAGTCGAAAGTAAGGTATTCTAAGAGGGACCCTCTATATATATCTTAAAGGGGCTCTACCTATTAAGAAGGCAAAAGAGGTATATTAAAGGCTTAGCTAAGAGTAGGAAAAACACCTTACCGACTAGGTTCTTACCTAGGCCGCCCTTAGGCTACCTTTAACGCATTATTAGGTTAAGGAATTTACCGGCTATATCGTTAAGGCCGGCGGCGATACCCGTCTACTTAAGAAGTAGTAGATTTCGGGCTTTTTAGCCCGGAACCTAGAGATTAGTACTATTAAAGGTAGATCTCTCGATTCTGCTCGCGTTAACGGCGCCTCTATAGCCTATATCGAGGAATAGTTCTAATTACTTAAGCTACCGGCTATATAGGTAATCCTACCGTAGTCCCGCTTTAATATAGACGAAACGGGCATCCTTAAGGGCCTCGGCTTTAATAGTCTAATACTAGGGAGCTTAGAGAAGTAAGAGACTCTTAAAAAGCGGCTAGGATCGCGTTATTAGACTATAATAGTCGAATGCGTCTCATTATGGCCTTAACTCCCTATAATTTTAAAGGTTAAGACCTTTAATACTAATAGTTCCCTAACGAACTTAATTTTCTATAAGATTAGGACTTTATTGCCTCCTTAAAGGGCTAGATAAGTAATACTATCGCTATTTAGTAGCTAAAGTAGGTTTTTATCCCTTAAATAAGGCACTATAAGTAGGGTAATACTCTTATTATTATTAACGGCTACGGGAGTTATTAGACTAATGATTTTATATACGAATACTTCTAGAATAGTATATATCTCCTTTTCCTACTATTATACTCCTTATATATCCTCTAACTACTCGATATCTCGGTTTTCTCGCCTATTAAGGCCGCATACCGACGTTAACTCGAGAAAATCGCATCTTTCGACGATATAGCGCTAATTAGCAAGGCTACCTTCCTTCGTATCTACTACGAAGCCCGGCAGGCTAGCCTAACCGAAAATAACATTAAGGGAGGTTAGCGCGGGTCTAGTTTATAGCCAATTAATATAGTAAAGCCCTTATTAAGCCGCTTTATCTTGCCGCAGCCGTCAACGCCGTCAACGCTATTAAAAAGGAAGAATATTAGCTCCTTAGCTAATAACGATGCCCTTAAAACGCCTAAACGATTATAAGAAGTTCGCCGCCTCGTTGTAGGGCTAGAAAATCGCGGTCAAGTTGACCGTATAATCCGACTACTCTTTAGCAAAGTTGGCCGCGCCCTTAACAATCAAAATTGGCAGCTTACAGCTGCCCAGCTTCGAATACAACAGCTTGAGCATCAATTGCATCGTCTACGGCCTCGAAAACAGAAAAAGGTTCTATAGGATCTTAATGGCCGGTTCGTACGGATTGATCAAGTTATTAAGACGAGGCAGCGGCTCGAGCGCATCCTCGAGCCGGCTGCTATTGCCGCAGCCAATCAAGACGCAGATTTTGAAGCTCTATGTGGTAGCTGGCAGCTTGAATAGCTAGAAAACACTATAATTGACTATCGTAACGTTAAAATGCGGCTTCAATTACTGTTGGAATGTGCCTGCCTTGGTGTTGTGGAGAGTGCCGGTGTTGGGGTGTGCCGGACTTTAGGTGGGCTGACTTACGAAAAGTGGGTCGACGGTCGGGCTACATGGGGGGGGGAGGGGGGGGGGCGGTCAGCTTGACCACATAGTCCCGCAATGCCAAATCCGTCAAATATAACCCTGGCAGCTCCTGGCCCCCCAAACCAAGCGCACTCTCCGTCGGTAATCCTGCCGGTCGACCCTGACGCGAAGTCGACTCTGGACGAAGCTTTGGGGTCGCTCAGCGTGTCTGATAACGAGATCTGGCCCAAGGAGTGGAAGGATGACGACGAGAATCCTGGATACAACCTGGACAAGTTTCTCGCCGACATGCGCAGACGAGAGGCGTACTATGACTCGCTCGGCGTGCCATGCAGCCGAGTTACTACGGACACGCATGGTAATACCACGCTACAGCCCCGCCAGTGGGTCAGCCTGGAAGCTGCCGACTTCACCGGCCTCGAGGACAATCTTGATACCGAGTATATCGCCTTAACCCGAGAAGTCCCTGCCGACCAGCTTGGGAAAGCAACAGACTACAAGATGGTGGGCAACTCGCGGCAGGGGATGGAAATGACCACTGTTCCCAAGGCGGAGGTAGCCGCCCTCGAGGCTCAAGGCTGGGAAGTGTAGTACGCTCCAAGCCCCCCTCTCGACATCAAGCAGCACTACCGAGATCGCCGAACTGTTGAGCGTCCGGTGGACGTCGTGTCGTATGATCAGCCGGCCGCGGACACAATGCGCTACCTCGAGCACGGCAACAACTTCATCAGCTCCGCTATGACCAAGGACAACTGGCGTCCTGGCCAGCTGATCGGTCAAAATGGATCGGACCCTGCGACGATAGCCCAATCGCCGTCCTTCTTGCCCCCCGACCGCCATGACGACATGTCCGAGCGTCGTTCAGCCACATCGACCGGGCACATCTTGCAACATCGACGACCGGCTGGTGTCGGTCTTGGCTGGGGTGACTACGACAGGCATGTCCGCTGGCAATCATACGGCCGTCGAGTCACCAAGGACATGGTGGAGAAGCAGAATTGGCAAACGGATCTATTGGCGCCATCCAGATTTTTCAACGAGTCGGGCGAGGTTGTAAAGACCGTTACCAAACCATTCGAACGAAGAGATCTGCCCTCTCAACCTCAGAAACCCGTCTCACTGTACGACCGGCTCAATCCGCGAGACGGTCGAACTCCAGAGGCTCCGGCGGAAAAAAACTCGGAAACCCCAGCTTGGCCCGGGACCTACAACGATGACGAGTGAGGTCGTCCATTCGGTCACTTGCTAGCTACGCCAAAACCTCGCACCCGAGTAGCCTGAGTCGACCGCTTTTAGCTCCTCCAGGCCGAGGCTTGCCGTCACCTCAATTCCCTGATCGGTGGATGGGCGAAAGCCCATCTCTTCTACCTAATTCCTTGATGGGTGTAAACCCGATTCCTTGGTGGGTGCAAACCCGATTCCTTGGTGGGTGAAAACCTGATTCCTTGATGGGTGAAAACCGGATTCCTTGATGGGTGAAAACCCTTGGGCTTTGGCCCTAAAGCGTCGTTGATGCCTCGGCATCTGGTCGCCCTGAGTATCTACTCTTCTCGCCAATGCGGGACAGTGCTACCAGGGAGCGGGTTCGATTCCCGCGCGATGTCACAGCCTGGTGGAGTTGAGGACGGCCCAGCCATTGCCCAGCAAGGCGATGTCTAAGGTGAGTTGACCATGCGTTGTGTTTTTATTGACACATTCCTAGGGTTCTGTCAGACGGTCCTTTCTAATGCTAGCCGGCCTGAGCATGCTGCTCGAGGCTTCGGGCGAAAAGACTAACGGACACTCAAAATCGAGAAGTGCCTGTCCCAGGGCCATCCGGGGGGTGCAGAACAAGGGCCCGCGGCACTGGGCCAGGTCATTATGGTAGTCGTTGGAGACTGGAGATGTCGCTCCGAGATGTGCGAGGGAGATTTGCGCCGATGTAACAGCATATCTATAGCCCAGACCACGGCCGCGATCACCAACAGAAGCCCACATCCAGGTTGCAGCATCGCACCCGAACTATCACTCGCCTACCCGTCGACCTGGCTGCCATCCTCCAGGTCACGCTACCCCTGGGCCAGTGCTCTCAAGTAAGATACCACCCTCTGCTCCCGCAGAGCCTCCTCACGCAACCAACCGTAGTCGTCACCTTCCACACCGGCTGCCTAAAGTGCCTCATCTCTTCGCTGAACTCCAAGGGCCGACGGAAATCGTGCTCCTGTCGCTCGTAGCCCCACGCTTCGACGCTGGCCGTGGCGTTGGGGTACCCGATGGACAGTTGCCCTTATACACACAAGAAAAATCATGCCCGAAGACGCCTCTGCACCGCTCTCGGGGACATACATACCTTCCCCCCCCAGAGGCCATAGGGCTTGGAACAGAAATTTCATCATCGCCTCATACCAAGCGAAGCGTCCGTATCGCGGACCCCCAATCTACAGAGAATCGTGAACCTTCTGAATGCAGCCTCGACACATCACCTCATGATGTCTCCCATAATTCGCCACATAGGCGGCTTGGCGAGGCAAGTCCTACATTGGCTGAATCGTCTTGAAAAGGCGAGGGTGCCTTGTCCGATCGGGGATGCTACCATTCCCGATGGGTGCAACAGCATGTTCCAGACTACAAAAGAGAAATGTTCAGGCATGTGTGTACAAGGAGGATCTCTATGATATTCCCTTCGTCACTTCGTCAAATCAGCCTGGGTTGTCGTCCATTTCGTCCATATTGCGTCGGAGACTACATATACGCCCTGAGCCAGCTGCATGCGAGAAGCTCTTGGACAAGGGTGAGTGTTTAGTCCGCATTGTTTATAACAATGCGACGAACGTTGAGCAGCATGGCGAGAGGCTTGTGGCGCCCTCGTCGGGAACGTGATGTGGACATACCACATTTAGCTGTGCTGCTCTTTCAGTTTCGCTTCATTGTGGCTAGAAGACTTTGTCTGCTGTCGATAATGACCGCTCCATATTTTTAAACATGTGCGGCATAGCCTTCATTTCGATGCCTTGTCGTTACCCTTTGTCTCCAGTGCTGAACTGGATCCAGCCCCAGGGCTGCTATACGTCCCGCTCTTTGACTCCCAGCTGCTAGTTCTTTAAATGGTCAAAGCATCAACCGGCGGCCGAGATTCATAAAAAAGACCAGCCTCCCTCGCATATTTCGTTCGCACTGCCCATTACCAACAAAACAACATTGAGCCTCGACATCTCCGCACTCTCCAACCATCACAAATCACTCCTACCAAACTACAGCTCTTCTCCGACATAATCTACATAATGAAGCCTGCTTGCCTGGCGATTCTTTTCATAGCCTGCGTCGCGGCGGCGCCTTTGGCTACCGGAGATGGCGACAAGCTTGTCCAGACGCTCGAGATCATGAATCAGAATGGACTCCCAGTACCCAAGCCGGAGGCTGCTGCTAAGGGCGTCGAGTGCTGAGCACGTGGAGCATATTCGTCGGCCATCACGTCTGCATACGGCCACATCGACCTCGGCACCGTCAACCAAAGAGTCTACCCAGGTCATGGCCTCCTACAGATGCCAAGTCAGTGAAGTGATCGGGTTAAGTCATAGAGACGCCCCACGAGATAATATAAAATCTGGATTTCAGCTCCCCGAGCGCATCAGTGCTTTCGTGGACTCTTTTCCGGTGTAAGAGGTGAACGGTACAGTGGCAAGTCATATTTCAATGCCTACGGATGAGGGCGGGTAACTTGTCCTCCTTTTTGGGAGGCAAAGCGGCGTTAGATGGCGACAAGTAGAAACTGAAGCTACAACATTTCACTTTGTCAATATGGATTAGCAGGCAGATATAGTATCAGTATCAGGAAAGCCTGAGGATGAATTGAACAAGAACGCATTCGAGGTTGTAGCGCCTTGCAAAGAGAGATGGAAAATGGCGGCCGAGTGTCTCCCTGTCAATTTTATGCCACGCAATGCAAATACATACTCCAGTACTCTGGGTACCATCCGGCGAATTCCCAACCCAGGGGGGCGACGATGCGACCATCACGCACCATAGCGTTCCGCGCGGCAATATCACCATGCGTGAAGACGATAGGATAGTCGGCGAAATCGGGGGCAAGTCGGTCCTCGACGCCGTCGCGGCGGATGACGCCCTTGGCCAACCAGTAGATCAACTCTTTGCGCACCACAGTCCCACAAGACCTTTCCATGAAAACCCAATACAGAACCCGGCTCTCCTGTTCGCCCGATAGTTGCTGCCGCTGCGAGAGAGACGATGAGCTATTCGACAGTGGTTCTGCCTTTCAGTTGGATAGCCTTTATACGTGAATCAGATGGTCGAACTTGGGATGCGGCGCCATGTCAGCCTCTGGCGGCGAATCTGGGCACGAGCGCTTGCCGTCAATCGAGGATGTCGTTTTATGGCTAGTGGCGGAGCGGATGGGATTTTGCGGGCACGAGTCACCACATCCCTTGAGGAAACAAAACTCCCCCTTCCCATTGGCTCCAATTAGTCGCCACCGACCGTGCCCGGCGACTCTTCTTCAGTCAGCGTAATAAAGGGACAAATGATGCACATGGGCTGCAAGTCGGGAAAGCGCCGCCGAAAGGACATGTACATATGCCCTTAATGCCATCTATACCGCCAAAGTCAGTGGAGTGCAGGAGGCCCTTCTTATTTGCTGGGCTGATAGTGATACGACTATACACCCGGCTTAAGATGAATACAGCCCGGGCAATTTGGTCTTGGCTGATGGTGGAGCTAGTGCCCGACTATAAGGGGATCATCGATGCTTGGGTCGATGAAGAGGCATTCAAGCAGGTGCTTGAGAGTGCGGTGAAAGGCAAAGGGGGGCTATACATGTTTGAAGAAAGTAATGCACGTCCTATTCTATCTAGCGGGATATCTGTACTAGTATGGATACGTCTTGTGGCCCAAGGTAACCAGCATAATATATTTCGTACGTCGTGCTCTTTATGCATCCCGCCGGTAAGGGTGTAACTCGAAGGGAAAGGGGTGCTCGCACTGACTCTGCTGACGCCTTGGGTCGGCTCATCAAATAGTGGCCTTTTTAGAGGTTACAGCAGGGGTCGTGATTAAGGAACTGAACGTAGCCTGGCAATAGGCAGGGGAGGGCGCTAAATAACTCTCGCAATCAATGCATCAATGCAACGAGGGCGACGGGTTTTTTTATATATATATTATTACTCGCATGCAGCCTCTAGGGCCATGGCGAGGCTAGTAGGGGCCTAGGCCCCTATTAGCAGTCCTAGCTAGCTATAGAGCCTAGGGGCTTATAACTAATTAGGGAAAGGGTAGCTATAAAGGCAATAATAAAGGAAAGGTTAGTCTGGTTCCTCCCGCGCGGTGTTTTCCCCCCCTAAGGGCCCTAGGGCCCCTAGGTTACTCCTTTTCGAGCTACTTAGCTGTCCCTATCTCCGTTTTAGCTAAGAAGGTTAGAAGGGCTTCCCTTCCTTCCTTAGAGCTATAGAGAATAGGTAGGCTAAGGGCCCCCTGCCGTCTCTTAGAGGTCCGGTAAAGGGCCTCTCTTTCCCACCTATAGTTCGGGCGCCTTAGGATAAGGTGCCTAGCCGTATGCCTTCCTCGGCCGCAGCGGCAGTCGTCTCGGTCTACCTTATTAGTCCTTTTTAAGAAGGAAAATAGGAAGCCGGCCCCGAAGAGGAGCTGGTAGAAGGCCGAGAGGGTCGGCCTAGGCCTCCCTATAAGGTCCTTTTCCGGGCTAAGGGCTAGGCGGGGGGTCTTTCGAATAGACGTATAGTGCTTGCCTAGGCCCTTAGCGGGCGACGGGTTACGTGGCTAATATAAGCCGTCGATCTACGCAACTTGACTGTTCGGTGAGTTAATTGAGTGGTTTGCCACTCTGTGAATACCACAAACACTCCGGCGAGCAATAACAGCGGGCAGGAGCGGTATATCGACCAGTCGCTATATTGCCGCTCGCAGCTATCAGTAGCACGCAATACGTCTGTAATAACAGAGCCATTCATGTGAACCCTGCTGCTCCGGGCTCGAGTTGGCACAGTCTTAGTATAAGGTTTGAAACTAGTAATTCTACAAAGTACTCCATTCGCCTCGATTGCTAATGATGGAAGGTCCGGCAGGAGCTATATGCTGGTCCCAAAATTGGTAACGGAGCATCTCGCGACCTCGAGTCAAGTAGCTTTGTATGTAGATCTGCTAGTGGGTATCAATCGAGATGTTCTTTCCTAATTCGGAGGGAAGCTAGGGCCCACAAGTTACAGCCCTATGTTCTGGGTGGGCCATCCTGCTATTACCCTCTCCGCGATCGGCAATCTTTAAAAACTCTACTTGGCAGCTAGGAATCTGTGACTTCTTGGACTAGTCAGAGCCGAGCCGAGCTTTAACCACTGCGTGCTCATGGATGAAGGGTAGATATACCCTCTTAGCGCGGCATACATCTAACAAGACGTTATGTAGGCTATGTTAGTCGTAGGACGCAGCTAAACTTGATAGGTACTACAAAGGCCGCAATCAAAAGATTCTCAACTTCACTCGTTCACAAATCCTCCCTGTCACCGTATTAGCCAGAGCTCACATACTTTGTAACAACGAGCTACTGTCCAACTAGGTAGGAAAGTGAAGCTATTTCCAACTATTTCATCTTAAATAGGTTCAACCTGACAGTCCATAAAGATAGACCCCAACTGAGATAATGGACGCTGTATCTCTTTGGCTTGTCGCTCTTTATTCGAGAGCTCCATCGGGGCTATTTCTTCCTTGTAGTAGTTGCCTGTCGTAAATACCTGTTGTATAGAACTGGGCATTCGTTCCACACGCTGCCTCGTTAGCTTGGCTGGCTCTATTAGCTTAGCTTTACGTTATGACATTTCATGGGGTTTTAGCAACTTCGTTACTGGTCCTTAGGAAGAGAAATAGCAGGTACAGTACAATTTACTAAGGTTATTAGCTTTCTCGACGGGGTAAAGGGGGACAGTACAAAAATCAAGCAAGACCCGACTTATCGGAGACAGGGGGCCCTTGGAATGAGTTGAGTTTCGTTTGATCGCAGCCTGGGCACTTATGTTTCACTGTCATAGCCATTGACTGTAAAGTCTGTTTCATGTGGAGGGAGGCCTATCATGGAATTGTTAGGCTCTTCATTAGATTGATGGGTTGCATTGTGTAAATGACTCCAAAGAACCTTGGTTGGTGCTCCGGCCAGGTATATAAGAGAGAATGCGCGGTGGCCTATTGTTGCCTTTTATCATCACCATCATCAACATTCGCTTATCCTAACCTCGCTCGTCTTTCGTTTTGATCTTGTACGGTCATTTCCCTCTTTTAAAAAACAAGACTCGTACATCAAGCCAGCTATCATAAAATGAAGGCTCTCAGTGTTATCATAGCCACTGCTGCCGTCCTTAGCGCGGCTTCCCCAGCCAACATAACAGCTTCGTCGGAAGCAGATGCCAGGGATGACATTGGTTTGTCGAATGGCGAAGATTCCTCGGATGTCAGCACTCGCCAGGGTGCAGAAGATTCCCCGGGCGCAGCACCATCTCCGGCTGTGGCGCCGATTCCAGTCCAAAGCGCTGAGGAGTACTGCAAGAAGCTTTTTATCGACACCGATATGTGCACCAAGGTCCAAAGCGCATGCAACTTTCAAGGACCCAGCACACAGGAGGTGAATGAATTTCTGCTATGCGCTCGTGACGTTCAACAACATGCGCCAGAAGGAACGATGGAGGCGCCGCCATCTGCGGGTAGCAACACCAGCGCAGTCCAAGGGGAAACCTTCACTATCCCCATTTATGTCCATATAATGGCATTCGACAACCTGAAGCCAAGCGACCCCCCAGAGCTCAAGATTGTGGGGAATGAGTTCACAGCGACTGTAAGCTAAGCGCCGCTGCATCAGCACCTCCCCGTGCCCCCGTTTTTCTTCCACCTTTTCTGGTTTGTTCTGAATATAAGCTTACGCACGCTCCCCTGTATAGAGAGCGCAGATCGAGGCGCAGATAAAAGTAGCCAACAGAGCCTACGTCGCGGCAAAGATGCAGTTCGTTCTCAAGGACGTCGACTGGTCGAGAGCGTATTGGACACGGGAGAATATAGCACAACTTCATCAAGGTAAATGGGCCTCTTTGAACGTTTACGTGTTGCAACTCTCGGAAAAGCACGCCGGGCAGGCGCGGGCGAACCGCTTCGAAGACTCGTTTGATCCTATGCATGACTTCATCAGGTTGAATGCCAAGGCTCTGCCAGGCAGCAGCCACGCTCTCTACAACGAGGGTAAATCGTTGCCCCACGAAATTGCCCACTGGCTCGGCCTGGGCGCTCATTCGGCAGGCAGGTCGTGCGTCTTCAACGCCGGCAATGTTCCCGCCGAAAAGCCGGCAATCGAAGGGGGCCGCATCAGCGAGACCTGTGTCGAAGAGGAGTACGAAAACACCACGAACAATTTGTTGATTACAGTTGCGCCAGAGTACGTTGTGCCCCCATTGGAAATCGTATCTGGCACTTTGGAGGCTAACTCTTTCTTCTCTCAACAGTAACTGCAGCTGGCAGTTTACTTGCGAGCAGGTCCGGCTCATGCGCGAGTATTGGACTAAGAGGGTCGAGGCAGACGCTAAGGGCGACCCAGGCACTGCTCAAACAGAATAAGGATAAAGGGTCTTGTCAGGTATAAATTGTGGAGGTCATGGGATTGGATATATATATATGGACCCAGAGGTGTACCAGTGTCCAGAGGGAGTTCTTCCAAGAAAAGGGAAACATTATAGAGAGCTTTATACAGTATTAACTATATTTGTTTATTTGGGCCTCTCTTTTGGGCTTATCTGCCTGACTTTTATGGAGTTGTATTATTAGACAGGCTGTAGAGCCTCCAGTACTAACAGCTGCTTGTCGGTCATCTAGAGCAATCAACAAGAAAGGTGTTTCATAAGAGCCACTGCCGATCGCCATCGACGAATTTATGCATTTCATAAATGTGGCCACCGTTTCGCTGTATCCATCCTGTACTGAGATCAATACGGATAGAAACCCCCCCAAAACTACAAGGTGCGCGGGTGGGGTGCCGTGGAGATATCAGCAGGGGCATAGGAGGACGGATGAATCCAACCCCTCGATGTGCATGGAGTTAAACCGGCTCAAGATCGCAAGGCTTTTCAGCTGCTTCGATACACCTGTACGGAGTGTCCTCGCCGAGCGATGGCCAAAGAATAGAGTCAGTGTTCCTGCTTAAAGAAAAAAAGTCTTCACGAAGGCTGAGGTAATCTCGCAAATCCGTAGAAGCTGCAGCGAAGATTGGTCGGCGTTAGAATCGCCATAAATGACCATCTCCCCTGGCATGGACCGCCGCCACCGTCGTTCCGGTGACTGTCTCAGTTGAAATGTCGATAATGCCTCCGTCTCGTTCATGGCCGGCCACAAGCCACTGTGTTCGAGACCGCAAGAGAATTTCTTCTCCCTTGAGCTGAGTTGGCCTGGAGCGCCGGGAGGGGTAGCTTGGACATTTTGGAACCTCTCGTGAACAAGCCTTCCTCATCCAACCCCCCTGTTGATATGCGGGAAGCAGCTGCGTCATGACGTCGACTTTTCGTCCCAGCTGAGCCGCCGGGTCGGTGCTTGTAGACTTTTGACGCACACGCAGGTAGTGTGTGTTTCGGCCTACAGGGTTCGACACCCCCCCACCCCTTGCGTCTTGAAGGCGGAACATGGAGCACTCTGACTATCCCGAGGGCGGAAGCTACCGGGAGCTGGCACGCAAGTTCCATCCACACACGCGCATCTTTGACTGCTGGCGGATTTGACTCACGGCTACTCCCAGAGTGGCTGAGAACCAACATGCGATGAATGACACCGAGTTACCAAACATGAAGAGGCGGCTACAGGTGCCGTGTAACATGGAGTCTGACTGCTGTCGGCGCTCACTCGGCGGCTAATCGGGTTAGCCGCCCATCTTTACGTCGCCATCCGGTAGACGGCAAAATTGCGTGACAGTCGTGGAAATCTGTATTCTAAAAGTGAATAGGGAACAAGTTATTGCGTCAAAGCCCGAGGGACGGAAGCCTCTGTGACAAACTCTCCACCGGACACCAAGCTCAGCGACGCTGATGGAGCCAGCTCACTCATCCCGTCTGCACAGTGCGGTCGTCACCTAGTCTCAAAGAGCAGAGTAATGCCAAATCTCAGTTGCGCATTTCGTTTCCTCGAGCTTCAGAACACGCCGGTGCTTCGACAGGAACGTTCGTCAGGCGGGGCCGGCCAGAGGAGCTGACCTTACCCGAGAGGTCGTGTGGAAGGCCCTCCCACACGACCTCTCGGGTAAGAAGTGACTCAAGCCGGGCACAGCTGTGGCGGACTAGGGAGGCGGTGTTAATACCGATCTGGAAGAGCCTGGCTCTTAATCGCAACGGCGTAGCTTGTGCCTCGATGGCCGGATTCGGGACTGTTGCAGCGGCGCAGCGCATTTCTCGAGCAAGAGATATAGATAGCCTAGACATGTCAACATATTTGGGAACCATTTTCGCCGGATTCCATTTCATGTTCTGTGACATCTCATGATGCTGACCGTCCGTCCGTCTCCAGCCCGGCGCAGATCATGGCGGAGGGCGGCCCCACCCGGAGCCGAAGCTAGGGCCGGCGGGGGCGGAGACGGACCGGCCCGCGCCATTTCAACGACCATGGGCGGTGCGCTGACAGGCGGTGGAATGGGCAGCAGGCTTGGAGAAGAGCAAATGCAAATGGTATTCAAAGTGGTATCCTGAAGGTCTCCGACCCAGCTATGTGCATCATAAGATATTCGTTTCGCCGTAACCAATTCGTCTCGTGGATTGTCCACGCCCTGCCCAGTAAAAATGCAAAGATCCCGCCACATTATCATGTACAAATTGTGCAGTATTAGAAACCGGAAGAAAAAAACATTTCAACGCTTTTAGCTGTCCCAAATGGCTCCATAGGCCGGCAGACCTCTCGACTCGAGGCCATAGACTACCTTTTTGGTAATCTTCTCGTTGGCAATGATGATGACGGCCTCGGCGCCAAAGTCCTTTGCGAGGTTGAAGCCCATCTTGACCAGGTCGGGCCGGCCCTTGACTCTCGTGTCGTGGATAATGGCGCCCGGGATGGACCGCCGGATCTTGTCGATGACGCTCTTGCCAAACGTCTGCTCGGGGTTTGGCGTTGACCAGATGAGCTGCGTCGGACAGCTGGGCTGGCCGATGTGCCCGAGCAGGGGGCCGATGCCGGACCCGGTGGCGATGACGACGACGCGGTTGAAGAGGGTTGCGATGCGCATGACACCGCAAGCCGGGAGCCCGCGGACCCAAAGATGCGTCGGGGGGTTGCGGATGCACGCCTCTGTCCAGTCGCCGGCCTTGGACACCACGAGCGAGTAGCCCGGCTTGGTGGCGGTGCCCGACGGCTTGGGGGTGGGGATGGTGGCGAACGAGTGCCATTCGAGCAGGGGCCGCGTCGAGATGCGGGTGAAGCTGCCGTTGACGGGCACCGTGTAGCCAAAGTGCAGCTGGATGGCGTGGTCCGACAACGGCACGGCGTTGACGGGCACGCGGCGGAGGAAGAACCACGACGAGGCGATGCTGCACGTCGCCACGCCCAACATCCAGAAGCCGGGACTGCGGGCCAGGGCCAGGCCGAGATCTTGGCCGACCGACGTGGCGTCGTAGACGGACAGGACGGTGCGGACCCAGAAGAGACAGAGGGCGGTCCAGCCGAGGAAGCGGTGCAGGCGCTCAAATAGGTTGTGGTGGTTCTTGCGGAAGGACGGCCAGGCGAAGCCGACAATGGTGCAGCAGAGAGCCGACAGCAGCCAGGAGACAACAATGGTGGCGAGCGAGTCGACGGCAGAGCCCTTTTCCTTGGCGTAGGTCACTGTTGAGCGGATGGTGGAGGCGAGGAGCCACGAGGTCGCGCACACGCCGGCGCCAGAATGGACGCCGCCGAGGTGGTAAATCTTGGCGCAGCGAGTCCGCATCCACAGGGGGGCGCCCTTGGGCATGGAGCAGAAGAGGGTGTAGAGGAGGTTGATGACGGCGTCCTGGCGCACCAGCACGGCTGTGACGAGGTTGGCCGCCGTCAGGATGGCGAGCCACTCCGGGCCGGGGCTCAAGACGACGAAGGCGATGAGCGCGGCCATATTTGTGAGCCCGACGAGGCTGAAGAGCAGCCGGTAGACGATGAGGATGCGGTGTCTGAGACCCCGTAGTGGTTGCGGCAACCGTTTGCTCGGCATGTCTTGGTCGAGGTCCGGCGTGTCGGACACGACGGTGAAGGTCGACGACGATGACCGCGTCTCGATGAGTGTGCCGCAGTCGCTGGACATCTTGGCCGCCGACGCCGGATGCTTCTCGCTCAAATCTTCCTCTGTGATCACCGAGACGGGCTCGGCGGCCACGCGCAGCATCTTCTTATCGATTTTGCCGTTGGCCGTCGTCGGGAACTCGTCCAGCTGATGGATCTTGGCCGGAACAGCGTAATAGGGCTGGAGCGTGCGGACATACTCGAGGATGGCCTCTATGCTCTGCCCCGACGGGGTGACAAAGCCGTGGAGGTCGCCGTCAACCATCAGCGCCGTGGCCCGGGAGACGCCCGGCGCCGACGCCAACGACGACGAGACGCCGTCCAGCTCAACTCGGAACCCCTTATTTCTCAAGTCAGCCGGACAGTCTCCTCGTATAGGTGGGGGAGAAAGGAGGGCAGCGCACCTTTACTTTGACCTGGTCATCGCAGCGGCCGAGGATGTCGATGGATCCGTCTAGCCTCCACTGACCCAAGTCTCCGGTGCAGTACATGTGGGACCTGGTGAGACAGACGGCCGTCAGTCAGAATGCGAAACGTCAGCTGGTAGCAGGAGCAGCGTCTTACCCGTCGTCGACAAAGGGGTCTGGAATATACGACTCGCTTGTCTTGGACTCGAGTCCCACATAACCACGAGAGACTCCGTGGCCGCCCGCCCACATCACTCCGGGCACGCCCACAGGGACAGGCTCGCCGGCGTCGTCGACAATGTAGACGCTGTTGTTGGGCGTCGGCCGGCCGATGGAGACTGGGTCGCCAGCCACGTGCCGCGACATGGTGTTGACAATGGTCGTCTCGGTCGGACCGCAGCAGTTCCAGTACGTCGCGTGCGTGGCCCAGAGGTCGGCCAGCGCCTGGGACGTGGGCTCGCCCGCCGTGGCCACCACTTTGATCTTGGGGTACTGGGCCGGGTGGTACTTGGACAGGATGGTAGGGGTGCAGATGAGCACGTCAAGCTACACGGACGTCCCGTCAGCGGTCCGAAATGCCCATTTTTGATGCTCGCGCGTCACAACTCACCTCCCGGATCGTGGGCTCCCACTGAGACCCCCTGACCACCAGCGTGCCGCCGTTACACAGACACGCGAAAATCTCCCACGCGGCTACACGGTCCCGAGTCAGTCGTTGATGAGCATCACTTGACGGAGCACGATGTGGTGGAACGTGACAAAGCATGGGTCCCGGATACGGGACATAGGCGGGCGTGTGAATGTGTATGTTTGTGTCGGCGGCGGGAGAGCTTACCCATGTCAAAGCTGATGTTGAGCAACTGGCCGACGCACATGCCGGGACGGATGCCCAGGCCGCCGGGCGAGAGGCAAACCAGGTTGGCCACGTTCCTGTGCGTGACATCAACGCCTTTGGGCTTGCCCGTGGTCCCTGAGCGCGTGTATCAGCGCTACGTGTCCACACGTGTGAGTCGGAAGTAGAGAGACTAGGCTGTCACCGCCACGAGGAGGACGAACCAGAGGTATAGATGACATAGCATCCGGCATCTGGAGAGGCCAGATCTATCCAGCCGTCTGACGAGGGCTCGGCAGGGTCCGCCGCCATGTACTGGTCGATGAGGACGGGAGTGAGATGGGGGAACTGGCTCCGGATTCGATGCTCTGTCGTCGACAGGCAAAGAACGACGTCTCCACCAGACTGCTCGACGACGTGCTTGATGGTGGAGTCAGGGACGACGCCGCCGTCGAGGGGAACATACTGAGCACCGCAGGACAAGATGGCCCATATGCCGACGACCATCTCAAGCCCTCGCTTGACGACAAGGGGGATCCGTTGGCGGGGCTGGACGCCAAGGCCGCGTAGCCTCAAGGCAAGGGCCTGGGCATGGCTGGCAAGCTGGGGATAGGTCAACTCGCGAGGGGCGGTGCCGGATAGGTCACGGACGGCAATGTGGGAATGTGTGGAGGAGGAAGCTGAGGAGGAGGCTTGGTGGTAGAAGGCGGCGGTGACGGTGGGAAATGGGCAGGTAACGAGCTCGCCGAAGCTCAAGGAGGTGGTGGGACGGGGGCGAGTATTCCGAGCCACGGAGACGGCCATGGTGAAGAGCGTGGGTTATGTCAAGCCGAGTCCTGGTGACAGAGACCGGAAGACGATATCAAGAGGAGAGGAAGAAGAGGAGGGGGGAGGGGGAGAGAGGGAGAGAGGGAGAGAGGGAGAGCCAGAGGAGGAGGAAGGGTGCTCTGGTTGCTGGGCACTGCTGCCTTGCCTGGCACGACAGGACGGCTCCATCTGTCTGTGAAACGGAGGCTCTTTATATAGTTTTCGTCCATGCCGAACGCGGGCCCTGCTGGCGCTGTACTGCTCTTTGCCTGCTCTTCGGTCGTCGGTCGTCGTCGCCGGTCGCCGGTCCGGAGGTCCATCCGCAGGAACCTAGCCTAGGCTTGGTCTGTCTCCGGGGGATGGTAGCCCTGACTACGGGAGACAGGCCAGACGCACCCCCTTCCCCCTTCCACCTCCTCTTGGATGATGGACGGAGGAGTATGTCAAGTAAAAGGGAAATGTGACAAAAGAATGGATTAAATGGGATAAATGGGAGCTGGCTCGAGACAGGGCATCTGCGAAGGCCGACTGCGTCTGCGTCAACGATATGTACTCGATGGAATCAGTGGCCGCTACCGTCTCTCTCTCTCTCCGTCTTTCGCCTGCTCACTCTCCCGCCCTTTCTTTCCCCCGTTTCCGTGCGATCCGGACCGCACGCCCTTACACGCCCCTCTGTTCTCTTGGGGGGCAACGGAGGCGGTGGGGACGAGAGAGGCCGATTTTCGACAATGCTGGACATGAACGCGTTAGCCGGGGGCCTGTCGCATTCCGGGCCCCAGAGGAGGCGACGAGAGGTTTGCGTTGCCCGCGGCTCCGGCCAACAGGAGACGGCGGAGACTTGGTGGGGAGCCACATCGGCCGGAGGAATGCCGTGGATGGGGAAACCGTCAGTCCCAAAGGGGCAAGCAGCTGCATGGCCTGACGGAGGAGGCAGCTTGTTACCAAGAGCAAGACGCCCGAGGTCGAACCCATGTAGAGTGCAGCGCGCCTTTGAGACATCACTCGAACCATGGCAGAGGCACGGAGGGTGGTGATCGATCTGCCAGGCAGTCTCAGCCCGCGAGCTCCACCAGGGCCGTGCAGGGATTCAATCGCCATGGGGGCGGCGTGCAGACACGTTGCCAGCGTTTCTTTCTTTTTTTTTTCTCGCGCGCCTTTGACCGACCATTGACCGAGAACGAGAACTAGGTCGCCGCCAGGGAGGACGACTGCTCACCTCAATAAGAGATGTCTGGCGGAAGTGAGCTCAAGGTTCTGGACGGCGACAACCATCGAATCCAAGGGGAGAAAAGAGAAGCACATGTAGCTGGCGAGACGCGAGAGAGAGACAATCCAGCGCGATGGGAGAGGGAGCAAGCACATGATGAAAGGGGGGGGGGGGAGCTGCTGGTGGGAGTGTTGGCCAAGGGAGGGCGATTCATTCTCGAGTCGAAAACAGACAGTACAGTGTTGAGGTTGGGAATGACATGTCTACATCCTGGCGTTTGAGCGATGAAGGAAAGCCTGAGTGAGAGCGACGGCTGGAGCAGCAGTAGTGTCAGTGCGTGCAGGCGTGACAGCGGCACGCCGATCCATCGCCGCAGCGACAACTGCCGCGTTTCCATGGTTGGAGCCTCTTCCTTCTTTTCACGTCCGTCTCATGGTCTTCTTCTTCTTCGCCTCCTTGCTTTCTTTTTCCTGCAGCCCACCTGCCCCCCCGTGTGAAGCTGCATATTCTTGCCCCCCCCCCCTTCCCCTGTCTGCGCCCCAGCCAAAACTCTATGCGCACGAGAACGGGCATACGGGCAGGTAGCAAACTCGAGGGTAATCCCAGGCGCATACAGTTCCCGTACGGTCTCAACCTACAGCGTGAATTCGTACATGCATGCGTGTTGGCGAGAAGTCCGTTGATGGGCTAATAATACTGTGCTGGCAAAGACACGGCTGGTCTCTCGTGTCTCTTATCACCCCCCATCTCTGACCGACCCGGGACGAGTGCCATATCAAGCAGCATCATCATGATGTTCTTCTTCTTCATCTTCATAGCCACCTTCTCTTTCCAGTTTTGCTTCACGCCCCAACCCCCCCCCTTTCTCCCTGCCACGCCCTTTGCCGCGCTCTTATTTTCTTTTTTTGCTTTTTGGTGAGCTCACAACACGGTGTACTGTATGTGCGACGAGTCCCTTTTTTCAGGTTTCATCGCCTGGCCCTGGGTTACCGTATGCTTTCGGGTGGAATGCTTGCCCCGACGCCTCCCTTTGGCACATGGTTGTCGATTTGACTCAACGTCCCATCGTGTCGAAAAAGCTGTGCCCAAGCATGCTTATGTGGTCGTCGTCCTTCTCCACAGTCGCTTCTCGACTTGGACCAGGACCCCCCGGTCCCCTCCCTCTTCCCGCTGACCAGGGATCCATCTGGCCGACAAGGCTCCGGCCGGCCGTCCAGCCTTTGCCCCTCCCCGCCTCTCTCACTCTGTCTCTCTCTCTTGCTCTCCCTCACCACCGCTCACCTTGATCTTCCTCGCTCTCAACCTCCCTCTTCCTCTAGACCGTCTTCGTCTTACCTCCTCCTGGGCTCTCTGTACCCGACCTGTTCTTCTTCCTCACGGCCGCCTGCATCGCCCCTTGTTTCCTCTCGTCTCGTCCACGCCCCGGCCACTAACCTGCCCTCGTCCAGTCGTCCGACCCGGACGAGCGAAACACACAGCCCGTGTTGCTTGCACGCCTGCTTTGAATCACCAACATGTCCGGATCTGGCTCGGGCCTTGTCCAAGCCACGTCACCGGCCGATGGCGTCAGGGTTATCTCGTTCAATCGGCCAGCCAAGCGCAACGCCCTCTCGAGTCAGCTGATCGCCGCCTTTCTCGACAGCCTGGCCGGGGCCTCGCAAGACTCGGCCGTCAAGGTCATTGTTGTGACTGGCAACGGCCCGTTCTTCTCAGGTGAACCAATCCTTTCCCGCTGAATCAGCCCACTCACTCCTCTCCCTCCTCCCTCCTTGATGTCCTCCCCTCCCCCTCCGCCGGGCTGACAAGGACTCGTAGCCGGCGCCGATCTCAACGACATCGCGGCGCTCGACTCGGCAGGGGCCCGGTCGTGTCGCTACCTCGAGGACCTGTGCAATGGCATGGCGGCCGTTCGCAAGCCCGTCGTTGCCGCTGTCAACGGCCCAGCGGTGAGCGCCGCCCCTTGTCTTCTGGGCTAGCCGGACGACGATGGGACGCGAGGAGGGACACTAACCACTGGCGACGGTGCAGCTCGGCGGAGGGTTCGAGGTTGCCCTCATGGTGAGTGCGGCAGCAAGGGAGAGAGAGGCCCAGCTGACACGATGAAAGTGCGACCTCATCATTGCGGCCAAGTCGGCCTACTTTGCCCTGCCCGAGACTCAGAAGGGGCTCATTCCCGGCGCCGGAGGCACGCAGCGACTGACGGCGGCCGTGGGCAAGTATCGCGTCCGTCACTCTCCTGCTTTCTTTTCCCGCTTGTTGTTCTCTGTCTGTTCGTCCTCGTGATCCCCTGTCCCCATCCCCTGTCCCCTGTCCCGTATTGTCCTCCCCTTCTCCACCCGCGGGCGCATAACTGTACATGTATGCGGTCCAAGGATGCGTTTGCGCACTGAGACGTACATACATGCATGGGGGCACTGACCGTCGTTCGCTTTCCCGACTGATAGGCAATGCGCACCATCCTGCTCGGCCGGCCAATTACGGGCGACGAGGCCATGTCCTGGGGCCTGCTGTGCGACCTGGTGGCCGATGCCGACCTGATGGAGCAAACCATGATGACCGCTACCGAGCTCGCGGGCCGGGGGCAGGAGGCACTTCAGTTTGCCAAGGAGGCCATCGGCAGAGGTATGTATCCGGACAGGCATGCAGAAGGGTGCGAACGGGGATGAATTTGTCACATTCTGGCTGTGTCCCCTGAACACCAACGGTCTCCCCAACCACCTAACGCTGTGGTCCTTGACGCTGACGCTTCCTCTCTTCCCCCTCTCCCCCCGCCGGCAGCCGACAGCCTGTGCCGCGATGACGCGTTGGAGAGAACCCTGTATTACGCAACCTTTGGCACCGAAGAGAAACGGAGAGGCGTCGACGGCTTTCTCGTGCGGAAGGCCAAGACGAGCAACACCTCGGCGACCGGGGCGGGAGCGGCTTGCAGCTGACGCTACCACGGCTGCATGATCTGACCTGCCTTTCCTATACTGGAAGCATCTGTATCTATGTTTGGAACCTGCGGTTGTAACGATGGGCCGGAGAAGGGGGGAGGGGCGTGAAGGGGGGGACGGGCATGCAGCCCAGATCGTCGCCCATCAAGCCCGATTCTCTCCGGCAGGCCAATGCGTACATATGTAACTTATTATATGCATGCATCGAGCCTTGGACCAAACTCTTGGGGGTCTTGGTCGATAAACAAAGCCAAAACGTGGACCGGACCGCGACTTGCAACCCTCGGGGAGCAAAGCCCGGTTGCTTTCGCACCGGCTGCTCTCCCATTGCCCAGCCTTGCCCTGCCAACTGTGACCGGGTTTTTCGTTCCTTTTTACTTGTTGGTATGGCTTGCTTCTGCTTCGAATGGCCTTCTAGATGAAGAATAAATAACATGAGCACGGCCATCGAGTAGATGATGCGAGAGTCAAGACGGAGCTTTCCCTCAGGCTTCAAGCTTCTCGCCGTCCTTTTCTCTGCCTCCTCCCCTCTCCCATCCCTTAAGATCTCCGCCTTGCTTGCCAATCGTCGTATGTATATGCATCGCTCCGTCTCCCAGCCGGCAAACTGCTCTGCTCACCCACGCTCGAAAGCGAAACAGCAGTAGGGCTCCTGCGGCCGCACACATGGGGGAGCTGCACGAACCATCCATCATGAGGTCGTCGACAAGGGGAATCGGAAAACTTGACCGTTTCTTCCACACCGCAGAATTCCTCCTCATCGCTCGGGCCTCGTCGCTGTCGAGTGCTACAGAGGACGAGGAGGGCGGTCTGGACGCAACCCCCCCCCCCCTGGCCTAGGATTGCGGCACCGACCGTTGAGGCCGCGCCTAGCTTAGCCCGACGTTTGCAAGTGCCGGGCAACAGGCATTGATTAGTGCAAACTACACCGAAAGGGGAGCCGATTCCCATCCCTCCGGTGCCTCGCCTGAGACAGGCGTTCAGGCTGCCACGCGCTGTTACAGATAGGGCGTGCCGCCAGCAGCCCGGCCTATCGTCGGCATGTCCGGTGGGAGAGGGTGAGGCCGTAGGACATGCCAGAGACCTTGACTGGGACTCCACGGGCCTATTGTTCCGCGCCGACTGGATGATGGTCACATGCAAAGGGAAAGACGAAGGAGCAGGGGCCGATGACATTGGAGCCCTGCTCCTCCGACGGTGTTGACGTGTACTCGATTTGCTGCCGTCAAATGTTGCTGCCTCTCACCTTTCACCCGGGCTCCAGTCCCGGCAAGCTGAACCGAAGTGAGTCCGTGTCAGTCACCAAGAGGATGGATTTCCTTGCTGGCCCTGTTGGTCCTGTCACAGCCTCGTTCCATTCAACGTCTGCTTCTCAGCCCTTGCAAGCTGCCAAGGCAGGGCCTGGCACCGAGGAGTCAGACTTCCTCGCAGGGTCCTGGTCCGGTGGAATGGCGTCCCTCTAGCGCATTCAAACGTCGTCTCCCTCGCCCTCCCTCGCCCTCCTCGTGCTTGACCAGGTCGACGCTTACCACTTGTACGGGCCGCTGTCTCATCCGATTGCTACAGACGAGAAAACAGGGGATCAAGTCACGCAAACGGTCCGTGCTCGCCACGCCGTGCCCAGCAGCCAAAGCCACGAGTGTCTCATCCCGCCAATCCTCCCCAACCATCCATCCCTTCAAGGGACGCGTCAGAGAATTGCCATGAGCACACACCAACACCGCGAGAGAGCTGACGGGACAGGGTGGTCTGGCCGAGACCTGCCGACGCGGCGCTTCTTCGTACGCTATTGCCGTCTCAACTCGTGTTTTTTCCTGAGAATTCATGTAGCTTGAGGTGTTGGTGAGCCCATCCCCCACCCCTCCCCATTGAGACGACAAGGGGAAGTATACCCCCTGTTTATAATTTCTTTTTTCCAGTTCTCTCTCTACTGCAAGACACCGTGAGCGACGTGTCAGAAAAACATATAAGAGGGGGGCGAGTTCCTCCTCACCCGGGGGCAAATTTCTCTGCGTACCTGACAGCTGGGCCCTGCGTGCGCCCTGCCGTTCCTCCGCGTCTCCCCACCTCGACGACAGCTGCGCATGGCATTGAACCGGTGGATATTGTCTCGCAGGTTACAGCACCCTGGGGACGACATGCGTACAATCTGGCGCGCTCATATGCGCCAAAGACGCGAAAACTGAAGCCGTTCCTCTGCTCGTGTAGACAAGGCCCATCGCAGCCATGCTCAGTCTGCGCAACGCACATCTCTGCAGAAGAGCTCTATCGCTTTATATACACCCTCATCATAATTAGTACAACGTGTCCCTAACTGCTTGGGTTGACCGCCAAAGGTCTCCTGTACAGCGTTGCCTTCGTAGTCTCCGCCGCCTCCTCCGGTATAGTTGCGAACTTGGTAAGGACCTTTTTCAGGGCTGGTCGCCGAATCGGCTTGCTCAAGAACTCGTCCATGCCCGACTCCATGCACTCCTTCACGTTGCTCTCCTCCGAGAAGGCGGTCAGGGCCACAATGGGCGCCGCGTAGCCCATCTTGCGGATGAGGCGCGTCGATTGCAAACCGTCGAGGTTGGGCATTTGCACATCCATGAAGATGACGTCGAAGTTCCGGTCCTTGTCCATGTTGGCCTTGACCAGTTCGTAGGCCTCTTGGCCATCCGTGGCAATGGTCACATCATACACGTCCTCGAGCTTGAGCATCCTGCTCACGACCTCAACGTTTGTCGAGTTGTCGTCGGCGACCAGCACGCGCAGCCTGCCCTGGCCCGAGCCCTTGTTCGCCATGGCCTTGTCGATGGCGGCCGTCTGCTCCTTTTTACTGGCAAGGGGCGGCGGGTTCGGGTTGGCCGCAAAAAAGGGCGCGCTAAGCCCGACGAGTCGAGGCTGCTCGTCCTCTAGCACGCTCGACGTGTTGTTGGCGTTCTGCTCAAACGAGTTGCGGTGGAAGTGGCTGGCGGCCGACGACGCGATGCTGGCCGGCCGACTGGACGGCAAACTGCTTGACGCGGTGCTCGACGCTCGATCCTTGACGTACTTGAGCGGGATCTGCATGGTAAAAACGGAGCCTACGCCCAGCGTGCTGTTGACGCCGATGGATCCGCCCATGAGCTGCGCCAGTTGCGCGCAGATGCTCAGCCCAAGGCCCGCACCGCCAAACTTCTTGCTGAGGCCCAGATCCCCTTGAACAAAGGGCTCGAAAATCTTCTTCTGCATTGGCTCGGGAATGCCCAGCCCGGTATCCTCGACCTGGAACTCGAAAGTGTATGTTTTTGCGTTTGGCGGTGGCGGCGTCGGCATTCTCTCCCTTATGTAGACGTGAGGAGCGGCCTTGGGGTCGATGGATCTCATCTCCGCAGGCGTGGCCCTTTCTTTCATTGGCGTTGCGGGAGTTTGGTGCGTGGCCCTGGAGTCGACCGAGTGCGTCGTAGATGCGGAGCCGTCGTGCCGACCGCGCCCGGTCCTCGCGGAGCCGTTCTTGACGACCGACGGTGCCCTGTTGTCGTCATTGCGCCTGACCTCGCCGACGCACCGAATCCTTAGCTCCACCCTGCCCCCGGCCGGCGTAAATTTCAAGCTGTTGCTGACCAGGTTGATGATGACCTGCAGAATTCGATGCTGGTCTCCCCAGAGGCACATGTCCTGAAGCCGGCTCGTGCCCGGCAGCCCTCCTTCTGTTGGTTTCCTGCCTGAGCTGCCGGAATCCGGGCTGGACGTGCCCGGCTCGGAGTTGTCCGAGGTGGGCAAGGCCACAGTAAACGTAATTTTGCTCTCGCGCACCTGCTTGTCAAAGATGGACAGCATCTGTGACCTGATGTCGCCTAAGCGAAACACCTTCTCCTCGAGACTGACGTGCTGGCCGATCTGGTTCTTGGAAAAACTAAGGAGATCCTCGAGAAGGTGAAGCAGAAGGTCACCTAATGCTGTTCAGTAAAGGGTCATGTCACTTGGTCGACGCATCCCGCGACGGGGCAGCGAGCAGGCAAGGTAAACAAGGCGACGTACCCGACTTGTAGAGGGTCTTGAGTGATTGCTTTATGCGCACAATGCTCTCTTCCTCCATGCAAATGGCGCACATGCCCATGATGCCGTTGAGTGGCGTCTTGAGCTCATGGGACAGATTGGCGATGAAGAGCGTCTTGCTTTCGTTGGCAGCCTCGGCGGCCTTTTTGCTCAATTCCAGTTCGCGAGTCCTCTCGGCAACCTTATCGTCTAGAGACGTGTACTGCTTGAGCAGCTCGTCCGTCATTTCGTTGAATGTCTGCGTAAGCTCCGTCAGCTCGTCGGTGATGTAGTGTTTGCGGTCCTCGACCCGGCCGGGAATCTTGAATATGTGGCGACGAGCCTCGGCGTCTGCCTCGGCGGTAGCTTTGGCTCTCTGCCTCTTTTTGATGCTCCGTCGGATGTTGGCGATGATACCCTTTTTGGATCCCTGAGACAAAGTGCCGCCCGAGCCGGGGCTCCCATCCTCGAGGTTGTCGTCGTACTCGTCCTCGTAGCCTGGCGGAGCAATGGACTTTTCCGTTGCAGCCTTGAGCCGGCTGATGGGTCGTACGCTGAGATGGGCACAAGGGCAGACCAGAAGCACGACGAGGCCGGCAGTCCCGAACACACAGGCCAGAAGAATCGTTCTCAGGGTTCGGATGGGCTCGTAAGCCTCGCTCCTGGCCTGTTCGACGACCACGGCCCAGTCGACCAGGGTGGATTGAGGACGGGCGACGCCAACTGCGACCGGGATGCCTTGCTCGTTTGTCGTGGACAAGAATGCGGTGGCGTTGTTTGGTCTTGAATTGTTTTGGTAGTAGACGTCGAAGAGACCCGGATACTCGGACAGGGTAAATTGACGTCGGAAGCCTCCGTCGCCATATCCCCTACTCGAGTGGCGATCGGGTTGCCCCTGCGCTGCAATGGGGGGAAGGACGAATCGGGCTGAGGAGCGGGCGAAGGGACCCCGAGGAGGAGAATATGTGCCGTTGCTGGCGGGGAGGGAGGTATTGAAGCGGTTTGAAGGGTTGCCGGGCCCGATGAGGAGGGCCATGCCGGTCGAGCCCAGGCCTTCACGAGTGGTCTGGACGCCGACGAACGACTTGGCCGAGGCTACCAAGGTCATGTAGCCGAGGATGAAGCCGTCGATGGTGAGAGACTTGATGGGGATGGTGAGGGAGATCAAAGCAAAGGATTCGTTGACGATCAAGGGGCCGAGGAGGAGGCCGACATTGTCGTTGAGCCGGACGCCCGGGAAGGCGTTTGCGACAAAGGCCGGAGTGGAGGGGACATAGGGGTTGGGATATCCGAGGCCCTCGTAGGTGAGGTTGGGGTAGAGCGAGGGCGGGAAGCCGTCGTCGGGGTCGCCGAGATAGACACGGGAGCCGTTGGACCTGAGGTAGGGCAGCTCGATGCCCTGGTCGGGGACGCCGCTGCCAGTGACGTTGAGGAGGCCGGTGGGGCTGCCGGTTGTGTTCCTCGGATAGAGCCTGGCCTGGAGCAGGCCGGCGACGCGGCCGGCGCCCATTGCGCTCTCGAGATCGGAGCGGGCATTGATGAAAGGGTTGACGGTGGAGTTGGCGTTGTAGAAGTCGATAAAGGCCTGCTGGAGGAGGATGCGGGTGGCGACGGTCTGGCAAATGGTCTTGACGAGGTCGATTTCCGAGGCGATGCGCGAGGCCTTGAGCGAGGCGGTGAGGGAAAGGCCGTCGGACTCGACGCGGACGACAAAGTTGTTGACGTAGATCCAGGTCGGGATGGCGACGATGGCGAGGGCGACGAGGACGGCCGAGATGACGAGGGCGGCAAGCTGTTCGCGGATGGCGATTCTCATCTTGGCGGCAATCGGGCGACGCAGGCATCTTCTTAGCGAGCTCTGCGCGACATGGTGCGGCGGATCCAGCCCGGCATCGGCGTCGGCGTAGGCGCTGAGCAGGAGGGCCAGGTCGACAGTCGGGGGATGAGGCGGTGGACGGGGCGAGAGGAGGAGGACGAGGGGGAAAATGGAAGAGCTGGGCGAGAAGCTCAGCTCGACGGCCGACAGCAGCTAGTGCCGGATAACAGGATTGGCGGACGCACATGCGAGTGGGCAGATCGAGATAGGTAGGTATAGGAAGTGGGCGCTGCAGGAGCCGCAGCCTCGGGGACGGCCTAGACTTTTTCAGCTAATATTTAGCGCATATGCCCTAGACCTACAGCGGGCTAGCACTGCCTGCGTTGTGAGAATGGATGCCCGTGGATGGATGCGCTTACTTTTTCCCAAGAGCATTGTCTCTCGCGCTTGTGCTTCGGCGCTCCTCTCCGACTCTGCCACTCTGACAGGGCTGCGGTCTCCTGGACGGATTGGGCCACGGTATCCACTGCCAGTTCATCCCTACTCTGGACTCGTGGAGCAGCAAAACGCGGCATTCGCGTGCCACGGAGAGGCATGCAGTGTCACCAACGGCCACATGGCCCGTGGAGAGGATGAGCGACTCGAACTATTACTGTATGTATAATATATGTATGTGTGTATGTCCAGTACGTTTGGCGACAAAACCCGCCATTCACACAGCTCGAACAAAGGCGAGACAGGTCTCGCTTTGGCGCGTCCAAAAACCTGCCGATTTGGGCAAGATAAACAGGCCTATGCTGCTACGGAGTCTTGTGTAGACGTCTCTGTACGCATACAGCCGGCGGCGGAGCTCCGTCGCGGCAAGCAACTCTTCGGTATGCCCCCACGGGCTCAGCGCCGACCCGCCGCCAGCAGCAATTATCGCACAGGGGCATGGCGATGAACCTCTGATGCACAGGCTGTCTGTCCCACAGGCTGCAGCGCGCAGGGATGGCTCGGAAATGAGGCCGTTGCGAGGCGCCCCTTCGGGAGGTGCCCCGGAGAGGATGGTCCGGCGACGGGACTCGGCGGGTACTGCACAGAACGCCTTTCCATGGCGCCGTTAACTGACTAGTGAGTGGCTGCAATCAATCTGACCCCCGTTAACTTATTAATTAATACTCCGTGGCACTTGGAAGGTGGTCCTGGGGTAACAGTGGGGTCCTCCGACACGTGCGGCGGCTAGGCCCGATTCGTCCTCGAAGCGGCCCGGACCGTTGTATCGGGCCCGTTGCCAAAGGGGGTTCAACATGCTGCACTCGACATGTTACAGATGATCAACACTGTTCCCCTCGTACTGGCATGCCTCGGATTATGACACTGGACGAGCCAAGCTCAACTCTCTGCCGGGGACCGCCATCGCAGAGGCTGGGACTGCATGGCGTTTCAGGGGTACACCAGCCTTTGCATCATACTTCGTCCATCCCACCCACGGGCACCTCTACAAATAGTGCTCGGCGAGTATCTCAAACTCGTCCTCGAACCTGTCCATGGCCTACCTTGCCGGCCCACCCGTGGGTCCGCCACTCGTGCGAAAGCTCAACCCCAAGGAGAAACTTGCAATACTGCCAGTACTTTGGATACCACCCAGCCTGCTCCCAGTCGGTAATCTCGACAGTACTGAAATTGCCCGGCGTGCCTGTGACCATGATGTTTCCGAGATCGCTGCTCTAGACGCTTTAGAGCTGCGACGATTTGTTCCAATTGAGTCGTCATAGATTCCTTGACCTCCTCGATAAAAGACGGCCACGCACGACGCAAGGTTTGGCCAGGCATCAAATTCATATATACGAACACGTGCCGATCTAATTTCCTGCGCCCAAACAGCTCGGGCACTGGGATTTCGTTGATTTGAAAAGCATGCTTAATGGCTCACATTGTCTGCGCTTCCTCCAGCCTAAGCCAGACATGGTGCGCAAATTTGACCACGAGGTTCAGTGGCTCGTAGATGACCATGTTGCTGTGCTGGTAGCTGCGGCCTTGGAGGGCCTCGGCCCGACTTGGCAGAGACGCGTGGCAACGAGAGAAGGTCGTGTCGCGAAAGTCGGCTTATGCTTGCGTGATGTCGAGCAAGGAAGCAACATCGATGATGGGCTCACGCGGGCTTCTAAGTAGCCATGGTTGATCCGCCATCCTGCTACTGAACGCAGGTCGAGTGGTAGGGCGTTTAAACAGGCGTTGGTTGGTGCGTGCAGAAAACATTAAAGTCCAATCACGTCTTTTGTAGCTTTAGCCAAAGGCCGGTAAGCATCACGTTTCTTCCGCCAATCTCGCTAAGGAAAAGTACAGACTTGTAGTCTTGGATCGACAAAGTATACTAAGTCAGTTTGGCCTCTTTCAAGGTTCTACTTCCACAGATATACTTGCCTACATATACATGCAACACAACACCTACCCGCTTCTTCGTAGAGTAGGCTGTACTATCACTTATATAGCCTGTAGCTGTCGAATCGCCCGCTCAGAGGAAAGTTGGACGAGCGAGCCATGGAAATTCGACGCAGACATGACCCATGGAAGACTGTGGTCCCGGGGTCCGAAAGAAGCGACAGAAATCGGATGCAAAAATCTCAGGAATGTGCCGGGGTGCTGCCCAGATTCCCTTCATTATCGAGAGACTCTCACCCATAAACATCCTCACGCTACCTGTTCCGAAAACCGTTTCTTAGTAGGCGTCCGTCTTAGACATTTTTCATTAACACATGGTGTCTTCTGTTCCACTTGCCAAGGGAGAAGATCTACTCGGCTCTCGGTCGGCGCTAGGGCGAGGAGCAAAGGGGGATTTTAGGTCGCAGGTCGTTTTACTGCAAGTTATCTCACTGTACGAAGTAAGACATCAGATGAGGCAATATTACGAGTGGCTGAAACAGGTTCAGTGCCGAGACCCGAGCGCTGCTGCTACTCGTCCGTTTATGTCCTGAGCCGGGAGTCATTCGATCGTGGGTAACAAGACTACTGACCTCACGTCTCTGTGCTAACGAGATTTACAGGCAGCGAAAGCCACCTAGAAAGGTCGGATTATCTATCAACTCAAATCAACCATGTGGAATAAAATGATCATGGCCGGTGTCACTCACATTACACCAGATTTACGGACGATGAGGGCATGGGGGGATGTATTCGAGCACTTGTAGGGACGGATGTATTATTATGATATAGCCGCCCCTTCTCCTGACTTTGCTTCTTTCTCTCCGTCGTATGGATTCTGGACCTGTTATCCTTGACAAGAGTTCTGCCACTCACTTAGCTTGCTGCATCTGCGGCATCCCTAGGGTCTTGGCCTCGTTAGAAATGCTTTTCTTTGATGTCTGTATTGCTTCAACAGCTTTCAAATGATGCTCTCAGTCTCTCATCGGGCCATGAACAACGTTCACCCTTTTTTTACCAGATTCCCTTTTTCGTCACTTGGGACTGTCGTATTCAACAAGCACCCGGCTCGGCTGAATAACCGTCACATGCATGGCGTCTTCCATTCCATTTTGACCACTATGATATTGTGCACTTGACCCGGTGCCGCCAAGAAGTCCCTGGCTTTTTCTTGTTCTCATTGTCCCTCTCCCTATCGCGTCTACTTCCCGTATAGCTCTTGTCCTTGCAACGGGAGTCTTCCGCCTCGGGCGGTGGGCCTTCTTTATCGGCCCCGTCTCCTTCTTTGTTCGGCTCTCGTCCGTTACCCGGCTGATCAGTACCAGCATCGGGAGTCCTCTCTTCCTCCCCTTCTTTCTTTTTATCCTTGTCCTCTTCGTCCCCCTCCTTCTCCCTCTCCTTCTTCATCGCTTCGTCGTTTTCGGTCGCCTTGCCTTCCTTCATTTTCTTCCTTTTCTTCTTTTCCTCCTCCTCCTCCTCCCGGGGGTCCACAGGCCGAAAATTTTTATAGCAACTGAGATCGTTGTTGCATACCTTCATCTTAATGAAATCATCCAGTTCGTCTGCCATAGACTTGTCCGCGAATTCCTTCCACCTATCGTCTTCCCACGCGGGAGAACCTTTGGGAAACCCGGCGAGCTGAAACTGCGCGCCGCTGCCTTTCTTACCTTCATACTTGGCCGCTTTGTAAAGAGGGTTTGGGACGAATGCATCCTCTCTGAAACCCCTCTTATCCGCGGTTAACAGACTTTTGGCGTTGTCCCGGGTTACCACATAGTGCCCCATGATCTGGTCGGCCGGGACGTATCCCGCCACTGATTGCTCCAGCTCCCGATAAATACCGTGCTCACGGAGACTGGCCCTTGCATCGATCATCTTCTCATCGGCGTGTATCAGGTATACGTATCCGGTTGTGGCCGGATTCTTCTTATCGCGAGCATATGAGAGGGCATATTCCGGGCTCGTAGTCGTTGAGACGTACTGCGAAAACTTGAGATTAAACCCTTGGCTGTGCATAAATAGACTGCTCCCATCATCGGCATCTGTGGTAGAAATATCTTCTTTTTTACGGATTGCCTCGAGGCCTCGTGAGAAGAAACCGTCTGCGTCGTAGACCTTGTCTGAAGACCTGATATGTTCGCCGCGCCAAACAATTTCTGGATACAAGGGGGCATATTCGTCTTCGACACCGCGTTTGACTTGTCGCCGAGCCGCGGGGGATGAAGGCAGGCTTTCGCAAAACCCGAAAAGCAGCGAGAGGGTCGCCCATAGGAGGGACAGCCAGAGCCTCTCCACCATGGCTGGGTCTTTCGATATACTCGAGAGCAGAAGGCCGGTTTGAAATGTGTCAAGTCAATGGGGATGAAGGACGGGAACGGAGAACATATTTATTGCGTACTTGGGCATGACGAGAGAGAAAATTCCTGCTCTCTTGTCTTAGTTATGTGACCCAGGCCGCACAGCAGGCACAAGCGCGCCCACTAATATCATGCAAATAGCTACACCAACTTCAAAACCGTGGATCAGGGTGACTGAGTAGATATTAATTAAATACGAGCAATATGTTCATGCTGGAGATCCACGAGGCATAATCGCCAATATTCGCCAGACTAGCCCACGGAAAGAATCCACAGCATTGGATGATTGTTGGGTGCATGAACACGGGATGCTTGTGGGATGCATGAACAGGCGCCCGCCGCCCCGTGTTTCCCGCTTGCCAAGATCAGGCGGCCTATCGCTGAGTTCGTGTCAAAATGCATGTTACTATTTCGTAATGTCGCACAAGCACTGAGCATTCTAGGTGAAAATGCAGCTCAGGTGGCAACATCGCCACCCAAAGGCAACAGAACAACTACGAATCCAAGAGCCTTGTTTTCGGGGCTTTAAACACAACCATAAGAAGCCAAGTTTATGTGTACCTAGGTAGCTGGCTAACTCATCTTACTAAGCGAGTACCCTACTTTTGTAAACGCCTTATTATAACTCCATGGAGCTGAGTTAAGTTGGTTGACAGCATCCTAATTGACAAACTTCTTGAAATTGCCACCATGCCTCGATGCGGGAATAAGCGAATTTCTCAGTCGAGGAACTCCCGCAGAATTATAACCTTGAGACCAAGTTCCTCAGGAGTCTGCTCCTCGTCTCTCTTAACCATGCGCTTATCGAATAACTTATCTGGATATTCAACAATCACCTGTGACCTCTTGGGCGTCTTGTTGTCCTGGTACAGAGGCGTGGCTAAGTCACACGGCTTATTTTCGGTCCAGGTGATTGTATATTCCTTCTCAGAGGCCCACCAATTATTGCCAATAAGCTTGGACGGAAGGACCTTGCCAGCCGGCGAATTATTCTTCTTGGTCATGTTGTAGTATTCGGCTCCGATCTTGGCCCAAGCAGGCACCTGCTCGTTGACAGAGGGAAGCGTGAGATTGGCCTGCATAAAGTTCTTCAAGGCCTCATGGGCGGGGAACTCGTCGGAGCTCCCCACCCCCTGGACCAACCTATCGAAGCAAACTGGGTCGACTGTTGGCACCTGGGGGCAGGTCCCCGTGAGCTTTGCAACATAAGTCCAGGTTTGGATGGAGCAAGTAGTCTGGGCAGGACACTCGAAAGTCATGCTGACATCCTCGCGAAGCTCGTTTTGCTGGCCCGTCTCGCTGTTCTGCTCATTGGAGCCTGTCTGACTGCCAGAAATAGAGACCGTCGCGCCAGAGCCGGCGAAGCCGACGGTGACGGAAGCTTCAGCCCCAATCGTCGTAGAGTCTTCTATCCTCAACCCGCTGGAGGAAGTGTCAACCCTTGCGGTAGACGTAGAGATGTCGATCGACGCAGCGCTTGATCCAGTCGAGAATTCCTTGTCTATATTGGCAACAATCTCGATGTCGAGTCCCTCTGGAGTGGCAAGGAGTGGGCGATGCATATGGTAACAAGCGTAGCCCTCGCCTTTGAGATCATAAGCCACATGTGGCGGCCCCTTGGCTAGAATGTCGCCCTTGAGGCGTCTGATAGTCCTCTGGGCTTTTTGCGTCCTGCGAGCCAGATCTCCAAGGTCCAAAACGCCAAAGTCTCCTGTGGCGGCACCGTGGGCGCCCAGGGTAAAGAAGAGAGCGGCGAGGGCGCGTTCGGGAATCATTTTGGGTTTAAACGAGGGCTTGATATGTGTTTGAATGCACCAGAGGCAACTCTGTAACAAGCAGCGATGCCTTGAACGAATGAATGAGCGACAGGGGGGGTGAAAATCAGTCTCGTGAGGGAGCGGGTATATATGTGTGACAGTATGCGTGTGCAGCAGATGAACTTGCAAAGCGCCGTCGTCCAGTCATGAAGCACAGCTGCCATGGCGGCCTGAGCTTGCCATAAAGCTAATTCTCCGATAATAAGTGAAGAGAGCCAGGCGTTCCTAGCTAGGCGGGTTTACCGAGTAATGAATGCATGGCGCAGCACCGGCCACTAGGCCACAGCATAGCAACCAAGACCGAATTAGGCAATGCAAATATATTGAAAATGCAGCAACCGTTGGTACGCTAGTGCGGTATGCATCGCTCGTCTTGTTTATGGACCCGTCTACTCCGAGACGCGGGATGCCCATCTTCCTTCTGGTTTGCCTCGGCAGGAGACTCGAACGTGGCACGGGCTGCAATCAAACAAAGATTCATGCAAGGCCAGACGCTGAGACGGCCTTGCGGGGTCGCTACGCGAGTCATAGTGGTCACTGGCTAGAATACTGAAGCTATAACCAGAGATCCAAGCTCCCTCTTCCCCCATTCGTGCCTCTTGTCGCGAGGTTTCAACTCGTGAACCTGACCACGGTTTCCGATACTGACGTCGACAAGGAGGATGGAATTGGCACATCTACTCCCACAACGGGGCTGGAGTACTTCGCTTTTGGGCCCGGACGGTGCTCGGACGGCGGCCCTTTCCCGGCCGGTACCTGACGGGTTGCACTTGAAGGTGCAGGGTATGAGGTTGTAGACGCATACGAGATGACGGCAGTTCCGGGGCCAGGACGGCTTTGGTCGGGAGACTGCATGAATAATACCTTGCATCAAAGAGGCACAGTACGCCAAAGGATATGGATGCTGATAACGGGTTACTGACAAACGTGAAGTGCAGGCATATATGTAGCCCTTGGGAGTGCTAAAGAGCAATATTACTACCCGACCTGAACGGAGCTCCATGCCGATGCCTTGCTTAGAAATGCTTTGAAGTGAACTGGCCGCGTTGTCGAAGGACTTATCACGGGCTTCGAGGGTATCTCTGCGTCTCTTCCCCGATGGTGGTCTCAATCGGTAGCAATACTCCAAAGATATTTTAGGGATGAGACATATAAGCGTTATGAAAAGAATTCGCTGTGCTCGCAGCACTAAGTAAAATAGATAACATTTTTAATACCGACTGTTCGGCCTTCATCAAACAATGCGCCCACATGCTATACAACTAGAGCCTTCTCCCTCGCTGAGGGAGAAGGCAACGACATGTACCATTATAGACATTCTCTTTCCCGATACATATACAGAAAACGGCCGAGGAAGAAAGCATTCGAGACCGACAGTTGCTCACGGCCTCGCCGTTTCGACGCTGCCGGCCGCATCGAACGACCGTCTTTCCTTGATAAACTTGGGCCACGTGTTGGTGAGGACGAGGTATTTGATGCTCATTTCTGAGTCGTCAAAGACGGTGTCGACAAAGATCTCTGGGATGTCGCCCCAGTAGCGCACCTTGTCCAGCGTCTCGTTGGAGCGCGGCTCGTCGTCAAACGGCGTGGCCGGGTCAGGGGTTCGGCTTTCTCCGTAGATGACGCGGGCGGCCGGCTCGAAGACGGCCTGGAGATTCTTGAAGTCCTGTGATGACAGATTTACCTGGAACTCGGCGCTGTTGCTGCTGATAAAGTCTATGTAGATGCGCAGGGCGCTCTCGAAGCACTCGCGCGACAGGACATGCTGCCCCGACAGCACAGTCTCCTTTTCGTTGGAGACCCGGTCAAGAGACGACTCGCGGTTGTTGTGCGCCTGGACCAGATACGTGGCCCGCCACTCGCGAACGCGCGTCAGGAAGGCAATGTTCTCGCCCGAAAAGTCGCGCAGGGCGGAAAAGTGCTGCAACGGCTCCGGGTTCTTGGCAAGCGTGTGCTCGAGGGCGTCCATGGTGAGGATGGAGCCGTTGCCCGAGCTGCTAATGGACGACGTCTTGCCACGGCCCATCCATGCAGGCATTCCTGAGGAGCCGCCCGATGTGAGCGACTTTGCGCAGTGCGCTGCAGACTTTTGCCGCGACTCCCACCGTGCGATCGAGTTGAGCGTCTCCTGGCATAGAGCCTGCTGTTTGCGAACCTCCCAGCAGGGAATGAAGACGGTGAAGATTTCAATCATCATGATGGACAGGCCGATCCTGCAGAGTCTTAGCATCTGAGTCTGTCTCTGACGTGATGGGAAACATACCATTGTGGCGGAATAAAGTATTTGTTGACGGGGGCCATCCCGGGAGCGTAGATGCCAATGAGCCACATGGGCGCGGCGTGAAGACTGAAGAGACAATGTTAGTTGAGTCCATTACCTACGAGGTGCTTTCACCTGAAAGATCCCACCCTGGCTGACGAATGGTCCACACTTACCCAGAAAGACAGCAGGCAATGGTCTGCGTACGCCATCCCTGCGTGTCGCGAAGACCGCGAGCGCGCCATAGGATAGTGGGAGCTATAATCCAGGCCCAAAAGAGCTGCCAAAAGACTGAGGGCCACCTAGTTTGCCGAAAAATGTCAGCTGTGTTGCAAAAGATCAACAGGACGAACAACTGGGTCTGCAGGGGCCATACCATTCCCAACCTCGACCTTGAGCCGTCTTAACCTCCATGTAGGTGCCGCTGACCTCGGTGCCGGGGATGCCGAAAGACGAGTGGAATTTACGCGAGACGATGAACATGAAGAGCGTCAGGAAAAGCTGTTTCCCCTGCTGTTAGCTATGGGAGCCGGCTCGGCCTCTCTGCTACCGTCATGAATGGGACAGCCGAGTAGCACTCTGTGCTCACCTGGAAACCCATGCCGAGGCCGACGACCAGGAGCATCTTGTAGCTGTAGTCGAGCATCTTCCACCTGGCGACGAGCGTCTTGCGAATCCGCGGCCGCTCGTGGTCCCAGCCGGCGTCGGCGGCGTTGTTGACGTATTTTTTCTGGGCGTTCGCAACGTAGAGGAAGCGGCTGTTGGAGGCATGGAAGAGGGCGATGCCAAAGGGGAACCAGATTCCCATGATCCAGTACTCGGCCACCTCGGGCATCAGGGGCCCGTAGACGTACCCTGTCGTGACGGCAAGCCAGTAGAAATGTAGTAGGGTGACGGCGGCGAAGGATAACGGCAGGCCTCGGATCCTCAATATGGGCATGTCGCGCCGGGTATAGAGATATACCATGCCTCCGATGAGAACCGTCGTCCAGACGACGGCCCAGACGATCCAGAATATGCCCACCCCGTCGAGCCGCAGCTCGGGCACCGTGTCGGGCGTGACGCCGAACTCGGAACCCATGGCTGCTGTTTGTGGATGACAAGCAAACTAGGTTGCGGAAGCAGGATTAATGGTCAGGAAGCGGGGGAACGTCGAGGAAGAAGTGGGTTTATCGTCCTCGTTGGGAGAGCAAGAGCCACAAGATCCCTAATGGCGGCCGTGGCAGTCCGACGGTGCGGAACTTGCGAGGTGCATTGGGGTGAGGGGAGCTTGGTCTTTTGATATAGTTGCTAGGACGAGAGGATGCAGATCGAGAAAAGTGCCGGCACCGGCACCGGCACCGATGAGGCGTATGTAGTCGAAAAGTGACAGAATCTCTCCCCCTCTCACTCACCTTTCGCCCATGTACTGTACCCAGTCGTATGTGATCTCTGCCTTGTCTCACATCGCCTTTTTTACAAAGCCCCACCCCTGCCTTTATTACGCAGTATTGCTTTTATTTTTCTATACCTAGAACTTCCCAACTCTCGGGCGTACTCGTGGGGGGGAATGGCTGGGGCTGGAGGCGGCGGGGGATAGAACCCCATTATACGGTCAGTACTTCGCACGTTTGGCAAAAGAATGGCATTGCCCGTCGATCCCTATGGCTTTCCTGACGGCGTCGCAAAAGTAAAGACGGAGTGGACCGGGCAGGCAAGAAGAGCCGTTGAAAAGATGCCAGTCCGCTAAGGCCGTCACTGATGGACGAGCAAGACGAGCGTGTAAATGACGAGAGAAACAAAAAATGGAGACGCAAAAAGAAAGCATACTTGTCCGGCGATGTTGCTCCAGGTGGGTGGCGTGGGGGTCGGTAATCTAAACCATGCTTCTTGTCCGGGGCAAAAGGCACGGGGAGGGAAAAGGAGGGCGGGGAGAACGCAAGAGAGAGTGTGAGGCTGGATCAGGCTTGCCTGTTCGGACGAATCTCCTACCAAGGACAGCGCCCGAGGTGGATGTGAAATGCGGATCGTCGTCCGCATGTGTTGGCTAGCTGAGACAGCCAACACGCAAGCCCGCCAGCCTATCCAGCTAGCCGGCATATGGGAGCCGAGGTTGCTTTTTGTCTTCTTCTCTGTCTTTTGCTCTTTACTTGCTTTCTTTTTGGCATGCGGCTAAACCTCCTTTCTAGTCCAAAGCGGGCTTGAAACAAAAAAAGTTAGAACAAGCCCAGGACGACAAGAGAAAGATCATCTGGTAAGCTTGGCAAAAGAGATTTCATGTCGCCGTTCAGCCTTTGGAGGTACGGTACACAGTTGATACGTCAACATCACACACGAATAAAGGTACGTAGTACGAACAGGTCACTTACATGCATTGCGCGAGCGGCAGGGGTAAATATTTGTCTGTCCTTTTACAGTGGGGAGAGACACCGGCGAGGGCTGAGCGCCATCAACCCTTGCCAGTAATCCACGCTCGGTCTACCCTGTCTGCCTGTGTAGCCCGAGATCCCGGGGAGCTGGAAGGCCAGAGATTCCCGTGCCTGTGATATCTTGTTCTCCTCCTGCTGAACCCTGCCGGGGCCCCTACCCGCATGCTCTTCGCAGCAAGGGTTTCCGTCGCTGCGGCCCTGCTCACGCGGGTGTGGTGGGAAATGTGTGACGAGTTTGATGACCCTTTTCTTGTGAGTTGTTGTCATTTTCCTCCCGGCGTTCGAGGCCTAGCAGCCTGGTATGCCAGAGAGCTCGGACTCGCTCATCCTGGCCGACAGCATAGTTACTATGTCTATATGTACCTTTCTACTCATCAGATTGCTTATACGGTGTGAAGTATAAGCACTTGTCAAACCTTACTCGAAGTTCGACCTCGCAGCTCGGGCCAGCAAACACTCCCTGCCCACACGAATAGATCTAACGGCGGCCTCGCAACTAACCAAAGGCGGAACTCTCAACGGCCCCCGCTAGCCTTGCATGTGCGTCGGGCTCAGCGTGCCGGCGTTGGCCTTGAGACCTCGACACACGGGTTGGACCTTGCAGCCTCTACACAGCAAAATGGTATCAAAGGCGGGACGCGAACAGACGTCGCGCCGCTGCCGCCGCCATGTTTCTCGTCCGATTTGCCCCCTCCCCTTCAGGCTTAGGAGCATTTGAGATGGTGGGCGGCGTTTACGGTGGAGAAAGTGACGCAAAGAACACTGAGTCGCGCAATCACAGACTCGCGCCAGCGTGGAGTAATTACCTTGTCGTTAAAAACCCTCTCACTCAGAAACACACACGGGAATTCAGGCGGGAGCGGCGAGGTGTAACATGACGAGCCTATTATGAGCAGCGGCGCCAGGGCCGTGGGGCTGAGACCCGGAGGCATGGTCATGTCCCTGCTCTCTTGGCTCTTGGAAGCTTGGCTGCTTGGCCAGCCGCTATCATTATGGCACGTGAGTTCCACAAACACTGGACGAAGGTGAGAATAGAAATATGAGTGAAAGGGGGGAAAGGCGCCGTGGGCACGGCCCGTGTTGGGACACATCGTGGCTGTATCACCCCGTCGACGCGCATCTGCACTTGTCAACGATTTGTGCGCATGACCGTCAGTCAGTGCTGACTGCTGATGAAACGAAAAGAAAAATAATAACAAGAGCACGTTCCTCTTTCTTGGGCTGAACAAGTCATTCCTCTCTGTGGCTCCAGCTCTTTCTCGCTGTCGGGCTTTCTTCTTTGCTTCTCGCCGAAGAGGCTCCGGAGGATAGAAGGGAAAACTAAAGAAGAAAACAAAAGCAAGGAGTAAAGCTCGACGGTCGCGCCAGGGTTCTGCGAGTTCGCCCCCCAGCATTTTGTCGTTGCGGGAGTCGTAGCGGCAAAGGGGAAAAAATGAAGGCCAGCAGCTAGGGAGCGGAGAACCTGACGATCGCCGCTTTCGAGAGCTGGCGCACTGTCATGCTTTCTTTTTCTCCCAGACACCGGACCGGGGTTGTCCAAACTGGGCTTTGGAGCGCCGTCGAGGTCGCCCCAGGCTTGCTACCTAGGCCTGTACGAAGCATCACTCCAGCAAAGCGCCGGCACGATCAATCAATGCCATGGGGGGATATAAACATTGCCCATCTCGAACAGGCGTTGGCTAATACAGAGACGTGGGCATCAATCGAACCGTACAATTCAATTAGGCAACCATCGAATTGAGAAACAGAAAAGGCGAGCAAGTGGAAATTTGTCTCTGCAAAGCCAAAGCAAGTCTAGGATGCAATGCGCTGTCCGAGCTTTTCTCTCCGAGCGGTCAGGGGCTACACCGAAGCGATCCCCACTTGGAGCATGGCGTAGAAAGGGTCTCTTGGCATGCCCGGGAAGCAGAAGAGGCCATTCCCGATGGGCTGCTTCATCGAACAATACGTCGGCGGCAGACGGCCTGAGCGTCCGCAGTCAACGCCGCAGGGGCGCATCGTGCCATGTCCGCCCGAGAGGAGCATGTCAAGGAGATCGTGAAGAGACGAGTCGTTTTTGTCCTCCCCCTCCCTGCCTCCAATCTTTACATCCCTGCATTTATGTGCCTTTTGTCTCGCTCGGCTTTCTTTTTTCTTCCCCTTCTTTCTTCATACCGGCGTCCTCGGCACGCTAAAGGCAGGGTCAGGGTTCCGACTGAACCCGAAGCTAGACAAGGGGGACCAGACGGTTCCCCCTCTTCAAGCCTTTCTCCCCCTCCCCCTCACTCTTACTCTTTGCTGTCGGCAGAGCTCGTCGTCGAGTCCGGTCCCCTTAAGGTGCATGCGTGCCGTGCTTGTGACCCGGTCTCTGGACATGGTCGCCTTCGTACTGCCCGGGCCTTTGATGCAGGAGTACATCCTAAAGCTCTGCTGCATCGGCCAGGGGGCGCCACTACAGTATTCACCAACGAACGCTGACATGAAGGGGCGTGCCTGGAGCTGAATGAACTTGATGGACGAAATCCCAACATGTCTATAATCAGCTGCCCACATGCAGCTCATCGCAAGGACTCCGTATGCACTTCGTACTTACATTGTCGGTAACTCGTTACGCAAGGCGAGAGCTCCCCTCTGAGTGGACACATTGACCCAAGAAGGGAAAACGACAAGAGAACGTAACACAGAGCGTGCAGGTCATCCAGCCCTTTTCCAGCCGGGCAGCTTCGCAATCTCCCTGCCGCGAACAAGCTTTCCCCGGCAACGTGACAGCACCGCGCAGGCCGACTGGTTCTCTACCATGGCCGGGTAAGCGCAGCGGTCAGGGTACCAGCACCGCAAAGCCTCAATGACGGTTCCCGATGGCACGTGTATCTGGTTTACAAGTAATTCCTGTCAATTGCGCCGAGCACAATTCCCGATTCATATCACGGTATGCGGGATCCCGTCTTTGGCAAAAAACCCTCTTTTTCCCGCCCCCCCCTTCCCTCCCCCCCCATCCCCCGGGCCCGACAGGAGTGTGAGAGAAAAGGAGACGGGCTGAGGACATCTTCAGCTTGCGCCTTCGCCGCTTCGCATTTACCTACCCGACACAAACGCCACAGAGAACAGCTCGCGGGGAAATATTGGACGCTTGTCGTTGATGTCTGTCATTTTCCCGAGATTTCTTTCTTTTTCCAGATGGCTTTGGTTTAGCTTGTGCCGTCGCGGTGTGCGCCAAAGACCTCTGACCGCACCTCTCCTTTTTGCCCGACACTTTTGTGACAACTCAAGGGTGGCAAAGAAACAAGGAAACGGTCTCTCTGTGACGATTTCAAGTTGTGTAGCCGCATTAGTTTTGTCTCTCTTTGCTTTACCTTTTGCTTTTTCCTTGACTTCATCTTTCCCCACTACCCATGGATCAAATACCGACCGGCGGTGTGTCGACGCGTCTGCTACTGTGCCAACGTGTTACCTGAGCAAGTCAATAGCAACAGATCAATTTGACACAAGGTTCGAGGCGTTTGGGTTGCTAAGAGATGCCCTGATTCGGTATCATTCTTCTCATGCCCAACGGAATGTTAGCCGGGGCAAGATGCGTTGACGAACGTGCACGACAAGGAAGCAAGCCTCCTCCGCAAAAGGCTCTCGTCCTGTCTGTGCACGCCAAACCCAAAACATGGGTCCAGCGCCAGCACGATTGGCGAGCGTTCACGCATGCATAAGCGTTGAGAAATCTTGGTCCTGACCAACTTTGCACCGTGGACGACATGGTTCTTGGCCCAGTCCCAACCCTCCTCTTGAAGCAAGAGCAAGAAAGAGATGCAGTCACCTGACGGGAAATGGCGGAGCTTTGTATCGCCTTACTGCCAGCCACACCGCGCAGCTTGGCTGTCACTTAGACTAACATGCTCTTCTCCACCCCTGAATGTGACAGCTGCCCCATGCGCGGATCCATTCCAGGATGAGTGCGTGTCTGCGAGGTGGCTGGCCGCGGCGTCTGAATCAACCATCTCGTTCAGGGAGGGTTGCGGGTTCAAACCTTGATTGGGACCAACAGGAGAAAGGAGACGACTGGAGTGGCGGAGGAATGGCTTTAGGTATCCTATCAAGCCTATGTATGTACAAACACTCCGCTAAATACATCAAATCAAGCTCCGGATTCTCCTTGTTCTCCGACACGACCGGAAATAGAGGCGGATATGAGGCCCGGGCCGCAACCCTGATGAGACTCCATGACGACACCCTGCCCTCGAGAACACATGGACCACCGATGGATGGGTCTTTCCGCCAGATGCGTGAAGGTTGAAAGGGAAATTCCCTGTCATTCGTCAAAGCATCCAAGGTCAGGCAGGAGATAAAGAAAGCAACAAGGCTGCTTATCCAAAAGGCATCAGCCACGTGTTAGCCCGAGGAGCAGCGTGAGCCAACAATGGTAATAGTTTGGTTGAGAGCGTCGAAGGCATGACCGAACATTCGATTGATCAATTTTCAAGCCCAGCTCGGGCCGAAAGCTGGCTCATGGCTGATTACAGGATTCGAAGAGAGGGGCATTGAGCCTTGTCTGCTGAACGGGAAATGACTGCGGGTTATCCGGCCTTCAAATGGAGCCAGATATTCGCCGGGGGGGCGAAGACGGCCACGCGAGATGGCCATGGAGACTTCTTTGCATGGAAACGTGAAACGCGGCCGCATGCGTCAAGGGTATGTGTGTTGGCCGTCGACGACGTTGGAGTTGGATGTTCCCTACCTTCAAACAGGGATAGCTGGATGTTCTTCACCACGCTTCTTCTTCATTAGTCGACTCGAAGCCAACAGCGTCACCGAGGCTGATGGTGTAGGTTTGAGGAGGTAGCATCCAAGGCGACGACGACACAACATGGAGGTATGTAAACCGGGTAGCAAGCACCCTCCAGAGACATATCCAATCTCATTGAGGCAGCTTGGCGGGAGAGCAGGATCGGCGCATCTCCTCGTCGCGCCTCATGTCCGCAAACCACATGTCGAGGCGCAGCTTCTTGTCCTCGCTGGCCTGCAGACGAGCCTGGTAAGCAGCAGCCGCGGCAGCAGGGCGGCCGGCCCCTCCTTCGTGGTCAGCAGCCATGGTCCAGAGGGTAACGTGCTCGACAATAGCAAGCGTGGCGACGGCTCCAATCTCGGCAACGGGGCTGCGACGGTGCTGCCGCCAACACGCGGCCGCGAAGATGAGGACAAATGTGTCGGCGGCGTCGCTCAGCAGGTTGACGGCCAAGGCGCGGCGCACCTCGCGGTCGGAGCGGCGGTCAGCCGTGGCCAGCAGGCCGCCGAGCAGAACGTCGCGCACGCCCAGCAAGCCGCTGACCAGGAGCACCAGCGAAGCCCCCTCGCCACCACTGCCGCTGGCTCCGGATAGGGGCGGCGGCAGGTCGACGAGGCCCGGCAGCCCGAGGCCCAGCGCGGGAAAGGCGAGGAGGATGATGCCGCGGGCGATGTGCAGGGCGGCGAGGACGGCGATGGCGATGCGCTGTGCGCGGTTAACGGCCAGAGCGGCGGCGGTGTGCGGGGCCGGAAGTGGAGGAGAGAGTCGCCCCGGCTTCCGATCCGGAGCCCCACTTTCGGGCGGCGCCGCTGCCGCAGTGGAGCCGTAGCCGTAGCCGTAGAGAAGTGGGGTTGTGACGGAGGCGGGGGCGGGGGCGGGAGCGGGGGCGAGGGCGGTGGCGTTCATGGCGACCCGAGAACCCTCAAGGCTGCGCTACCAGGCGCTGCTTGCAAAGGTCTTGCCAACAAGACGATGCGAGATAAAAAATGCTCAGGGTCTCCAGGGCGTGCAACAGCGAGACCTCTTCTCCCAAGCTCCTCGGCACGGCTTCGAGCGCTGGGGGAGGAGAGGACTGGAGATGAGGTGGCTGCCGAGGAGCAAACGCGAGAAAAATGACGAGCAGGCGAAAGTAGAGCAAGATCAAGCCAGGAAAAGAAAAGACCAGCCCAGCCCATCGAGGTTTTCCTCTTGGTGCCCTTTTATTTTGTTCCCTGCTCAGTTTATCGGCTTGCTCTCCTTGGGAACGAAACCTCCGTCTCACCGCCCCATTCAAAGGCGAATTCTCACCTCCCCCCCCTCCATCTTCCTTCCCCCTTTTTCCCGGTACCACCAGAATGCCATCATCAGTGATCACCGTGCCGTTGTGACATGGGGGTGTCGTCACCACTAGCTCGCCTCGCTTCCCGCCAGGTCCTCCTCCTTTCACAGGTTCTTTCGAGGGACATGATAAATGCGAAGAAATATACCGAGAAAAAATAACCAACGGCGTACTTCTCTTCTCTCTTACCCTTCTAATATATTATAGACCTGTCTTCCTCCTCCCCGTGAATTCCTTGTTTAATCCCCGTGGCAACACAGAGATAGATAGGCGCACACACTACAATCGCGCCAAAACTAAAGGCCAACCAGTCACGGCTAACAGATGCTGTGGCGATCATGCGAGCCGTTTTGGCCTCTGCCGCTACCCTCCATCAGCCCCCACCGGCGGCTCTTTGGCCCCCCATCTCTTTTTTTCCCGAGTCTCTTCCTGTCTTTGCCTCTCGGATGCGACCCGTGATGCCATCCTCTTGTTCTCGCTCGACATAATTCGACCTATCTGTTCGTCGGAGCTGTGCTCTTGAAGCTGCATTATCGTCGTGGCTTTGGCTGGCCGCCTGTGGCGTTGACCCGGCTTCGTTTCTTCCGTCTTGTCTCTCGTCTCAGAGATCACCATTGCATGGTTGCGCCCCCCAGCTTCGCCCATTCGTGGCGTGGCGCGGCGCTCCTCTTTCCACGGCTCCATTGTCGAATGGGCGTTCCAGCTGCAACTGACGAGAAGCCTCGCTCGGACTGCGAGATAAGAAAAGCCCCCTCCCCCCTTGCGGGGATATGCAACACCCCCCGTCATGAGACAGACAAAAACGTGGGGGTGGGCAGGAGGAGGCGGGGATGCTACTGGACGGTACGCCATCCTTTCAAGGGTCAAGATAAGAGCCCGTTTCCCAGTCTGTCTTCACGTTCCCATAGAGGGAAAATGCCTCGTCACGCTGTAGCCAGCTTGTTGCACTTGGGTGTCACGCGCCATTTTTGGGGCCAGCGCCTTGAACAGATGCGGCTTGAGGCCTTGTCTAGCTATATCCCTTCCGCCTTGTTTGCGTGAGTGAGAGATCGACAACCACAGTATCATGTCCATCATGAGAAGAGCGACTTTTGCACATACAGTACACTCGCCGGGGAATTTCCCCAGGTTTTACTTATTAGTCGCTGATGGAATAAACATGCAATGCTTGACATGGCCCCATCGATTCTGGGATGCGAGCCTGAGTTAGGTGAGTAGCAAGCGGCTGACCCAAACCACATATAATAACTCATACCCTACAATAGATCGCCGTCTAGCTGGCTGCCGTAAGCCACCACCACCTCGGTCAAGCTCGTGGGTATGAATACGTAGGAGGAAAGGTGGTGAGGGGGACTGGAAAGCGGCTTTGGTCGATCGGTATAACAGTGTTATTATTAACCTTTCGATCGTATGACTTAGGCCGCCTCTAGCAATGTTTATTTCGCACTTTACTTCGTAAATTTACTTTAAATACTGGTTATTAAACTTGAAGTTTAAAATTTTTTAAGCTCTTTGAGGCACTTGGCTATAGCAACAAGCCCTTATTGTACACCTTAAACAATGGCTTGGAACATTGCTCATTTCTCTTGTTCCTTATATACCCATCCGTGCGCTTCCTTTGATGATGAGGTTGCGCGCTGAGGCGGCGATAGAGAAGATGTATTTCATCGCAATGCGTGCATCTCCACGAGTGCACCGCTGAAAATGAGGAACAACTTGCTCGCGCCACCGAAGAGTACGTGTCCACGAGGAGGTCTGATGGATTCTCTAACCGTGTGCGCCATTCGGATGGAATCTGTCAACCGAAGGCTGCTTTGCCGGCTGCTGCTCCGCTCCTTTTGCCGTAATAGCTCCCTTTGGTTGTCTATATTCTAATCCCATCTCCTCCACCACTCCCGTTAAGACTTTGTAGCCAGCAAGATGACTATCTCGTTAAGAAACGCTGGCGATGAAAGTCGTCATAGGCGTAACAGTCGCTTTCTTGTAGAAGATACAAGGACAGAGCGCGAGAAGGAAGGCAAACAGTGTGATGTCAACGCGGTGACTTTCTTTTCCCAATTGGCTGCTCTTTGACGCCGGCCTGGGGTGAGCTTGCCAAGCCCTCGGAGACTTGACGGCGGTTTCCATCACTAAGTTCGAACGTTACGACAGAAGGTCGCAATGAATGCCTCATCGTGGAGATCTTTGGCGAACATGTATAACAAGCACGTATGATTATTATGGTGACAACAAGGAATCAATTTGATGTTTAGGATGCGGCTCAACGGCCCTTCCCCACAGAGAAATGACGCATATCTTTGCCGAAGAACCTTGGTTGCTCGGCGGCCCACCTCGTTGGACTCTATTAGTTCGATGTTATCGGATCAGGTGCCTGTCTGGGTGCTGGCTCGAGACATTTTGGATGTGTAGAAGGTTAGACTTGGAGCGGCGGGGCGTTGAACGAAACCACCAAACTAGAAATCACCGCCTCACCGGGCAAAAGTGGAACGCTCCATTAGACGTGATACTCGTACGATTGTTACAGCTGATTCCTTATCTGCGCTGTCTAAGATTCCCCCGAGGTTGATGATCCTCGTTTGCCCTGCCTGGCAGAAACAGTGGGTATATACAGCTTGGTTTCACGACACAAAACAGGTCCAAAATACTATGATCTTCAGTCGACAGATCAGGCCCCAAACTGTTGTATGGGCGAACAGTAACAGCCGGCTCCCTCTTCCTGGACTTCCAAGTCGCTGCGTATTGCCATTGTTAGAATGCCTAGAAACTGGAGAGCATAAGCAGGCGATGGAGAACCTAGGCATGGCGTCCTATTCTTTCCCCGCCTTCTTTCCCTGTCTGGTGCCTAGAAGAGTGAGGTTTTGAAAGTGGAGAGACCTATAGATCAACGTCAGGCTCTGCAGAAGGTTGTGGTAGCAAACCTGTATTCTTAAACCGACAACATTCGATACTTCAAATCTTGTCTTGCAGATTCGAGTCAGTTGCCACTCACCAAGCAGAGGGCGAGCATAATCGACCCTCGTGTATGATGCCTTTTGGATCAGCTGCTTAGGTAGAGCCCCAGATGTGCCGTTTGGAGATGTCAAATTTCGTTCATGACAGCTTGGGCTGGATATGTCGCTGTCCATCTACCCGACTCTTGCAGGCCGCCAATTAGTCCAGCAAGAATAGCAGCCGTGTGCGAGAGCAGTAGAGCCCGACCCTGCGAGGCCGTTACCTGCACAAGCTCCTAGACTACAAGTCATTTCGACTAGGCACCCTCGCCGCATCGTTACCGCCCTCCCTTCTTCGCCCTCTTGCTCGCCCCTCTTGCAGTCTCTCCCCTCTCCACATTGTCGCCAGCCTTCCTCTTCTTGCGCCCCTCCTCCAGCAACTTCTTCATCCCCCCCGTTGCCTTGAACTTGGGGTTTGACGGGTCAATCGCAAACTCGTGACTGTCGAATACGGCATTGAATCGATCGTCGCCCACGTCCAATTCGAACCCTTGCTGGAGACCGCCCCGGCCTGAGCTTCCCTCGTTCTTCTTCTTCTTCCTCCTTGCCTTCTTGGTCTCCTCCTTCTCCGCCCGCATAATCTCGTTCATGTCGAAATGCTCCAGATGGTCAGCCCGATTCTCGTCCGCGCTCTCGGCCATGACCTTAGACAAGCGTGCTGCTTGTTCCGCCACCTCGGCTTCAGCCGCTTGGCGCGCCTCGCGCTTCTTGCGCCGCTCCTCTTTGCGCATAGACGTCTTGGACGGCGCGGCAGCAGGTTCGTCCGTCGTGAAGAACGGGTCTCCGAACCCTGCATCGTCCTCGGCACCCTCTTCCACTGCCATCTCCTCCTCGTCTTCACCTTGCGAGGGAGCCTCGCGCCTGGCCTTTGCGTCTTGTCGCTTCCTCTCTTTCCGTTCCCGCTCCTTGCGCTTGTACTTGTCAATGGTCGTCTCTTCTTGGTCGGGCTCCTTTGCCTTGCGGTCTGTAAGTGCCGGGGCAAACGTGATTTGCATCTCGCCGACGGGTCCGTCTTTTGAGCGACTCGACGCTGCTTCATCTGCCAGTCCAAGCGCCTCTCGCATTTTTTTGCGGGCGAGCTCCTTCTTGGTCAACGTTGGCTCGCCAGCTCCACTTCTATCGTCTTCGCCTTTATCCGCATCCTCCTCTTCGCCGTCGCTGTCGCTGGCGAGGTAGGCTCGCAAATCGTTCTCCTCCAGCTCGTTCCGACTCCCGCTGAATGCCCGGTTGATAGACTCCTTGCGCGATGCTTCTTCCGGGTGCATGTCCCAGGTCAGTTTCACCTTGGAGCTCTGCAGCGCGTTGGTCACAAAGTCCACGGGCTTGTATGAGTCGGGCACCGTGGAACACTCGTCCCGAGCCTCGTCATCAAAGGCGACGTCGTCGGGAACGAACCGCAGGTCAATCACGTTGGACGAGGACTGGTACTCGGTCCCGTCGGTCGCCTCGTAAATGTTCTTGGCTGTCTCTGGACTCGAGCAGACCATGACGGCGTAGTAATAACGCAAGCGGTCCAATTGATAAGAGCGCAACGCGTCGCTGTCGAAGTCTTGATCGTCGCCCTCCTTGATCAGCTCCTTTTTGATGTCCTCGTCCCCGCTGTCGCTGTCGCTGTTGGAGGCGTCGGAGTCGGAGTCGGAGTCGTCTCCCGGCTCATCCTTGAAGAGAGCCTTGGGAGGCCCTTCGACTTCTTCCTGCTGCATGCGCTCTTTGCCAAACTCACTAGGGTAGACGGAGATTTTCAGGATGCGCCCAGAGCTGGGCGGGATGAAGCTGGAGAAGAGGGCCATGAGGTCGGTGGAGTTGACGTGATCCCAGTCCAGGTTAACAATGGCCAGACGGCTTGTGACTTCGCCTATCTCCACCTCTGCGTGTTGGCCCTGGAGGCGCTGCATGTCGTGTTGCGCAACGAGGCCCACGCCGCCATCCTCTTGGTCCTCGTCGTCTTCGTCTGCCGACGAGTCATCGTCCGAGTCCGACTCTGAGGATGAGAAGCCGCCCTGGCGAGCGGGATCGTGCGCTTTCTGCGTAGCTTTCTCGTGTGCCGCCCTCAGCTCCCTCTGGACGAGCTCGTCGTCGTCCACGTCGTCCACGTTGTCGTCCTCTGCCTCGTCGGCAGGCTGGCCGTCTTGTTCGTCTTCTTCAGTTTGGTACAGCCTCTGGAGAGCCTTCTTCTTGGCGTCTGACTGGACTTTCCGGCCGTATCGATCGACCTTTGCGGTGGCGGTAAAGTCTTCATCGTTGAGCATGCCCGAGAATCTCTTGTCGATTGTCGTCTTGGTGTGCTTCTTGGACGGCAGGCGGAATCGAGGGTCAGTTTCGAAGCTCGCAAAGCGCGCATCGGCTATGCGGCTGGAGGAGGAACCCCCATCTCTCCTTTGCTTCTTCATCGGGCGCTGAGTTTTGCAGATTTGCTCCGCGCGCAATTGTAGGCTTGATGATGGAGGGGCTGCTGTGAGAAATTGGACATGGCCGCTTTTTTTCTGCCGGGCGGTGACGGTATCTCTGCCAAAGGCGGTGGGGTGATAATTGCCCAATCGGGAACATTGTCCAGGACTCGACTCGGCGTCTCTCGACATCGGAAACACTCCCATGTGATGCTCTTCCGATGCTATTTCTCGCTTTAAAGCTGTCACGACTTGAAGATGGGGCACGAAGGATATTCGAGCAGTCTTGACACCCAGCATGTGCCCCCCAGAAGCTGCTGTCCATCCATTCACCAGGCGCCGGATCGCATGGACGGTTCACACTCACAGTTGGATATATTGAATGAAGCCTCTATCCCGCCATGGAAAAGGTACGACATGCCTGTTGAGAACTGAGCCGGTGCAATGCATTAGACATTATTGTCAAGAGCTTTTTGCCCTGCCTGTGTTGAATCCAGTCTTTGGCCCTCAAACGCCAGCGGCCTCAGTCAGACTGGTCGGAGGCGATCACAGCCGGGTACGCATGACCAGGCCATGATTCTCCTAATGTCGTCGATCGTAACCCTTTCAAATGACGAAGCTGCTGAAAAGAGCTGCCTGCGTCTTGCAGACATATTTCCTTGCACAAAACGGGCATATATCTCCATCCGACAAGCTCGAGTCAAAGGCCAGACAGGATTCACTAGAAGGACTCGCTGCTATCCATTGGATAAGTGCCGTCGTGTTCATTCCGCCTGGTTGTCCAATGTCACGGATGCTCTTAGGATGTCAGTTGTTTCTATCGAGGCCCCCTGCATCCTGCTCGTCTTCGTTGTTTCCGCGCAGCCACTCCCCCATGGCATAATATACGTCGCCCATTCGAGTGGCGAACATCTAGCAATGTCCTTGGGCTCTGTATTTGCGCATTTTCCCAGAATATACACGGCGATCTTCGAATTCCTGCTGTTCTCTTCCATGGACAATGGCGTGTGGCCTTGCTCATCCACAGCCTCCAAGCTGGCGTCCTTGTCGGGCAGCAGCCGGACGATGGCCTCGTGGCCCTTGCGTATTGTGCAGAACAACGGCGTCGGACCGAAGTGGTTACACCTGGCATCCAATTCGGCGCCCCAGTCTAGAAGCAGCTCGTCGACGGCCTCGTACCCTCCCCACGCAGCTCTGTTCAACGGCGTCCTTGGTACCTTGCGTCCTTGGCTTCCATGTTGGCCCCCTTTTCCGTGACCTCTTAACGCCATATGGCTGCGTGGCTCTTTTCGGTAGCCAGCCACAACGTTCTCTGCCGGAAAGAAGGGGATCTGTTTCCGTCGACAGATCCAGTGTACACAAGCAGCCCGGAGACATTTTCGTGACTATTTTCAGCCGCCCTAAGCAACGGAGTCAAGTCGTTATTCTTCTTCTTTGCCAAGTCCAATGCGGCTCCATGGTCAACCAGGGGCTTCACGTAGACATGGCGACCGAGGGATGCGAAGTGCGAAATCGCTGTTATGCTATTTTCATCTCGGCTGTTGGGATTTGCTTCAAGTTCCAGAAGTGCGCCCACAACCTCGCTCCAGTCGTTTCGAAAGGCGAGAGGAAGCGCTGGCCGCAGATTCTGGGATCCAAGAGATCATTTCTTGATGAAGTCGAGCGCAAACAAAGCCTCTGTCCTGTGTTTGTCTCCTCGGATTGCGTCAACTAGTCGTCGATGGATGTGGTTAGATGACGGGTCTACGTATAGACCTGCGCCGAGCTTGGTGACCGTTTGCTTGACGTCTTGGTAACAGCCCAGAATCTCCATGAGCTCGAGATTTATCTGTTACTCCTGAGTGCCCCAGCCAAATGCATCGTTCACCCGATCAATACCTTGACTCAAGGATTCTCTCCTAGTAGAGTCAGTATAACTGGAAAGTGAGTGGCGATACAGCTTTCCGGTTGCCCGCAGCGCTCTGGCGAAGAAAGATACGGTGTCGGGCTGTCGCATAGAGAAACGCGAGCCGGCCCATCTCAACAAACTCTTCGCCCGATACCATTGCAACCTCTGGTATTCGCTGGTCACCTTGATTATGGCGTCGAGCAACTCATCGGCATCTGGAAGGGAAAGGTTATTTCGCAACGCAGGGTTCATGCACAGAAATGCGTCAGCCTGGATCCCAGGCAGTTCTGCACGAGTGCGTCGGCAAAGACTTTCATTGTGGTGCTCTCAAACCGCACCGAGCCGCCGCTCTTCGTATTAATATTTGCCTTGTCTTGAAGCGGGACAGTCGTGAGCGACCCAATAAGTGCCGAAAAACCTCAAGTGCTCAGATATCGAGCAACGAAAGTTCTGTTGTCGGAGGCAAGTACATTACTTGAAGCCTCTCTTTTTGGTAACCCCGCTGGTCTCCTGCTTCACCTGACACCTTAACTGATGAACCGCTGGGGTCGTTGTATTCTTTCACGGTCTCCTCAGAAGCGCTCCACTCGGAGTATCGCCTCAGCTGATGGCTCGATTTCCCGTCTTGGGCTTTCATGGAGAGATGCAATTGTTCGGGACCGGGCTTCCAAAGAGCTGCGAGTCCGCGAGTGCCCCCTCTGTGAGAGGTGAGGGTGGCCTCGCGATTCTGCAACACGCCGGCTCTAAGCTAGAGACTGATCTCGCCCTGCGTGCTGTGTAATTGCATCCTCGTCGCCGCTTCGGTCGACAGGAACGATTCTCGCGCTTGGAAACTTTTCAGCCGGGGCTGCGGACTTGACAATCACTCCGTTTGAGACGCTCATCAGAGATCAAGGCCCAAATCCAGAAGCCTAGAATCGCCTCCAATTACGCAGAGTTCGTAAGCCATTTGCCCTGCGAGGACGCTGCTGGTGGGTAAAATCTAATGTCGATGGCATGGGGGTTACGATTTATTGGGCACCTCGTCTGCCCTTCCCCCGAAACGGTAACTGAGATCCGGAGCCTGAAGCCGCGAGGCTCCAAGATCGGCTCCGTCGCCACACTGCAGATGGCAGCGGCAAGGTCTCGAGCTTTGGATCGGACCTTGACGTTGGCTTTCTCCGCCCAAGCCTGAGCTGAGCTCGGCATCCATGGCGGAGATTTGACCGATAGGATGAGCAAGCCTTATGCGTACACGAAGCGTCTTTTCAAAGTCCACGAAACTGCGTGGAGTGACGTTTGCTGGAGGAATGACGAAGCTGATTAGCCATTTATATCTTTGTTTGTTCTCATTTATCCTTCCAAAACGGCAACCACCTAGATAGAATCAAAAATCCCCATCAAAATACAGGTTAGTGATAGAAAGCGCTGTTGCGCCCACCGAATCGGGCGGGACCTGCCGCCGCTTTTGGTGGTTTCGACAGTGGGGGCCGGGCGCTGCCCGCCAGGTACAGTGAGTGGTTGGCAGCGGTTAGGTACGGTGGCCAAAACTCAAACAACACAAAATCACAACTTGGAAACTAATAAAGCCACTATATTTATAGGGGATAGCCACTATAAATACAAGAGAAGCTCACTATAAACATGGGGTATAGCCCAGAAAAAAGTGCCAACATCTCAACCATCTCCCCAGCTACTTTAAAACTGGCCGCTTCCTCGATATATATGATTTCGGAGCAATAACCACAAAAACTCGCCAAGTTCACACTTGACGTCTCTTATCTCAATGCATGTCCCTCTGAGTACTACTATTCTACTATGCCCTCCAAAAAGTCCAGGTCAAAACAAAAAGAAAACTACACGCGGGAACAAGCAAAAGCCGAGAGGGCATCTCTAACCTCCTAACTGTTATACTCTATCACCTTGGGCTCTCTCGACCTCGGTTGGCCGATCCATTGATCGGCGCAGGAGAGCGCGAAGTCCTTGAAGTATCGAAGTTCAAAATCTCGCACCCAACCTTGTCTCTGAAGGCGCTGAATAGCATTCATCACCCACGTCACGCAGCTCTGTTGGGGATCCATGTCTTTGCCCGGTAGGGGCACACTCTCAAAAAGAGTACTGACCTCAGCGATCGTGATTTTGTCTGGCACCTGTCCGATGATAATGCGTCCAAGAAGTTTGGTGCTGAGTGCGGGGTCAACGTTATCCCTATGATTGAACCACCAGTTCATGGTAGGATTTACCATTCGCATGGTGGCGGTGTCCAGATAGCATTTGTCGGTAGCTTCGTAAGCCCAGCAGTCTCGTCCTCGGCTAACCTGGGGCGTGATGATTATGCCCCAATGGTAAGCTTCGTAGCCAAAAACCCGTCTGGAATTTCCTCGAGAAAAGTGATCTCGGTGGTACAAAGCTACAGTAATCAGTCGCACCATGGCTGTTCAAGCAGTAAGAAGTCGACGCGTGGTCCTTTGCCAGGCCAAAATTGGCCTACTGCGATGTGAATGCTTATGGTATCAGCGCACAGAGCCAACCCAAAGTTGATATTGATGCGAAAAAAAAGAAGCAGATGAGCGGCGAGCAGCCATCAAAGTCACTCACTGGCTGACGTCCTACTCTTTAATGTCCCAGTCCTTGCCGGCAAACCTTTTGGGTAGCGCTTACATGCATGCTCAATGTTACATACATGTAGTTATGGCGCTTCAATTCGGCCATCTGCCGCCGGCCGTCCTCTTGGCCAAGTAGTTGGCCTCGATGTGTTCAAAAACCAGTCATTAGTTGCACTTGGCCGACATGCTTAACAATCAGACGACTTGTGAACCATTGATGGTCTGCGGCTTAGCGCCTGGGCTCACACATCGGCGCTGCATGGACCATGCCTGAAACAAGCTTTGTACCCGACGTGCCAGGGGACCCAATAGATGGACGGGTACCTATAATTACGCCTAAGATTTTAGCAAAATATTAAGAGTACTGCTATGTACACAATAGCATATTGCTGTTTGCACACTTACCCCATTTTTAAGATACGTACCAACGCCAGCCCGCCCCGCCTATTTGTACCGCGCGCGCCTGGTAAGTACCCGTACCGCCCAAATGCCCGCGCCCGCGCACACAGCGCACTTTTGGTCACATAACCCCGACTCAACGATCCCTCCAACGCCTGACGAAGCCGGCGGCGCGCCCCTCCTGCCGCGTCCTCCTCTTAATCCACTTCCCCCTTATATTTCCTCGGGCTAACGATCCTTATTATAACGCTGCGAGAGACCGCGGGCTACGGCTAAGTTTATCGATTGCGGCGTTAGTAATAGCTTTAAATTTAGTATGTGTGTTTATATAGGCGGGCGCGGGCGCGGGCATTTAGGCGGTACGGGTACTTACCAGGCGCGCGCGGTACAAATAGGCGGGGCGGGCTGGCGTTAGTACGTATCTTAAAAATGGGGTAAGTGTGCAAACAGCAATATGCTATTGTGTAAATAGCAATACTCAATATTAAACACACGGGTCAAATTATTAAGCAGTAGCAGCAACAGCGGCAGCTAGTAGTAGCAGTGGTAATAGTACCTAGGTAGTAGTGGTGGTAGTAGTGGTAGCAATAGTAGCGGTAGCAGCAGCAGCAGCAGCAGTGCAAGTGGCAGCAGCGGCGCCAGCAGCATCGGCAGCAGCAGTAGCAGCGGCAAGTGAGAGTAGTAGGCGTATTACTTATTAATTCGACCCGTACGTTTATTATTCTATAGGCAAAAATCTTACATAGACGTACGGGTGCCTATATATATATTACCGTACGGGTACCCGTGTAGTTTTTAGGCACACGGGACCCCGTACGATAATAGATGTACGGGTAATACCCGTCCGTCTATTGGGTCCCACGTACCTGACGTATCTGACAAATCTGAAGCGTCATGGTCACGTGTACACGTGCGGGATTCAACACCCAAGGCAGGAGCTAGCACGACCGTCGCCTCATCAAAGGAAACCGTTCTCTCCGCATTTCGCATCCATGGGCCTTTCAATCTCCATTCTATCCGTATTTCCACTACAACTGCGGCTTTGGCTCGGCAGGCTGTTCTTTCGTTCCCTTGGCCCCGCCACTGTGAGAGTGAGCTGGCATCGCGTCATCAAGGGACCATGCGACCCAACTGAGGTCGAGGCCATGCAATACATTGCCTCGCACACGACAATTCCAGTACCTAGGGTCTACGCAGTCCACACTGAGCATAATGATTTCATTTACATAGAGATGGCCTATGTACAAGGCGAGGATCTGGAATACGCCTGGAGTGGCCTTTCGACGGACCAAATAGATTCTATCTTTGCCGACCTAAAGCAGCACATATCGAGCCTCCGCGAGCTTCAACCTCCGGCGCAAGGAGTTGTCTCATCGGCTCTTCAGAATCCCGCCTATGACTGCCGGATCGGAAATCGCTTCTTCGGCCCCATGACCCATGATGAGTTCCATTCACTAGTACGAGCGACCGTGAGCCTAGAAGACGTTACATCTATGCTCAGCGAGGAGATCGCCAAGGTACATACGCGTCACTATCAGACTCTCTTCGCGCATGCAGACCTAAGTCCTAGGAATATCATCGTCAAGGGCGGGCGCATTGTCGCTATTCTTGACTGGGCATTTGCGGGATGGTATCCGGAATACTGGGACTTCACTAGGGCGCACTATAACTTATTTTTTGATCAGGACCGCTGGGAGGAGTACCTTCGTCTTGTTATGCCTTGCTACGAGATGGAACTCACGGCAGAGCGGATTCTCTGGGACAGGCTGCCGGAGCCGGGTACGACGTTATCTTGGTACCGCAATGGAGTTCATGGTAAGACTGAGGGCTCTGCGCCTGCGGCAGCCTGGTTGCAGGCGAGGGCAGGCCGTCAGTTGGCAGATTTGTGGACTCTGGCCCTTCGTCGAGAACGCTACGTTGTTGACTGATGTGATGGAGCATTGGGGCCAGGAACGGCACGTGGCCGAGGAGCTGCACGGGATTTTTTTAGGTTTTAAGGAACGGCGCACCTCATTATATATCTTGGGGAATTCGTCCTCTGGAAGTTTAGCATGGTACAAGTCGAGGTACTGATATGGGAGATCGGCGCAGATGAATACGCAGTTGGTTTCACCCGTTTTCGGATCGGCAAGCTCTCCAAGCTTCCCGGTTGCCTGTTGCTGTTTCAGGTATGCAAGTAAGCCGTGGAGAGCTTCACTAGACGACGGGCCACAGATAATGCCATTGCGGCAAAGCTCCATGGAGGTTCGAAAAGAGTCTACTGATTTCACTATCTCGTAACGGTCGATTGTTTGGAATATTTCCTTCGCGAACGGGGCACAGTCCATGCCGGGAAGATGTCGAGGCCCCGGAGTAGTGTCACCGTGGGCGTTGAAGACACTATCAATTGGTATTGGTTAGTATCAGTAACGTTTTTTATTTAAGGGGAATCATGCTTACCCGAGGATTGTGGCAGAAGGCTTCTCGGATTTGATATACTTTCCATTCCAAACGATACACCCTTTGGACAATAATATAATTGGTGGATACTTTGGCACCATATTGCGTGGTAGAAACACTTGCCTCCAGTGCCAACCGTGGCGCAGAAGACATTGATCTCGAGTAGTTGCCTCAAAATTTGCGGGCCTGTCCAACTAATATGGAACTTCCAATTCTGTAGAAGGGAAAGGGAGTCAACACTTGGCTTGAAGTGGAAGCCTCTTGGAATCAAGGCAGTAAAAGCAACCCACATTCTCATTGTGATACTGTCCAAGATTGAAAATGTCTCCTTTTTGGATGCCCCTGTTCCTCAATCTTCCCATTATTCCTTTCGGATCATCGTACGTTGGTTGGGTCATGCCTCCAAATAGGTCTCTTTTTGAATCCATGGTCAGCCTTGCATACTAGATGCCAGACAGAGCACTGTTGGGCGGGTAGGATATACACGTTGATGCCAAAAAGTCTCAACAGCTTCATCTGAGAAATGGGCTTTGTGTTGGAAACATAGGCATGGACATCATCGTGGCCGTAGAGTGCCCTGGCGACAATTCCGAGGGAAATGGCAGTGGAGCCGGAGCTTGCCCTCTGCGAGCGGCTTGCTTTTTACGTCAGGATCTTGTTGAAGCATGTTCAGGACTGCAGACACATGTAAGTCAAATTCGTGTAGTGGGTCCCATAGCGATCTTAAGCATACCAAATAATGGACTTGACATTTTGGGCCGGCGACGCTGTAAGCATCTTTGCCTAAATCCTGACGCCAATTTTACGCATAGGACCAAGACGCTCAGGGATTTCAACGAGCGGCAATGGGGGATTTTGTTATGGATCATAGTACCGGGCCACTGAGTCGGGGCCATGGATTTGCAGTAGCCATAACTTTCTCGTTTCTTGAGAGGTTCGGTTAACTTGTTTTCTCCTTAGGAAATAAATAGAGATTGTTCAGAAATTCCAAAGTAGCATCTTGGATAGCTTGTAACGATTTCTGTTCTTACCCTCTTGGACTGAACTGTGACTCGCGGCACCGTTCTTTAAAGGTCTCGTCCAGGGCGTTGCCTGGCTATCCCACTTATAGCGTCGCGGCAGTCCCTAGTTTACAAGAGGGGACAGCAACGTGGTAGATCACAAGACCATCAGCTGGGTTTTGTCCCGCTGGCTGGGCTGAATATGCCACTTCATGGGTTTACCTCATGTCTCGGTTGCGCCGAAAGCGGGCGCGTCGTGGCTTGCCATGCACCCCTAACCGAAGGGCATGTTTCAGTTCTTGATGGACTGTCTCGGCCGCGTCATTATGAGGGGACAGGGTCGGCGGCAGGCTTCAACCCGAAGAGTTTCTCTCGCGATGAAGGCGCGCAAGACTGGGACACTGGTGGACATGTTGAGATTATGAGAGGTTCCCTACGGATTAACAGGCGGGGTGCTAACAGCGCGCGGAAAGCCAATAAAACACTATGGACTGGCGCAGATAGCCTTCAATGTCTTGATCTTATCACATTGCTTGACCGTGTAAAGAGAGGCACCAAGGGCTTCGATAACCGAATCTTCGCCTCGCATTCGTCAATTCGGTTGTGGTTCGTGTGCCTCTAGAAATATTGAGTTGCAATGGCCAGAGTCATTGGCAACCTTGGCCAGCGGCCCACGGCTGCGCAGATCATGGCCTATGCCTGGCTGAATCCAGATCATGGCCGTAGATTTGGACATTCGGCAGACAGGTGGCTGGCATTATAAAGACAAGGGCACCCTGAGTTCTCTGCAATCCTTGTCAAAAGCCATGCTGCTCCTGCTTAACTACTATTGCACACATCTTCCAGACCTAACGTCTAGAAGAGCTGGACTGTCCGACAATTGCGGTGAGGCCTTGCGGAGTGTTGTCTGACGGGCGGTGAACGCATTCAAGGCACAAGGATCACGACCTGAATATGACATGTACGTTGCGGTGGCCGTCCGCTTGTCCTGTTAGGGATGTCATGTGTAAACAGTGGTGTCTCACCGACATGCCACTGATGTAGTGAGGAAGCTAACTTGTTGATATTCGCATCCTTTTCATACCCGGAACGTCTTTTGTTGGACACCTTCTGGTGCGCAGACGGCCAGACTGGTCTATGCAGTGCGACCACCAGATACAGCGTCTGACAGAACCGTCTAATCATGGTCTGCCAGACTGCAGCCGAGTGCGTAGGACAAGCCGACCTTCCCCTCTCCCATGTCGGCTGATCATGAAGGGGGGTTGCGCAGTAGCCCAGCCAACATTAACCTGCAAAATCGATTCCGCCGGCGCAATTAGAGTCGGAGCTTAGCATCACTTCCCTCTCTCGAGCAGCTGTTTCGGACTCCGACAGCGAATTTTCTATATAATCTTCTTACAGAGAAGTGTGTTTAATAGCTTAGAGACAGTGTAGAATACTAGGGTAATAATATATAAGGACTAGATAGATAAGTTTAATAAGGCTCGTAAATATGTCGTTAATATCCATATGTGTATTAATATATATATTTACCTTATTTGTAATAGGGTTGTTCGGAGAAAATTAAGTGATCGCTTCCTCTAGAAGAGGAAGCACTTCGTCTAAAATGGAAGCACACTTGCAGTAGACCTATACTTTTGTCGTAAATCAGCCGGACTATTAAGTACCGCATATGACGGTTCAACTTGTGACTGTGTCCTTCGTCACTATTGACGCCAATGCTCCATTGACAGCCCTCCATTGGGGAGGATCTCCCTGCAAGCTGACCGCATACTTGGACACAACGTAAAGTAAGGGTTGGGTGGGTTGCTTGTTCATCAGAATCCCGGAACGGTTGTGGACCCTCTCGCAGACCACAGTGAATGTACTCCAGTGGAGTGACATACTTTCGCTTTCGAGCACGCAGTGGGGAGACGGCAGCCATTGGATCTTTTTGCGTCATAGACAGGCCAGCACTTTTCCTCTTCGCAGCTCGCTGAAGCCAGAATAAGCCCAGCGAGGTCAATGGAATTGTCAATACAGTTTCAATGTGTTCTATGGGTTTATGTTATCAGCTCAAGGAAGCTCGCCAAATCACAAATTCGAGTCCCCGGAACCGCACCCATTAAGGCCTTGAGATTGTCACACCGTGCGTGTTGGCTGTTCTAGCCTGCCGCTTTGACACTGGTTACACCACAGAACCTGACATCACATCGCAGGTGAAAATCTCCAAAAGCACCTATCATAGCACCGGCGGCTACTGATTGTGTCCGGGAAACACCATTACTTTAAGAGCCCCCTTTCAGTGGAAACACGTTTGGTGATGGTGCAATGTCAAGTGAATGCCAAAAACTGTATAGTAGACAAACAGCGTATCAGCGGCTGAGAATCTGATAAAGGTAACTCCACGGGTCGCATCGTGGCTGGCTGATTATTTTGCTTATTAGGACCACAGGCGGGTAAAAGCGAGCCGTCGACATTGAATCTCTAATGGTGGTCGATGTCATTAAGCGCGCTCCCATTAATTTCGCATGTACATTCGGCCAGCAGTGTGGGATAACGCATACACTTCACCCGCATGCCAATAGAATGCTGTGTGTGCATGTGCAGATGTACATTCCTAGCAGACTTCGGGCCTTTGTATAGATTTGGTCGACTTGGGCAGCCTCTTTGGCCCGGATCCAACATTAAAACACCATTCTGCGGACACCAAGTAAGGGCAGATGAAGTGACATGTCAGACTGGAGAGAGGAATATTGCGAAGGAGACAAACACAACGAATCACGCTTGGCAGACGATGCTCCAACCCCGGTCCTTGAATGTGTATACTGTACATGAATGTGATATATGTATGGCCCCTGAACAGAAAAGGTCATGTCTTGTTCAATGGGGTAGCTCCAAGCTACTGAGTACTGACATATCAGGGATTTGGATGACCTTCGAGTCGAGCGGAAGCAATCGCGGCGGGCATCATATATCTATGTTGACGGTCAAAGTGGCGCTGATGCAACGCTTCGCTATGCCAACACATTTGATTAATATCGGCATCCTGGTTCATATGACCTCGAGATGCATTAATACTTACAACCCTGTATTGGGCATGCCTGCCTTTATTCCGTCCCGTAGGCAACCCGTGAGCTCAATTTTGGTTCTCCGAGTCAAATACGCTTCCAGCCCCCTCCGAAAAGGACGGCGTCCTCCGATGGGCAACACTCCTCAATCTTGAATCGGACGAGCCCGACCCAGGCTCACCAAACCTCTTCCCCATGGCGAACCCACACTTAATACAGGGCATCTTCATTGTAATCGGTGTCTTGGTATATCATCGATACTTTCGAAAAAGGACGAAGCTCAACTTACCTCCCGGACCGAAGCCGATTCCGATTCTGGGAAATATCAACGACCTCCCGCCGGAAGGGGTACCGGAGTATCAGCATTGGCTCAAGCACAAAGACAAATATGGCCCAATCAGTTCTGTTACTATACTGGGCGAGACAGCCGTGATTATCCATGACAGACAGGCGGCGTATGAGCTTTTGGAGAAGACAGCGAAGAAGACGTCTGGACGACCACCTATGGAGTTTGCCAGTCGATTGTGTGGCTTCGATAGGTTCCTCCCTGGCAAACAGTTTGATGATACCTATCGATGGCATCGTCGCCTCATACACCAACAGCTGGGAACCAAGTCAGCTGTTGCTCGCTATCACGACATTCTGGAAGGCGAGGTGCAGCACTTTCTGGTACGAGTCTCGCGCGAGCCCGAGAATCTACTAAAACTTTTTAAGACGTACGTTGTATCTTTCCCCTAACGTCTGCATCCATGCAAAGCAAATAACAGGCTCTGGTGGCCTGGCATATGAAGCAGTACTGCTTTGATCCTCACTCGACTGCCATGTGCGGGCTGTCTTACTGACTTGGCCATAGTGTGACGAGCGCCATTATTCTCAAGATTACGTACGGCTATTCCATAGAGCAGGAAAAAGACGACGATCTTGTCAACTTGATTGAGCAAATGATGATCAATCTTTCGTTTGCCTTTGTTCCGTTGGCATGGCCAGTGGACATTGTACCCGGGCTCAAATACCTCCCCAGCAGCCTCCCCGGAATGAAGTTCAAGAAGACGGCTCGACAATGGAATCAGGTCAACCAAGAGGTAGCAGACGTGCCATACCTATTCACACAGAAGCAAATGGCCGGTCAATATCCTCGGCCGTCATATGTGTCCAGGTTGCTCCAGCAGAGCAGGGACAACGGGGAAGAGAAATCTGACGAAGAACTCCGCCAGCTCGAGGACGCCATCAAGCACACGGCCGCCATTATGTTCGCCGGGGGTGCGGACACCACTGCGTCCAATCTGAGCAGCTTCCTTCTAGCAATGGCTTGCTTTCCGGAGGTTCAGAGAAAAGCACAGAAAGAAATCGATGACGTAGTCGGCACAGATCGGCTGCCGTGCTTCGAAGATCGGAGCAAGATGCCATACATTGAGGGGGTGATCAAGGAGGCCCTGCGCTGGCTACCCGTTGCTCCGATAGGGACACCCCATACGGCAAGCGAAGACACCACCTGCGGTGGGTATGATATTCCCAAGGGGGCCCAGCTGATGCCCGGGATATGGTGGTTCACGCACGATCCTCAAGTCCACCGAGACCCTGATGCCTTTGACCCTGAACGATACTTTTCGCCGCGCAATGAACCAGATCCCCGATCCGTGGTGTTTGGGTTCGGGCGCAGAATTTGCCCTGGTCAATATCTCGCCGACGCGAAGCTTTTCCTGATCATCTCCCAGCTCCTGGCTGTTTTCAACATTTGCAAAGCCGTCGACGAAAACGGATCGGAGATTGACGTGAAGCTCGAGGCCACGCCAGGACTCATCGCCCACCCGGCCGATTTCCCGTTTAGGATCCTACCGAGAAACGCGCAAAAGACGAACTTGCTCCAGAAGATTCAGACAGACCATCCGTGGGAGGGAAGCGACGCAAATCTTCTGGGGGAAATTGCTTCGCAGAAGGTTTAGGCATATGCGAGTGGCACCTGTGCCAGAAAGCCACTTCTGACGATTATTCCTCAGGTTCGAGACGCTCGAGGCGGGACTCGCGATCTGATAGGCTGAAAAATAGCTCTTCAAGCGAGAGATTGATGTGAGGACGCCTGTGATGGGGCCCTCTGTCCAAACGAATTGGGCGTACGTGCAAGGAACTGGTGTAGGCTTGGACAAGAGTCGTTTCCTCGTTGTTTTGGACTACCTGGTCCGGGAATCATGTTGACCTTCTTGTGAAGTGCCTGCCTGGTGAATAATGCATCTTCTCACCGCAGTCGGCGCAATTCATTGAAAGTAGCTCGCACTTAGTTGAGGTTTACAACACTTCTCTATGGATTCATACGCCATCAATCAGTGCAAAGTCCGAGCTCGTGTACGAACGTTTACGTCGCCTTTTCACCGATGGTAAGGGCTGTTCTGGCTGTGTTTGCCGCGACATTACCTGACGCAGTGCTCAAATCGGCCCCTTCGAGCTTCTGCAATCCGTGGACCCCGATCGCTGCGTCGACGATTCCCTTTTTTCCTTCGGCGCCATTCTACAAGTCCCCATTTTATTTCACTGCAACCTAAGCTTCTCTTGCATAAACCACTCAATAATGGCGCCGTCGGCAGGTTACTCGACGTCGAACACGTTGGGCAAGGGGACCGTCAGTTATGGTACAGGTCGCTGCGAATGACCCGAAAAGGGAGGATTCCAAGATGAGAACTCGCCTCCGAAGGACTTTATTCGGCGCATGAACTCCCTCTGCTTCTTGTAAATCCAGACGTATTTCTTAACATCGATATCGTTTTTATCCGTTAAGAATCCTGCGTCAAAGTCGACGGGATAAGAAGGCAAAGGGCCCGTGACGTGTACGTGACCTCAAGAGTAATAATGGGAATACTAGATAATCATTGACATGAGAATTTGGGACTTGTTGGGGTTGCTTTGAAATAAAGGCCCCAAGCATCTTGGAATTCGAAGTCCCGGGCTGCCACCTCATCGTCTGTTGAGCGGATCTTGAGGTAAGGTCCTGAGAATTGTGGCCAAGCTTGGGCGCATTATTCTTAATCATCTCTGCGTGGCCTCAGTACCCAAACACGACGGCATCAAGCGGACCAAGATTGGTTCTGTAAGCGCAGTTTATGAACTGGTGGTTTTTGTAGTCGCTGCCAGCACCTGAGAGATCTGCAACGAGACGCAACTTGGCGCGCTCGAGTACATCTGGGCTACCCATGCACGACCGCTCAAGAACAGCCAGGGAACCAAACGCACCACACGAAATCGCTACCAGCTTCCTGGCCTCGATTCAGCATTCAAGCCCTGCCCAGCGGCGGGAAGGAACTCAGGGTTTGACCGGTAGACGATACTGATAGCCTTGTCTCGCTCCACAATCACCTTGACAACTTCGGTTTCAACCAACACATACAAGTTGAGTGCTTTACATCTCCTAGTCGAGGATGGAGGTAGCAGTACGCAGCGTCCTGGCACTTGGCCATCTTCAGCGACGTATCGAGGGGATATATACACGCCATTGATGCCACTCAGCTGCATGCTTCGGATATTTCTTGTTCGTGGCTTGGTAGACCGGTGTGATCCTTCATATATGTGGATAGGTCCATCGAATCCGTGACGGGCCGCAACCCCACTCTCGAGATATGTTTTGAACTTTTAATACGAGGATGGATTAGTTTCTGGCCAACATATGTACACGGGGAAAACCGCCGGACACGGACAGAGACGGAAGCGTGGCCGGATATAGGTTAAATTGGGCAGTCACACGTTCACTGTAAGCATTAATTTCTTCCGCGATCTGATCGTCCGTACGCTCTTCTTTCTCACTCAGGCCAGAGATTCAGAATCCCAGGGAGCATGTCTTTGTAAGATGGCATCTGCCTCCTACTCACATTCGTAGACTTGACGGGCCCCTCGGTCCCGGCCCCTTCGATTATGATACACGACGACTTGTCATTAATCTGGTCCGTATCGGCGCTACGACTGATGTTGCAAAAGCCTTCATGACGCCTAGGTGGTATGCATATCTGTATTTTCGGGGGAGCGGGTAGTGAATCGCCGTGAAAGCAACAGAATGATCATTGGTAGAGCGAACTCGGGCAACGATGTATTGAGCCGCAGGAGTCTTCTTGAGGCCATTCTGAGCAGACTAGTCAGCTCTCGACTCTACACACTTCCCTGTTTACGTGTAGCCGAGGATGGTAAATTTTAACTTCGATTTGCACATCAACTCCTCTTAATCCTCCTACACATCTACCAGCAACGTGACCAGCATGGATTAGAGTCCAGCACTTCCCGTTACTTTCCCTTGTGCGCCACCAATCTCCGGCACATCGTTGGCCAGTCCGCTTACAGTCCCCTAAGGCTTGTCAGAGGTAGCGTCCGGTGAATCGGCCTGGACAGATCGGAGCCCAAGCTTTCCTGTTATGCCACTGGCCGCGTCACCGGCTACCGGTACACCCTTGACCAGTCCACTGATAGCCCCCTGAGGCTTGTCAGACGTAGCATCCGGTGAATCGGCCTGGATAGATCGGAGCCCAAGCTTTCCTGTTATGCCACTGGCCGCGTCACCGGCTACCGGTACACCCTTGACCAGTCCACTGATAGCCCCCTGAGGCTTGTCAGAGGTAGCGTCCGGTGAGTCGGCCTGGATAGATCGGAGCCCGAGCTTTCCTATTATGCCACTGGCCGCGTCACCGGCTACCGGTACACCCTTGACCAGTCCACTGATAGCCCCCTGAGGCTTGTCAGACGTAGCATCCGGTGAATCGGCCTGGATAGATCGGAGCCCGAGCTTTCCTGTTATGCCACTAGCCGCGTCACCGGCTACCGGTACACCCTTGACTAGTTCGCTGATAGCCCCCTGAGGCTTGCCAGAGGCAGCGTCTGGTGAATCGGCCTGGATAGATCGGAGCCCGAGCTTCCCTGTTATGCCACTGGCCGCGTCACCGGCTACCGGTACACCCTTTACCAGTCCGCTGACATGCCGCTTGGCAGCACCCGCGTCTCTTGAACCAGCATCTGGCTTCTTATAGTTAGTCGTATAGAACGTCTGCGGGTATCCTGCTCAGTGTATAGCTAACCTGATCAACAGCCTTGACGTTGCCAATATCTTGGTTCTGGTTGCGTGTAGGAGCCGCAAAAGTCGCGGTAGCGATACTGATCGCAATCAATGCCGTGGCTTGGAACTTCATGTTTAGAGTAAATGAGAAGATCAATGCCAGAGAAGATGATTAATTCGTAGATTGAAGAAGGAAAACCTAGCAGTTGTCACTTCAGAGAATGATGTAGAACTGAGTCTGTAGATTGTCGTATACTGAGTTTTCGGACGACTTGGACGTCTTCTTTATAGTCAGTGACCACCGTTGATCTCTTAGGCAAGCTGACGAGTGTTCTTTCCATTTTTGACACACAAAGCTGTTACCGGCCGGCGATCTGGGTATTCAAAGGCCGAACTGGCGACAAAATGAGCCGATGAGCTGCTGGAACAGAAAATGGCATGCATCGTGCCACCTCGTGCTATGCTGACAATACAAGAATTAGAGAGAGAGCGAAGATCTCGAGTAGCACGTGTCGATCTTGCTCATGACGACTGATCTTCGTTTGGAAAGGGCTCTGATGATCATGGGCCAAAACGTAATTTGGGTCCCTTGCAGGATTCCAGTTCTTCAGCAGTCTGGTATAATAAACAAAGACTTTCTCCATCACAGATCCATGTCTTTGTTATGTAGGATTAAACATGCCAACACACGGAACTAAACTTCCAATCGTCGTTGCCGGTCTTTCCAATGACGAGTAGTCCAGCGTGTACATTACTGTTGTTTTGGCCTATATGGGTGGTGTGAACCAATCCGTCCTATGGAATGTAATATTTTAGGCATCCACTTACCAGATAGATAGTCGTTGTTCTGCTGGAACCGAATCCCTATCTTGAAGTCTACCATTAGCTTTTCTACTCCTGTTGAACTGTGACCAGCCTGTCATTAAAAGGTTCTCTAAGTATGAGAAGGTTTGTCCCTTGCTTATTGCTATCAACATCAAATCAAGCTCTCCCGTTTTATCCTGCAGTATTCAAATCCTCCAGTATTCTCCCTGTGTCATGCTGGCTCTTTTCCCCCTCCGTGAGTGTACCGCCAACAGTCGACGTCCTGATTGGCCGTGACCGCTGCCAGCAACCTGTTTTGCTCCCCTACGCCAGCCACAAGAATAACAGTCCCCCCCCCCTGCTTGTGCTCCTGAGCTTTGAGACGACGCGACTCGGCGGCTGTGGGCTCGTAAGGGGGACGCAGCTTGCCAGCCAAAGCAGTTGACGGCTTGCGATGCGACCGCGCTTCTTGGCAGGGGGGCCTGGCATTGGTGTTTACGGTATCTGCATGCCGAGGTATTGGCAGCGAGGTACTGGCAGGGCAGGTATGGTAGGTGAATACTGAGGGATGGGCCTCCAATCCTGTTCCATTTCTGTCGTCTTGCTGCTAGCATTTGGTACGACATTTAACTGACGTTGGTCCAGATGTCTCGTATGCCGCCCGCGAAATGCTCTCCAGGCTTGGTCAACTCGCCAGTGGTGTTATCGTGATCCCTGCAGAGCGAGCAGTGCACGTGCCCGCGTCCGTCCGCAACGGGGTAGTTGAAGCAGTGCATGCTCATGGTATTGTGAAGTCGTCGTGGTATTGTGTGGTAGTTGTGGCCGCGTGGCTTCGCCTCTTAGATTCGATGGTGAACTAGTCGCCCAGCCACTTCTACTTAGAAGAAATTGGTGACCATGTAGGGGCGTACTCCCATTGTCTTTGAATTCCTGTCCGACACCGACACGTAGCTGATCTCGGTCTCGCCGGGGAAGCGCTCCATCAGGTCGGACCTGTTGACGATGGGCACTCTCCCCTTGAAGTCACCCAGGTCAGGGGTTGAGTCCATAATCTCGCAAGCCCTCGCGTACGCATTGGAAGTTCTGATCATGTCGGCGGACACAAATGTAGCCTTGGCGGAAAGAGGATCATCGTAAACGTTGACCTTGGTGCTGACACGTCCCGCGCAGGCGTTCTCGCACATGCTGCAGACGACGAGGTGGAATGTGCTCTTATTCCAAAACGTGTCTATGTTTTTCAGCGGGCTTGGGTCGTTGGCGAGGATCATCCTGTTGCACGAGATGCAGACGATTGCCCTGACAGTGTAGGTGTTTGTCTCCATGGCGGCGATATTGTGCCCACCGACAATGAGTAGTCAGTACTGTAGGCCGTAGGTGGACAGGTGTTGCGGATGATGATCATGACTCTGGGGGAGTAGCAGCTACTTATAACTGGCTTGAATGCTGAGGACTTGATGGCTTAGATCTAGGAATTTGTAATCGCTAGAGTTGTCTCACTCAGCCGTGTTGATGTGTTCTGAACCATGCAGCCGCAATACGACGGTGTTACTCTCCTGTTGGAGGGCACTGACGGCCAGAGTTGAGGAATGAGGACGAAAGAAAACCTGGTTGAAGGGAAGGACATGGGAGACGCGTTGGTTGCGAAACGCGATATGATGAGGCGTTTAATATCTCAATTTGTACCCCCACTGTAGCAGCAATAGTTGAAACTTTTGCAACGCGAAGGAACGGCAAGCAATTCAATAGCGCCTCGTTTGAGATGTAATTCGGTTACCACGTTGCGCGACAAACGCCAAGATCGCCGCCGCCATCCATTGTGTCTCAGGGGCGTTCAGCAGCCCGTCAAGCCCCCCTCGGGTGAAGAATCTGTGATACCACTATTACTCCGATTATGAAAGAAACTAGAAGACTAATTGTATTCAGAGCATACCGTCTCTTTTTCAGCAAGACGGACCTTAATGTTTAATTCATCTTCTAAATCAACCCTTTGCCCGGCAAGCCCGCGCCGAACTGCCGTGTTCGTATCGCCATTAAGGGCCACTTATTTCGACTCGGCTAGACGCTCCAGCTCGTGGCATTGAGATTCTTATACCCGGCAAATCCGCAATCGTGGGAGTGACACTAGTTCGCGTGGTTGGGTGCCGGATGCCGCTTTAACTCTCGCCAGGTACAGGGCGGCGAGCTGCACGCTATACGAGGTATCAAAGGCAACAGTATCGCCTTTGTTACCGGCTGGCGAGTAATATCCAAGGCTGTTCAGCGGCATACGAAGCAGTGTGCGTAGAAAGGGGCATGCGATGCCAACAGACGCACGCCGGCTGAGAACAGCTGAGCATGCCCAACGCCATGGCGATGCTGGGCGGTCGCTTTCCAGTAATTGAAGAAGTGAGCCACTCCAATCCACGAAGGGGACTGAATGGGGATGAGTGTGGACTGTGGAGGCGACGAATAGGATATTCGGATGTAAGAATGCGGGACCTTTGCTCCTTTCCATAACATGAACGAGAGGAAGGCTCGCCAGCCGCGGCTCGCGCAAAGAAGCCTTTCGGAACGAAATTTGGCGACAAGAGAACCGGAGAAGAGTTGGCTACAGAAGAGAGAGAGAGAGTTGGCGACAGTATAGGAGACAGGAAGAAGAGTGAGGTCGAGATACGAGACACGGCGAGAGACGTAGAGCATTATCGTGAGTGAAACCGAGACAGAGCGTCGGGGAGGCAGGCTAGGCCGCTGGAGGGAGATTTTGTTTAAAAGGCGCAAACTCAAAGGGCGTGGAGAGACGGCAGGGTTGAAGAGAGATGTGAGTGGGTAATGCATGTCTGGGCGAGTGGAAGGCTCGGAAAATTTACATGTGCTACCGGTATAAGTCGTAGGTATAAACAGAATAAGGAGTATATTGGGGAAGTTTTGACTTGATCGTCTTCATGAAAAGGAGAACAAGAAGAGAAGAGAATGTGCTATTCGAGCCTTTGGCAGTTGATTTTGAGGATGATGAGACATGTTGTCATGTTGTATTGTTTCGTTTGAAGCTTTAAAGTTTAGAGAATATTCTTGGGCGGACGTCGGGCGCGCAGTGGTCGGGAAGATATCGACGCGGGAGGTCTGATAGAGCCAGAGGCGGATGTGTCTTGGTGATTGACCTGTTCGGTGTCCGTCTCTGACTCTGCGGGGTCTTCCGGGGACAGAAAGGAGGAGGTATCGGATTTGGGAGTCTTGACCGTCACAGTCGGTGATTATGGTGGAAGTTTCGGGAGAAAGTCGCGGTCTCTTGGTTGGGGTTTGGTAGGGATCGGGCATTGACCGACTTGATGCCAGCATAAGAGATCGACTGGGCCAGAAGCATGCGGCGTGGGGAGGCGGGGCTTTGGGCGGCCTTGGGTTTCTTCGTAGAGGTAAACCTGGCCAACGCAACGCTATAGTCCGAGGATTGCCGACCGCGCTCTTGGGTGTCGTCGGCAGTAGTTGTGTTGCAGAAGCCTGGTCGGACATGGCCTTGTCGTGGAAAGTCCACGTGTCGGGGACGACGATGAAGATATAGTCTTGGTCGAAAGCCGGGGCATGTTTCATGATCTGGTGATCCAGTAAGCCGGCGATTTTGCCCGTACAGGTGAAGAGAGCGTTCGACTGGAACTGGCTGTCGCGCCTCTCGGTCATCTTCTTGCATAGGGAGGTCCAAGGATTAGCGTGAATGGGGAAGATGACGAAAACTTGGAAGGGCTGAAAGCCCTTGAAGGGGGTTGCCGGGAATCCCAGGACAAATAAAGGTGGAGAGCTGGACAAAGCCGCAGCAGCTCAGCTGGGTGTCGTCAAGGGCCGCAGCCGAGTTTCCATGCAGGAGGTCGCGGCCGGAGCCGATGACAGGTCCCGTGAAGGAGACAATGGGTTGTATCGTTGGGAAAGTATCCACCGAGCTGAGGTGCGAGTGACAATTCTATGGATATCGTCAGGAGGGCAGTGGCGACAGAGAGATTTGGAGCATAGACTCACGGTTGGTAGCTGTGATCGCGGACTATAAGCGCGGGGACGGTGTATTCTGTGATGTTATCATCGTCCGACTCAAGCCATCACGTCGCTCGATTTCCCGTCAGGGCAAAGGGATGAACACGGCCGACCATGAAGAACCATTGCTCGGTCCATTCCGAGGAGATTATCTGTTGGTTGTATATGGAAATATTAAGGCTGAAGAAGATGCAGGTCGATGGATTGCCAGTATCTGACCGGATTGCTGCATACCCGGAGTCGACAGCCATGAGGGCGTGGGAAGGAAGACCCTCGCTAGGGTTTCTGCGTTGAGCCCTTTGACACGATGCTCATTCTGGTAGGCGAACCTAGACGGGCAGCCGGGCTGGACAAAGGCCATCATGGACATGTCGGCGCCAGCATTTTTCTGGCTGTCAAGAGGTTGCCGCGGGAGGACGAGGTATCGACGTTGAGCTGGGAGGCCGACATCGTGAGAACATGGCAGATGTAGTCACCGTGGAAGTGTAAATGAGGGGTTACGCAGAGTGGAGGTGGGCATCCTATAAAGCAGGTTTTCTTGCTGCTCGAAAGAGGGCTCGCGGCTAGGGTCGGGGAGACTTAAGAGTCAGAGAATGCTACCTAGGTGATAGATTAGAAGCGGGGGTATGCGGGAATGAGCTGGCGAGGTTCTTGAACAGTCTCGACCATCTGGTTCTATGGTCGTGAGTGAAGTAGGGAGCCGGGGGTTGGAAGTTGAGTAGGGGTGATGGCTATGTCGCGAGAAGTTGGAGGTCGGCGAACGGTAAGGTTAGTGTGGGTAAGTCTGCGGAGAAAGAAAGTCCAGCAGTACCCTTCGGTGTCATCGTTGCATGGAGTAGATAGCAAAGGCGACAATAACGAATGAGAGTGAAGGAAAGAAAGAGGTTATGGTAGTATTGCAGGGGTCCCTTTTTGACGGTCGTCGGTAGTTGGATGGGCATTGCGTGCGGCTGAGCGAGGCGGGTGCCGACCGTGTCGAGTCCACTATTGGGACACGGTGAAGTCGGATATAGGGGACGAGCTGAGGAGGAGGATGCGAGTTGGTCACGAGAACTCTCCAAGAGGGTTTGCAAGTCGAGACTCCGGTGGCTAGCGACTACAAGAGGACAGGCAGGGGGATCCTGGCTGTCGCTTTAGCATGAAGGCCGTTGATGCGACGTTGGTGGTGGCGAGGGAGCAAACCTAGCCGGGTAGTCCGGTTGCACGAGGGACACCGTGGACATGTTATCGCCGGCAGCCTTTTGGCTGTTGCTCGACGAGGTGGAGTGGCAGATATTGATGGAGCAACTGATGCGCAAGGTGGGTGGGACGGCGTTGGAAGGGCCGGAGAGTATGGTTGGAAGTGTGCGGCGGGCGGTTGGCGCGGCCACCCCCATGTGCCGGAGGTCGGCAGTAGCCAGGGATTGGCTGGAGTGCGCAAAAGAGAGCACGGCGATGGAAGGGCCGCCTTTGGCAAAGCTGGGGTAGCAGGTCGCACGTGGAGACCAGCCGAGGGTCGGGACGGTGGACGCACATAGGGAGGGTAAATGGGGGATTACAAAGGGGTAGTAGTATTGCATCGCTTCGGTACCATAGGCAAGCATTATAAGGGAAGAAATGCCACGGCCATGAGAGTAGTGATCGTTAGGAAGCTTCCACTCGGAAAGAAATAGTGTACGCCAAGAAGCGAGATTATCCAAGTGGAAGTGCTCCGGAGCCAAAACTTTCTAGCCTGTTGCCAATCCACGCTAGTCGACGTCGAGGAGGCAGTAGCATGGCGGACAGTCCTGCAGGGAAGCTAGGCGAGGCGGCCGCTCACCGTGGAGCCTGTTCGTTGTCAGTCGAGGATGGAGAAGAGGGTAGGAACGGGGGAGTGCCTGTTTCGGGGTGCGGAGATGATACAGGGCAACTCCGAGAAGGGGCACGGAGCATGGGAGACAAGGTTGGGGCGGTTCGGGAGATACAGATCAGTGGCGAATGAAGCATTAACGTTCCGGCTGATTCAGCCTAAGCAGTCTGCGGTCGAAGAAACCGCATGGAGAAAGCATGCAGGGGCGATCGCAAAGTCACTGCCGAGAAGACCGCCGCGAGGCGGTTTGCGGTCAAGCAGAGCACGGAAGTCCTGTAATTTGGTCAGCAGCGGAAATTCCGCGCAACGTCAGTCACCGAGTCCGCTTCCGAGGTTCGTGTTGCCTACAGAACGTGGAGACCAGGGGGCAGTGGGCTCTGACAGTCCGCCCCTTCATCGGCCGTTTTTGCCCCAGGAGAGGGGTCCTGAAGGTGACGGGCAGGGAGATAAGGCGGCGACCGGCGGTGTCCCGGGTGTTCGTTCGGAAAGGGGACCGACGCTCCGACCTATCCAGCCCAAGGATACGACTTTCCAAGACCTAAGACGAACGGCGCAATTTGCAGCATCGATTGCATGGGGTTTGCCCAAGCTCCGTCGGGGACCGGTTCGGCGGCCAAGGGCACAGGTGGGTGTGGACGATGGCGCAGCAGAGGCAGCGGACGGCTCGCTGCGCGGACAGAGGCAGTCCCGGAGGCGGGAGAAGAGAGCCCGTCTTCCTAGCCGGGATGGGCGCCCGATAAAACAGGTCCGAAGTGGAATCGGAAGGCATAGGAGACGGGAGCTGCAGGCCGAAGACCTGGCGAGTGTGCTGCGCTTTTTGGAGGAAGACTTTGCCTTGAAGGAGAGATTGTCTAACGATCAGACGTGGTGCACGCCAATACCGCTCGAGAGGAAGGTGTCGACGGTGCGAGACTTCTATCAGGCGTTCCACGATGCGAGCACGTTGCCGATACGGACCTGCATGGTGTGCTACCGCAAGTGTACGAGAGGAGAGTTGAGGGAGATTACATGGGATCATTGGCTGTCAAGTTGCGTACCAAAGGGCGGCCGCTCACCATTTTCATGCCGGAGTTGCTTTCCTGAGGGCGAGTCCGTGTCGGTGTGCGCCGAGTGTGGCCGATGCCTGGCGCGCAGGAGCCTGTCGCCGGCGATCCACCTTCACAGTCGCCTTGGCTGCGAGCACATGTTCCCGATGAGCTCAAGGGACTGACGCCGGTCGAAGAGAAGCTCATCTCGCTGAACTCATGTTACGGGTTTGTCACGAGATATAGCATTCCGGGCGGGCAGAGACAGAGCGTGAAGTATCCGAGGCATGTCAGGGCCACATCACAGTGTTTCCGAACAATGTGCAGGAGCTGGCCACCAAAGTGCTCCCGCACCCTTTTGCAAGCACTGGACGAGATCCACATCTCGTGGCAGGGCGCGGAGAAGCCGGCACCGAGCGACCTGTCGAGTCTCTTGTCGGTGAGGCGGCGGGTGGTCGAGAGGGCCCTTGTCTGGCTGAAGCGGAACAACCCCCACTACGCCGAGATCGAGATCGACGCGGCGGAGATGGAGAGCTGGGGAGACTCGATACACGGGGTACCGTCGTCGGTGTGCGATCGTATGGAGCGGAACGAGCCGTCTGGGTGGGAGAAAGCGCGGACGGCGCACGTTGTGCCGCCCACGGAACGCGCCGTGGACGAGGAGGGGCCGGTGGAGATCGAGGAGCTCTTCGCCCTGCTCAACCAAGGACAAGAAGCCGGCGGCCAGGGTGAAGGTCACGGGCCCAACGGAGAAGGCGCGGTTCGCGATGGAAGTGACGCCTGCCCCGACCAGAACGTTCCAGCGATCAACGAGGTGACGTCTTCTGGCATGTTCGCGCTCGACGGACCGCCAGACGTCGCGGACGTGGAGAAGCTGCAGTTTGCCTGTGACGCTGTTGGTGAAGGTGCCGACGACGGCCGTGCGGGCCCGAGAGCGTGGGTCGGGTCCCTAGCCGGGGGGGTTCGGGGGCGTGGCGACGGTGGTTGTGAGCCATACATCCGGGTTTCGCGGGGGGGTGAGTTTACCGATTCCTTTGAGGCGTCCTTCTTTGCCAGGACGTTCCCGACCCTGTTCCCATTTGGCGTTGGGGACCAAGGCTGGTTGAAGAGACCATGGTCGACGCGGGAAGGTCACGGCCAACTTGCGAGGCAGGGCTGTCGAGGCAGAGGCGGCCGCGGAGACCCCGTATCGTCTCGAAGCTTGAACCTTCAGGCGTGGGCCGAGATCGTGCTCCGGCGCCATGGTGGTCGATTTGCACTGCACCACATCTTCGCATTTCTCGTCTTCAACATGGGGTGCGGTCGAGGAACCGCCGGGTCAGCATGTTGAGTGTGGGAGGAAGAACTTCCGCAAGGTAGAGCGCATCGTGCGTTCGATGACCACAGAAAGGCTAGCGGCGGCGAGGGTCGAGTTGGAGAGCTCGGGTAAGACGACCGATGGTGACGTGAAGGAGCTTCTCAGGAGCCTCTCGCTTTACGGCCACCGGCAGCCCATGTCGAGAGGTCCGTCTCAATATGCGGCGGAAAATCCAGTCGCTCATCGTCGGATATGGCGTGCCGGCCATCTGGTTCACCATCAACCCGAACGACATTACGAACCCGGTGAAGCTGCGACTGGCGGCATACCGCACACGCGATCCCGACGCGGCCGAGGAGTTCTTAGAAGGCCTTGGGGATGCGTATAAGCGGGCACGGCTGGCGATATCGGATCCCATGAGCTCGGCCGTGTTCTTCCACCGCGAGATGAAGCTGTTCTTCGATCATTACGTGAAGGTCGGTGAAGAGTCGGTATTCGGGCGCATCGGCAAGTACTATGGCGCCGTGGAGACGAACGAACGAGGGGCGCTTCATGTTCACGGCTTGCTCTGGCTGCACGGGAACGCGCATCTCAGCTCGATGCTTGCCGACATCCACGGGGAGGATCAGGCGGCGTATCGCGAGCGAATCGTCCGATACATCGATAGCGTCTTCTCAGAGGTAAGAATGCCTACCTAAGATGTGCCACCGGGAGCCTGAAGTACTCTTCTGATGGCCAAGTGGGGCCGGGTTGACGTGCAAGGCAGGATCTGGACCAGGAAAGTTTTTGCGCCGTGCAAGCGGAGCGATCTGTGACGGGCGGTATTGGTTCCCTGCTGGACAACGCCGCGCAGTTCTCGGCCGCGTTTATCGAGGAGGCCAACTTCTGTGCCGGCGCGACGCAGGTGCACACGCATAGCCCGACCTGTGTGAAGTATTCCTTGGGCAAAGGAGGGCGGAAAGGGACCTCTGCCGGTTCAAGGCGCCATGGAGGTTAGTCGACAAGACCGCCCTCACGGCAGACGGGGTGCTGCAGATCCGGAGGACACACAGCATGGTCAATCGATGGAACGAGGCTATTGCTGTCGGGCTCCGGCACAACCATGATATTTCCTTCATTGCGACGCAGCGCAAGACAATGGCCCTCATCTATTATGTCACGAACTACGCGACCAAGGTGGAGGACCCGGTGTGGAAGCGTGTGGCGGCCGCGGCCGAGCTCCTGGCCGCCTCAACAGGTGATGGCACGGCAAACGGAGGGCGGGACGGTGGCGGAGACGCTGCCACCGATGACCCTGTCAAGGGAACAGGACGCGACAGTTCCTGATGAGAGTGGCGAACCGCGTGTTCACGGAGCGTCCGCTATCACAGGTCGAGGTCGTCGCTCACCTTCTCGGATATCCGGCCGAGTTCACCGACAGCAGCGCGTGGGCGTACCTGAACTGTTCTCTGCTGTACTGGGAAGTCTTTCGGCGATGGCGGCATCTCCGAGAAGCCAGTGGCGCTGCGGCTACGGATGACACCTTGGATGAGTCGGTCGTCGTCGAAGAAGAAGGCCTGAGAATCTCCCACGTCGAGGCGTACCAGCACCGGGAGAGCTGCTGAAAGGCCTATGCCTGTATGACTACATATCGATCGTCAGACTGAAACGCATCGGCAACGACGAGAGCTGGGCGGCTTGGGGGGAGATGTCTTTCGAGGATGGATGGGCGCCGGGACGACGCTGGGTTCAGGTGCTCAGGCGGCCGGGCAAGCACGCTACCGTCTGCCTCGACGGCTACCTGAGCAAGGACTTCACCTACGATGACGAGTCGTGCTACCGGAGGTGTGTATGGCAACTGCTCTGTCAGCGGGCATTATCGGAGAGGCTAACCCACCCCCTGAAGGGCAGCCGTGCAGCATCTTGCGCTGTTCGTGCCGTGGGAGTCCTTCCTGGGCGAAGGAACAGGTGAGATCAACAGCATCTGGGCGCGGGCTCGAGACGCTATGGTCCCGAGAATATCATGTCTGGTCGACAACGTGCAGCTGCTTCGACGATCCGCCGAAGACGCAAAACGCGACGCCAAGCAATGGGCAGCCTCGTCCGGCGATGGCGACCCGACGGTCGCACACGTCGAGGAGGGTGGAGCAGGCGAGGCGGGCGCGGAGTCTGCAGCGACATATCAGCCCAACAGCATCGGAGACGCAACGCGGCTCATCGACGTCGTCCGAGGTGCAGTGGAGCGAATCAGGTGACGGCCAAGTCGCCGGAGCTCATGGCAATGATACAGCAGCTCTGTCGGTTTCAGCAATCGGCGCTGCGCTCGACGGCCGAGCTCGAGGCCACGGCGCTGATCGAACGAGGGAGAGGCGGTTAAGCATGCCAGGGCGGGTATTTTCCGGGGCCGCACTACCGCCGCAGGATCAGGTCAAGGCTATCAAGTCGCAGCAGGTAAGTGCCTCGAAGGAGAGGAGAGGATGATCCAGGGATACAAAGCACGCCCGCCGCCTGGGAAAGCGATCGCCGCGCAGCGTTGCGAAGGGTGATGACCGGTTTCGGGGAGGACGAGGTCGAAATGACGATGGCCGACTCCGACGAGACCGCTATCGACGCAGGGGCGGGAATGGACGTTCAGTTTGGCCCATCAACCTCCTTCCTCGCGGCGGGCAAGGTGTTGGCAACACGGCTGACGCTGAACAAGAGGCAGTCCATCGCTTTTCTGATAATATGCCGCCAGCTCGATTTGATGCAGCAGACCGACGGGGCGATGCCTGCCAGCTGCGCCAGTTCGTCGGTGGCGAGGGCGGTACCGGCAAGTCGCGAATCATCGAGGCACTCGTCGAGCTGTTCAGTAAAAGAGCCTTTCGAATCGTCTGCTGATCACGGCGACGTCGGGGACTGCGGCGGCGCGGATCAACGGCATCACGATCCACTCCGCCTGCGGGTTCACTAAAGACCAAGGGGCGGGGCGCGAACATGGTCAAAGACCTTGACGGGTGCGGCTGCCGAAACAGGCGGAGCGGTTCATCCACGGCCAGTCTCGAATGGATTGGCAGGAGAAGGATGTGCTCGTCATCGACGAGGTGAGCATGCTCGGGGCGCGGACGCTGCACGCCGTGAACGAGCGGCTTCGCCGGCTTCGCGGATCGCGGCAAGATTTCGGGGATCCCATCGTCCTCTTCTGCGGAGATTTTCAGCAGTTCCGGCCGGTCCAAGAGAGGTCGATCGTCCTGCCTAGCGCGGCCATCTCGTGGGACGTAGACAACTCGTTCAAGGCCGAGCAGCGTCACCAGCACGACAAAGCGCACGCACTGTGGAAGAGGTTCACGACGGTCGTCATGCTGGACGAGCAGATGCGCGCCGCCGGCGACCCGGAGCTGCAGAGGCTGCTGAAGCGGATCCGTCTAGGCGTGCAGGATCGGACGGATCTAAACCTCCTCAACTCAAGGTGCTACCGGGAGGAAGGCGGATCCCTTGGGAGACGGGCATCACCGTGGTGACGCCGCTCAATAGGAATCGGTGGAACCTGAACATGGAGGCGAGCCTGGCGTTCCGGGTCCAGCAGCGGTCGACGATGCGCATTTTCATCTCCGAGCACAAGTGGAAGGAGGAGCTGCCGACGGAGGAAGAGGCGATCATGATACTCAACCAGGGCGACGATAGCGCGATCCCGGTGCCGGCCGTCTTCATGTTCGTGGCCGGGATGCCCATCGTCGTGAACCACAACACCCACCAGGGGCTGAAGCTAGTGAACGGCGCGAGCTACTCGGCGGTGGAGGTCATTGTCGACAAGGCGTACCCGGGGCATCGGATCTCGGCCGATATGACGATCCACTTCGGGCCGCCGGCGGGGATCATTCTCGAATCGGAGACGACGAGATATCTCCACTTCGTCGGGATGCCGCCGGGCACGATCTTGTTGACACCCATGACCGTTAAGATACAGTGCCAGCGAAAAAGGCCGTGGCAACGCAACGACGTCAGCCGAAAGGGTTTGCCGTGCGCAGCAGCGTTCGCGTGCACGGACTACAAGGTGCAGGGCAAAACGCTGGAGCGCGTGGCCCTCGAGCTGCGAGGACACGGACGACGAAGATGGATGGAACGGTGGTGCCCTCGCAGTGCGACCCGTACGGCCTGTACGTGCAGCTATCGCGCTGCCGAACTCTAGACGGCATCATGCTCGTGTCCAAGGTGCGGGACAGAGACTTGGTGGGCAACCGGGTCCCCGAGGAGATGACTGCCGCACAGGCCAGGCTCGAGGTACTGAGCGAGAGGACCGTTGAGGAGGCGTTGCGCTGGCTGGACGGTGATGCTGAAGAGTCAAGGCGGCCGCGCTAGGTGACGCGATGAAGAGTTCGGCAGGCGGGAAGAGTCGGCAGGCGGCAGACAGGGTGGGAGGCGCCTAGTGGTGGGATAAGGCACGCGAAAAGGCAACAGAAGCCGGGGGAAGGGCAGCGACCAACGAGGAGGGAGGCAAGGAGGGACCAATCACAAGGGACCAATCAAGGGGCGGAGAACTTTTGGGGGGAGAGGGCGGGGTCTGCGGGGCACGTTAGAAGGCCTTTCGTTCCTCAAGGCATGTACACAACATGATCCTTGGTAGACACCTCGTCTCTCAGTGGTTCAACTCATGACCGGCTTGTCTACCTTTCCTGCAGCCGCTATTGGTGCTCAACCCCGCTGGGATGCAGCTTCTCTGCAGCAGCCTGTCTGCAGCTAGATGTAATCCTATCAACCCATCCCTCCTCAATACCAGGCGTGCGACTGTTTCTCTCGCATCGCCAGCATGTCCGGTCTTGAAGTGCTTGCGGCCTTCGGGCTAGCATGCAACGTCATGCAGGTGATTGGCTTCGTCCACGAGGGGGTCCAAGTCGGCAAGACCATCTACGACACCGGGTGCCTGGACCCCAGCCTCGCCGACGCCACTGATTGCCTGGCCAAGGGCTTGGAGGATTTGAAGAGGTCGTTGGAAACGACACCGAAACCCCTCAACAGAGACGAGCAGGAGTTGCTCGACGTTGCCATGGGGAGCCTTGACACGGCAACGGGCTTGAAGGCCGAGCTGGACAAGATCGCAGGCGTTGCGTCTAAGAGCAAGCAATCTGCTGCGCTCCGTGGGTGGTTAAGAACGATCATGGGAGGTAAGAGGAGGATCGAGAAGCTAGAAAAGGCGATGCGCTCTCGACGGGAGGTTCTCGAAAGCCGGCTCCTGCTTCGAGTTTGGCAAGCATCCGCGCTCTTACCACTGGGCGATGTTAGTGTGCTAACTTGGTGCACAGTAACAAGAGCGACGCTATTCTTATCCAGCAGCAAAATGACTTTGACGAGCTAGATACGATTCTGCGAGGCTTCGTCCAAGCCTGTGGCCGTGGGCAGACCTCGCTCGACAAGCTCATCCGAAACGAGTCGACGTCAGTCAAAGCGCACATCCGCAGCGAGACGGCTCACCTACAGCACTCTTTGAATACCAGCATCGTCGCCGAGTCCGGCAGAGTTCAGGGCCATGTCTCTTCTCGCTTAGAGGAATTAACGCTAAGGGAAACCGAAAAACAGGAGCATGAAAGACTGCTGGGGAGTCTGCGATACGAAACCATGAATGAACGTCGAAACCAGATCCAGAGTTGTCACCAAGGCACTTTTCAGTGGATCTTCCACTCGAGGAAAGACGACGACCGCGAGGTGGGTGTTGGGTACATATTCACACATTCATTAATTACGTGTGTTGCTGAATTCTTCTACAGTTCGCGTCCCGTGAGAGTCAAGATGGTGGTGAGGTATGAGACTTCGTCGTATGCTCTTTTACCTCGCGCAACTTTGAAGGCTAAGTCGACTAAAGTCCACGTCTCTACCGCTGCCGGAAATTACCTGGCATGACTTTCTCGGATGGCTGCGTTCGGACGGAAAACAGCCATATTGGATCAGTGGAAAGGCTGGTTCTGGGAAAAGTACGCTGATGAAGTTTCTGATTGAGCATCCACAAACAAGGGCCACTCTGGATGCCTCAAACCCAAACACCATCGTCTTATCCCACTTCCTCTGGGCTGTTGGACAGCCGCTCGAGAAGAACATCAAGGGCATCCTTTGCTCCTTGCTTCGTCAGCTCCTGTTAAAGGATCCTATGTTTTCCAGTCGAATCTTGGAGAGGTTCCAGGATACAAGACACAAGAGAGCCCCCAGCGATTGGTCCAGCGAGGAACTCACAGTCGTTACCATCGATGCGTTCTCAACCCACTCACGGCACTTTTGCATTTTCCTCGACGGCCTTGACGAGGTTGATCCTCGAGACGGCCAAGCGGCACTGGTCGGGCTCATCGACAAGTTGTGTGCCAATCCGCAACTCCGAATGTGTCTCTCGAGTCGGCCGGAGCCTGCACTCCAGAAGCGTTTTGGAAATTGCCCCAGGCTTCGAGTGCAGGATTTGACGCGGAACGACATTTGCCGCTACGCCAAAGACGTACTTGCGGAGCTTCTCATTGACGAGAAAGGCTCATCCAAAGACCTTGTTCGCACTGTCTATGACAAGGCCAATGGCGTTTTCTTATGGGCAGCCCTAGCTCTCCGAAGCATACAAACTGGGTTGTCCAATGATGATGATATAGCCGAGCTTACACGGCGTCTGGAATCCCTGCCGGATGATTTGAATGCGCTTTACCAAGACATGTGGCGGCGTCTCAACGATAGCGAGTCCATTTACAAGACCGAGGCTGCCCAGTACTTCAATCTTATGTTGGGTTATATGGAAAACCAAGCCATTTTTGGGAGATGAGTCTTGGCCTTTTGACCTTGGCATTTAATCCATCGCTGGCTGCGGTCGTTCTGGGGGAGGGAACCACATCTTCTCCGGGAGACTTCGTCGGAGCTTGCCAAAGAACTTCAAGTCGTCTCAAAACACGGTGTGCTGGCCTCTTGGAAGTCTCCGAAGCCGGACTGGTTACCTTCATCCATCGTTCAGCGCAGGAGTTTTTGACAGGCACGCCTGAGGGACAGCGTATACGTCAATCCGATCAGCTGTCCAGCGAAAGGCGCCTCTTGGATCTCTTTCGAGGCCATCTTGGCTGCATAAAGATGTTTAAATGCTCGGAAAATCAAACTTACGCGCCTTACTGCATCACTGACGGAGTGGTCACCAGTGCGTTCAGAACACTCTGGACCGTTTATAACTATCTCGTGGTTGAAGGAACGCTTTCCGCAGAAAGTGTGGTCGAATACATTCGTCCTTCCAAGGCCTTGTATGAGACAGGCCGATGGGACTTTTATCCTAGTGCTATTGCTCGACCAGACTTTCTAGGCCTTGCAGCTTACATAGGCTTCCTGGATCAAGTTTCTGCCGAAATTGAACGGCTCGTCTCGGAAGCCCCGGACGGCATGAGAGTTTCAGGCAGCTACAGGAATTACCTTGTAGGAGCTGCATGTTCAGGTGTCTTATGTGCGGGCGGCTTTCCCGATTACGGGCTGGGGTTCCTACGTGCGGTTCTCAACAGACCGGTAGCGCCATGCATTGGTCACACCCACATCAACATGGGCCCAGTAATGGCCAAAGCGTTCCCCTATTACATATCCTCCGACCCTCTCACGGATTTTATTGACAAGGCATGTCACTCAAGCAGCGCATTATCAGATCCGAGTGTCCTTGATGTTCTGGTGGAGCTCCTTGATGCGGGATATAACCTGGCCAGCCGTACGATCATCATATTCCGCAGGATGCAGGCTCGGTCCAATAGGTTTTATAGCAAGCATCACTGGATTCGCGAATGCTGGCCAGAAGCAGATATTCAAGAGACTCTGGTCTTCGAGGTTACTCGTTCACTCTTCCTTCAGCTTTACCTGCGGGTGGCGAAGTGGCAAAAGCGAACGCCACCGCCCGCTCTCCCTTCCGTTATTTCTTCAGCGGTTGGGGGTCCAAATGCACCGATGCTTGCAAGTCTTCTTGCAATCATTCCACCCTGTTCCCCAGATGAGACTTGGGCAGATGAGACGGAGGTTTTGATCCCTTCCACAGAAGACAACATCGATTTTATGTTGAACTGCCTTGATACTCGTTTTTTCGTCGATAGATGGCCGGAACTTGCACTTCCCGACCCCCCACACCGGCTCCAGCAGATATCAGACCGAGCACGCCGTGCCACGCTCCATGAACTAGAGCAGTCCTTAGTCCAAGCTGGGCACTTTACATCATACGAGGATGGGCTGAGGAACTGGCCGCCAAGACCCTATTCACCGGAGGGCAAATACGATTAGATTCACGTATTTAAATGGCATATTAAATCTAGCTTGCGTCCATTGCTTTGTTGTACTTAGGGGAACTTCGATTTTGGCACTGTGCGGAATACCATGACTGGCATATACACAACCATCGAGCAAAGACTGTAGACGAAGGATAAAGTGCGATTGGAGAGGATGCCCAATAACTATGCCCGATCGGCTCGCCCAGGCGAAGTTGTGAGCAGTGTCAAGACTGAGATTGCACTTCCTGAGTGTCTCGTTTTTAACAACTTACATAGCGAAGTTATAGACTTTACGCCGACGCTTACGAATTGGAGACGATTTAGTCGGGCGATTTCCACTGCAGTTATTGCTCGATGACACACACTCGCGAGGCTCTGTTTTCTGCGAATTTCAGACCCGTTTTTGAAGGTCTGAGGATCGAACAATACCAGCTTACACACGACCTCTCAGGAGTATCTTGCGGGCGCAGTATTTTGACGGAGATGCAAGGGCAAAGATCACAAACAACTCAAATATTTTGGTTCTTCTACCCTGTGACTTCAGTTGCCCAGAAGCTATCCGTTCCTTCTCTCAATTCGCGATATCCATCATTCATGTTGTTCGGCTGTTATCTACCCTTGTTGATTAGATTATTCCCATATTGAACTGCTCCCAACTTCCTCCCGCAATCTCGATTCCTATACCCCATCTTCTCCGACCGACCTAGCTATTCAACTCATGAGAAGCACTGCTTGCAGATAGCCCCCATGTTTTCTCTATTTGGAAATTCACCAACTGATCTTCTCGCTTGCCGCATTGGGGTCCACCGGGAAAAATCTTTTCGGGAAATATATCTATCGTGAGAATAATGCGTTCATCCTTGGCCAGATTGCCTGACTGGCAGCTCTTGCGGAATTCCTCGACAGATCCTTGCAGGTGAAAGAATTCTCTGACGCAAGGAGAGTTGGAAAGCTTCTCCCTGCACCGTTGGAACTCCATGTTGCCATCGCGTTCTGCCCACATTGATTCGTCTAGGAGAACGCACTGTTCGCAGATAGGTCCATAGTGGTCCTTTCTTGTAAGCTTCATCGCCAATACCCCGTCGAGGTAGTTTCCGAACTCGCCACACTTGGGTCCTTTCGGGAAGACATCGTTTCGATAAAAGCCAACTCCAACATTTAGATATTCCTTTTTGCGCAAATTACCGTCTCGGCAACTTTTTCGGATTTCGTCGCTGGATCCTTGCAAGTAGAAAAGTTCTCTGACGCATGCGTTGTCGGGAAACACCCTTTTACATTGTTTGAAGTTTTTGTCGCCGTCTCGTTCTGCCCAGATCGGCTTACCAACTGGCTGCGGCATCTCATGTGGACGGTTGGAGCTGGTGTCAGGCCTGGAAACGTCTAGTTGAGGTTCCTCTCTCGTGGAGTCCAAGTCGGTGGCAGACTCAATGGACGTCCGCTCTGGAAGCTCATTGACCTCAACAGAATCCGAGCATTTCCTGACTACTGCTCGTTCATATGTGCTCTCGTTGTCCACCAGAATCTCTTCGTCGAGGATTTCTGCACAATCATTACTTTGTAGTCTTCTGAAAACAGCGTCTTGCTTTGCCATAGCGCGGTCCTTGTTGATGTTGTCTTTCCACCCGTCAGGGATATCGAATGTTTCTTCTCGCCTTCTCAGAGGGAGTGTCGGCTTGCAGGCATCAATCTTTCTGAAATAGTGGAAATGGGCCGGGAGGCCAAGACCTGATGTGCTAAGCTGGCAGTCGTGGTTCTTAATTCCTGTGCAGTTGAAGATTTGGCTTTTGCCATATTTGGTTTCCTTCGAACCCGCACTAATCCAGAACTCAGGAGATGTGTGAGCATAGCCCATAAAGATTGGCGGTACAAGGGCTATCGTGTCTGCATCATGCGTGACGCGATACGTCGTGCCATTGAGCCTCGATGAGGCAAAGTTAGCAAACGGGATGTTGCCGGCGCGTGGGGCGCCGTAGGTGTACGCTTCCACGGGTAAGCCGCGATAACGAAGGTGGGCAGCGGCAATCGTCGCTGCCGCACCGCCGAGGGAATGACCGGTGACAACCACGGGGTACTTGTGCTCTCTGTGAAGGGACTGGAGGATGGCCGTGACCTTGTCCGAGACTCCCCCCCAGGCCTTGGCAAAGCCTGTGTGAACTCTGCACCCCGGAACATATTCGCAGTCGGTGAAGAAGAATCGGACGTCATATACCCAGTTTGGCAGACTCCAAGACCCCCGAATGGATAGGACGATTTCTTTTCGTTCGTGGTCGACGGCGATGTAACCGTTGAGGGCGCCAGGCCAGCCACTTGTATGGCAAGGTCAGTTATCAGCGTCCGCCATGCACAGTTGTGAGAACAGGAGTACATACCTAAATGTGTGATTCAAAATCACTCTATTTTCCTTGACCGTCGGACAATTTCCGTCACATTCAACCATCTGCCCGGGCTCTTTCTTGGAGTTGCAGTATGCGGCGGCCGAATGCTGGGCATAAAAGTCAAAATTTGCCGGTAGTTTACTTCCGTCATTGTCCTGTTGAAGTTCTGTTAGGATCGAGGAAGTATAGGCAGTAGAAGTTTTACACACCTGTTCTAAACTAGACTTTGTATTCGGACCGGAACACAAGTGGTCGGGGTTCACGACACTGGCGTCATTCCGGCGTTCAAAAAGCGTGAACTTGGCGTTTGCGTTGTTCTTTAACAATTCCTCGGGCTCATTGCTTGATCTTTTTCTGGCACATGCTATCGAGAGGTTACACTTGGTTTCGCAATAGCCGGACTCCCTCGTATGAAGGCGACATTCGGATTTAGTGTTTGGCCAGTCCACATCTTCGTTGGCACAGGGCCTAGTCCAGTTACAGACTTTTTGGAACGCGTCTACGTAGCCGCGTGGGGGGTCGAAAAATATCGTGATTGGCTTCAGCCCGCAATTCACGGCAGCGGTCCAGTTCAAGTCTGTGCCATCGCCAGCAGTAAGATTGAGAAGTGCCTAATAAGCGTTAGATGATGTCGTCATCGACTTTGAGCAACAGGCTAACCCGACTTACAGGGCCAAGGAAAGGGTTCTTGTTATGAAAGTCTTGGATGAGTGGGTTGAGATCCCAAGCTGATGCTAAAGGAGCCTACGGCAATATGCCCGCGAGGAGGACTTGGAATCCCGTTACCTTGAAGGTATCCATGGAACCGATTATTCTATGAAGACGAAGTTTAGAGCTCACATATGAACGTGCTTGTTGGTATAGAGGGCACAGGCTAGGCTTTATGCTTGGCGTTGAAGAGCGTAGTCATTGCGCGATTTGCGGTGATCTTGCAGTAAAGAGGCAGTAGCTTGTCAGTTGATGTCACTTTCAACTGCTGGCCACGAAAGGTCTGAAGTGAGTCCTGTTAGCCCTAATGCTGGAAAGGACCGAATATCGCATGGTCGGTATTACTTCAGTATCCACATATGGACAGACGAGCCACACCATGAATACCGGCTTTATCTGCACCAGACTTTACGAATCGGCAGATGGAGCTATAACCTGTCAAGGAACTGTACAGAGAATTTTTTTATATATATCATTACTCGCATGCAGCCTCTAGGGCCATGGCGAGGCTAATAGGGGCCTAGGCCCCTATTAACAGTCCTAGCTAGCTATAGAGCCCGGGGGCTTGCAACCAATTAGGGAAAGGGTAGCTATAAAGGCAAAGACAAAGGAAGGCGCGGTCATTGGTGCAGTTCACTCTCATTCCAACCTCATCCCACTCTTTTCCAAGAGATGGTCCAGTAGCTAAGAGAGAGTACTCCTGAGAGATGAAGTAGCTAATAAGACCTTGTTCTACGGTCGAATAAGCGTTTATGTTGTTAGGTCAATGCGGTGGTGCTCTACGTTCCGCAGTTGTCCGAATGGTCGCCGGGTAGCGGCTGATTCATGCATGGGCACTATTGAGTTAAGATTGGCCAAATACTAATCTTGAAGCCGTTCCCGAAATAGGCTTCTCTCCGTGGCATATTGCGGCGTCGGTCCGAGATCGTTTGTTCAAGCTGAAGACATGTGTGGGGACGTGGTGGCTACAGAGTACAATAAGAGCTGAACTGGTCCTTCCAGATTTTCCCTTTGCATAAAGTAGAAAATAATTTTAAAAACTCCGCCCGTTTTCTCGTATGCGTGGAGAAGCAACGGCACTCATGTCGACGATCTCATCTGATATATAGTTTAACGATCACGTTGTGTGACGTCGCCGAGATGACCGTTGCGATCAAAGCCATGCACTACGCCTAGACTCTGCCTTTAGCTGCCGAATCTACGGCTCTTAGCTCATAAATTCCTCGGGAGGACCGTTTGCGAAATATTGCTACTAATGTTGCAGAAGCTGGTAGTTACACCGTGGGCCTGTCAGAACATTCGTTCACTGTTGGAAATGTGTATCCTTCGGGCAGGTGGACCATGATACAGTTTCCAATTGATCGGTCTTGCTTGGGAGCCGGAGTCCATGGCGACCTCCGGTGCTCCGCCTATCGAAACGTACAGTTCTTTGGGCTCTGCTCCGCTTCAACCCTCTCCGTCACCGACCATCTCATACGAGTTGGCAAGCTATTGGAGATTGTGGCATGTGCTATCTCGTCGCTGGATGCTTTGGACATGTCACGAATCAGGTACAAATACATTAGACAATCCAGCAATGTGCCCTACGCGGCTCTCTCTCGCCGGGGGCTTTGGACCCAAGGGCCAAAAGGGAGGCACAGCTCGTAATGCTAGGTATTTCATAGCATGACGCATGCGTGATGGCTACCTGGGTTTAGCTCGAACATGTTGCAATGCTTACGAAGTTAGGTCTCCGTCGATGTGATTCAAGGACAAATGCCCACTTCTGGAAAGTGGTATTCTGCTACCGATATCCTGCAACGACGGAGCAGGGAGCCCGTGGCCAACTGTATGAACAAGCACAAGCTAGTGATGCAGCAAGACGGAGGTACAGTAGGGCTCCAAACGTTGTCAAGTTGCTGTAGTTGTTGGCTGTCGTGCATAGCGGTGTGAATACTACTTCCCCGCACGACTGAAGTCAAACCAACAGCATCTTGTCCAGGCTGGAAGACCAAGGGCGATTCCGTTGTCGACGAGGAATAAGGATAATGTGATATTGAAAATTGCTTTCTTATTTACACGGATATTGAGTCGTAGAGACTTACAGTCTGCGCTCTTTTGAGACGATGCTGATGAAGTCACTGCCTCGGGAAGCAATGCCTTTCGTGAGGGGACTGCCGTGTGATTGTAGACAGAGGGGAGTGGGTGGATGTCATGCTGTTGGTCGCCGTGTTGCTGGCGACAATTTAATCGAACACATGTTCCGGGTTGTAAGGCCTGGTACCCGCCTTGAGCCAGCAAAAGGTCTGATTCAACCATGCCACTCATTGGCTAGCCACCGTTAGCTTGCATCTCCTACGATCTTCAAGTTGGAAGGTCGGAGCCGGCTACAGTCAATTGTTCTATTGCAAGGGTGCGAATAAAGGCCCAGAAGACGGCAGAGCCATTCCCTTGGTGCGAGCAAAGCAACCTTATTGGCGACATTTGCCAGTTAATTACTGCTTGTCAGCCGCCACATGGTTCGACACCAGGTGGAATTGATCGATTAAGGGCATATAAGTGTCAGTGTAGCCCGACTAGAGTCCCAGTCACCGCCCCCCTACTCTACACGTAGGGAAACCATACACGTCTTGAATCAACATCATGAAGGTACGTATAAGCGATGGATCTTTCAGGCCTGTCTAACAAGCTAACTAATGGCTAGGCTTCTCTTCCCACTCTGGTCCTCGTGCTCAATGCCGGCTGCTTCCTGGCAGCCCCAGCTGAGCCGCCGCCAACCTCGCCGAACCATTCCTACCTGGAAAGGCGTAGGTGGCATCACCTCGGTTGCAATTCGTCATACTATGGGCAATGTTCCAGGTCGTCACGATGCGACTCTGATGGACTGGTTATTCCTCGACACTCCGTATGCGCGGTACAATGCTGGTGCGACTATGTCGGTCCCTGCCGTCCACTTTGTTCGGCGGGGGGCAGCGGCGACAAATCAGAGGGCAGCGACGACCAGTCGGAAAATACAGAAGATGCTGAAGTGAACCAGGTTGCAAAGGAACATGAATAATGCCCTGGCCACGGTCAAGGACTTGAGTACCAGAAGGACACAAAGTGGTATGACGTGGTTATGCCTTGGAGGTGGGAACAGTACCAAAGGCAGACACGTGGTACCAAAATTTCATTCAAAATGTCCACATTGCATCACCTTGAGAGCCTCAATTATTCCTCGCCTGTCTCTTTGCAGTCTAACTCTTCCTGTGTACACATGGCTCTGATGACGGCCTTGGCTTCTTCGCACTCGTCGCCATTATTAACTCGAGTCCAAAGGACATCATGTAATTCAGGGACGTTCCGGACAATTTTGGATATAGACGAGTTCCTCCTGGGTGAAGCTGTAGTCGTTCATGTTGCCCTCTAAATCGCCTCGTCACTTTACAGGCACATCTCTCTAGTTGCCATGTACCAGGGGACCAGGAGCCCAGGAACTCAAGACCGATTTCTCGCGGCATTGTGTCTTTTTCGGCCTTCAAAACTCGTCTCAACCGACTCGCAGATGCAATATACTAACCATCGAGCCCGAAAAGCGAGATGGGGGTGAAAACCGTAAACACCCCCAGTCGCCGCCCTGCCGTCGTCAGTACGTTTAATATGGAAAGTGCTCTGACTGACCGTGTATCACTCCTGGTACAGCAGGATGCCTCTCCTCAGCTTCTCGATATCCTTCCATATAGCTTCTCGATTCTTCTTGGCTTCTACAGATTTCTCGGCTAGCCATTCATTTCTCCCATACACAACTGCACACTCGTATTGTAAGAGCAGCAAGATTCTTTTGCATATTTACCACCACTTATGACTCATATCCCGAATCACGTTCGAACCGCAATGTATATCGCCAAATATAACGTGGTGCGTGAACCAGTCGTCCATGTAGCTAACAGTGTAGTTAACCCCAGCGTAGGCCGCACTAACGGCCGCGCCAAGAATGTCCTTTCCCCCGATGACGGGTCCCCACGGGTTAGGAGCAAGAACTTCCTTGTTGTTGAGTACGATGCTGTTGATCGTGCTAGGGTAAAACGATGTGACTCGGTCCTCCTTTGCCACCTTGCGGCGCTCTACTGGTTTGGGTGGCGTACCAGCTCGAAGGACGGGGATTTCAGTCATCTCCCCGAAAATATTCGCTACCTGAGCTTCCAGTTGCTCCGGGGGAGCCAAACTGGAGTTTCTCGAGCTCTGCCCCGAAGCGGATTCGGCATCCAGGTCGCGTCGTTCGTTGCCATTCCGTCCCTCGGCCAGTTCGCAATTCCAATGAGGGCGAGACTTGCCGGCGTAATAATAGAGGGCCGGAATGCGAACAATTTCCCTATCCGTGATTCCCGTCTCTCTCTTTATGATGTCGATGTTTCTCTGAATTTCCTTGGCACTGTTTTCCTGAACGCTAGTGAAGTCGGTCTTATTAATGACCTGATCGATCGTGTCGGCCGGGTAGCAAGCTTTCGTTGGATCAGTAGGAAATCTTGGACGAGAAACAGCCTTGACGCCGCCTTGGCCGTCTTGTTGAGCCTTCTTGAGCATTTTAAGGGCTGTAAGCGGATCGTCAACAGCCATAACCCAGCCGCGCTCACTTTCAACGGGAAGAAACTGCATAAACTCGTCTATATGTCCGACACCAAGCCATGAAGTGTCGATCCTAAGCGGTTCCTGTACCTCCTGCGCCTCTAGGAAGGCCATCATATGTAGCTTCTTTCCTTCTGGCGATCCCATGACAGCTCGTCCCGCGGGATATGACTTGCCGTTGTAAGTATAGGGCGGAATAGTCTCTAGATTGCCCGTAGATTCGAAATCATCTCTGGGGTGACCGACACCGGAGAAGTCCTGAACAGCCCCTGCTGTACTAGATCGAAGATCCCCGAAAATTTTAAGGCCGGCCGCGCGACTCTCCTGAGAAGACCTTATCATAACACGCAGGCCAATAGGGCCACCAGGGCCAGGAATACTCGTGTAGCCAGGCTCGAAGAAATCTTGGGTCCAGATGTCGTCTGTGTCGAATGCGTGTAATGGTTTCTTCATCCCAGCTCTGTTGGAGACGTTTTTGAGTTCCTCGACAAATTGAACCATGTCTGGGCGCTTCCAGTGGAAGTGTTCAGGTAGCAACGTTGTTAGTAGCTGTTCGGCGAGCTGGCCATGATTGTGGGTTAAGATAGGAGCAACGCGAAGCGCTACTGAGTCCTTGGCCTCTTGGTTGCCATCCTTGACTCTAAACTCCACTGTGGCCCTGCCATCCCATCCTCTCGGGCGGCGAATATCGCGAGCATCAATGCCGAGCTCAAGGCCGATCTTTAGTTCTTCGGCTGTAAATATATAGTCGGAGGCCACATAAACCCATTTATTGCTTCTCCTATAGAAGATACGGACCTTAGGGGCGGCTGTTTCGTTTAAGACGGTAATAAAGCCGGTAGCAGAGTTGCTCAACTTGGGGTTGGGGACGGTCAGAAGGGGCGCGAGGTAGGTTGAGTTGCGCAGCACGTTGTCAGAAGCGTCATTACAGTTTTCGGGTTTAAACAAATGTGAGCATCGGCCGTCAGTATCGCCAATATTTGCCATAAAGAGCGCGCCGGACTCTGGTGTCCAAATCTCTTTGCCAGCGAAGTCAGTTTCGCCCGTCACGTCCACTTTGCCATCACGGTTGGTATCCGCAAGGATGGTTACGCTCAAGTCCTTGATAGTGCCCGAGGTTTCGCCAGCTGGAGTGCTTCCCGTGGACTGGGGAGTGATGGTGTTGGTGGGATTGGGTATGACGCATTGGCAAGCGGATTTCACCGCGTCCTGGAGATAGTCACAATATTGACCTAGCTTCCCGCTCTCTTCTTGAGTCAAAAGCTGGTAGTAGTGTTGGTCATTGAGTATGATGTCTTGACAAAAGGCGTGAGTGCGACCGTTGAGTAATTGGTCGATGCCGAGATAGCATTGACTCGTTTGGCAGGAATCCCGAATAACGCGGGAGGAGGCAGAAGCGGTGGTAACGGCGAATATGCCGGAGACCAACCTGAAGAGGCGCTTCATAGTTGACATTATATGCGTCATGGATCAAGTTACTTGTGAGAATAATGCAAAGCCAAGCGCAGAGCTAAAGATTCGCATCTGATGGCAAAGGGCTAGGAATGAAAGGAACTATGAGAGAATAGTCGACATTTTCAAGGAAATCCTGAGACGAGCTCCGGTCTACTTTCTTCGTGGATTCGTTATGCGGTCGTCCCTTAATATCTTTTGTCTGTGCACATAAACGCCGCACACATATCCCTACCACCTTTTTCGGTTTCGGCTCTCTTCAGCTCATATCAAGGATCGCCAGGATTCCAGAGTTCTAGATTTTGCAACCCACTCTACTTTTCGCCCTCTGCGTAAAGTAGCTTGATAAACTAGGTGTGACTGCGTCATGTGTCACGAACAGTCAATTATAATAGTCACTTGCAGCGTTACCTGCTGGAGTGTGCACTCTACTTTTGACTAGCAAAATGACGTGACAGACTGACTACATCGTGAATGACCCCAGACTTGCGATAAGTGCTGCTGGCTTGTCCCTATCTTCGGTTGGGAACGGACTCTCGCTACCCCATGCACCCTTGGCTGCCACTTGACACATGTCAGGACGAGCCATTTATGCGAACTGTACGGGGAGAAGAGACTACCTTAGCGTGAGTATAAGTGGAAAACTGAGGACCTTGAAGGTAGGTAGCTGACCGCAGACGGCCTATGGGGCTTGATTCAACCATTCACTGTCGGGGAAGGCGGAGGGACCAGTTGATGCTGCGTTATTTAGAAGCCTGGGGCTTCAGCGGGTCCAGTTCGGATGAAAGCTAAGTGTCTCATGCTATGCTGTACCATGATCATTCACCTGCCTATTCATGAGTCACGACGGTCCTCGGTCATCGGTTAAATTGCAAGCAAACGTGTGCCTTTTTACACCAGATAGCATTTGGCGATATTGACTGCGCATCAATTAGGTTTGATAGCTAGCCTACGAGGCGGTGGCCGCGGTGCACCTTTGAAGTGCCGAAAGGCCACTTTTTAATAGCTCGGATGAGGCATGAGAGAGAGCAATGGATATGGCAGTATGGGCAGTAGGCCGGAGAGATAATAACTATGAGGCGGAGGCGTTAACTATGGCGCGTTCGAGGGCAGCAGACTATCGTGGCGAACGCGCCGGTTAAGGCTAACTTCGGGGTACTGTACTTAGGAATTTGGTGGGAATTGAAAGGAGTTGGCCGAATGGTGGGAGTGGGTGGCCTGATGGCTCGGCCCTTAAAACTGAAACGGCATAAGGGGGTCCATCGCAGTGTGAAGACAGCCCCTATGTCGCTTATAAGGGTTATAGCCAGTCACCTTTGCTTGATAGCTAGCATCTCACCCTTCTACTGTAGAGATGTCCTAGCCAGTACTAGATCGCTACTTCGCGCTCGTCCTAGAACTCGTAAGGCACGAGTTGTAATAGGCTCTCTCTGCTGAGTGATGCGTATCGACTTGGTCTCTATGTAATTATTGTGGGCTCCGCAACCTGGGCGCTGTATTCGCACTGCTAAAGGGATATAAAACAGGTGTCAGCAAGAGTTCCCAATAAGATGACCAAGGGGTGAGCAGAGTCAGAGCATTAATGTGAGCACCCTTTCCTCTTATAATAACACCCTTTAATATAAGGACGTGTAAAAAGTATAATTTAGATATGAAAACCTTTTTATCCCTATTATGCTGGTTATCTAGGGCTATATAAGGTGTCTTAAGCAGGGGCTTGAGAGCATAGTAGAAGAAATAGGGGCATAGAAAGGTAAATTAAGTAATATATATTTTAGTCTATCTATTAGGATAAGGGAGGGGCTTATATAGGTATAGTAACTATATATAGCTAGCTAAAAGAGGGCATTAAGATATTCCTATACCTAAGTTAGGCCTATATAATATCCTTAGGCTAGGGGAGTTATATTAGTTAGGTAGGCTTCCTTATATATAACTATTAGGTCTACTAAGCATAACTATAGCCTCTTATACACACTCTCCTTAATAAGGTATATATACCTATAAAAACTTCTATAATTTCCTACTAGATAACATATAATATACATTACGGTTTTAACCTATGTATGCCCCCCTTACCTTCTAGGCTTCTATGCTCTTAAACGTTTATTCGAGAAATAGGTATTAGGGTTAAAAGACAAGTGCTTGACCCACAGCAAGCCATAGTGTTGGTAGTCTGGAATACGCTGTTGCACCCACCGGGTATGGTGGCATCCCCGATCGGGTATGGCGCCCTCGCCCGGACCCCACTCGACCCCGCGCCCGTATAAATAGACCGACCTCCATCCTCCCCGGCGGCTTGTACTCTGGACTTCAATCCTCCCTCTTCTCTCCTATCGCCTCCCTCATCGATGACCGCCATCCCCCTGCAGGGCACCACGTCTTCGTGCATTTCTGCCTGCGACTAATCCTATCTTTACGACCTCGTTATTTCGCTCCGAGACGGCCTGTTTCTCACGCTGAAGCGTCCGTCCCGCGAGCGCCCCTTCCAACGCACCTCTGTCCGTGTTCGTCCATTGCTCCGCCTGCATGTTCATTTCACGTCGAAACCTGGCCCTCTCATAACGGGACAGTGCAAAAAGCTGCTAACTAGTTCAGTTCAGACTATTTGGCAAGCTTGGAATCGATCTTCTATCGTTCCACTCGAATCCCTCTATTTAATATAGATATCGTCACTCGCCTATTCGTTCGAACGAATGCAACAGTCCTCGGCGCGGATGCTCAGAACAGCGTGATAGCTTGTCAGTCAATGGCAAAAATGCCGCATACGTCGGACTTCCCCGATGGTTGACCCAGGAGGCCTCCGCAACGCTCCAACTACGGCAGCGGCTGACGCCTTGACGAGCCGATGCAGTCTCACGAGCGGGCGCATTAAGGTGACACGTCATCAGCAGCATGGGGCGGGAACTTTTGATGCGACGATCGCGGCTCGGCGTTGTCTCGGCCTTGCGCTTTCCGACGGGCTGCGTCGTCAGCAATGGCGCGACCAACCCCTGGAAGTCTTTTGCGGAGGTTCTTGTCGATCAAGCGAATGCTTGGCTCGGTCTCGACCCAGAAGCTGAGACAAACTTGCATTAGGGGTAGGACGAAGGTGATTGGGGGAACCGAGGCCCTACGACGGCATAGAGAGCCTACGTGTGAAGCGCTGGGCGGATTCGGGAGACGCCGGAGATAATAGGCTCGTTCCGCGGTCATATCGCTTAGACGAGGAGTACTTCCGGACCGTGTTTCGTCATATGCGGCTCGGCGTTAGGGTGACTGGCGGCAAGCTGGATAAGAGCGGAGACGAAGGCTAACTTAAGGGGAGCCTAGACCTAGCAACTAAGAATCGCGTTTTTTTGCGATCGGGGACAAGGAATAAGGCAGCCATCTAGAGCCAGCTGAGCAGTCTTCTCGAGCATTTAAGGTCCTTCGCCCCCCACGCTTGTTCAGAGAAAGTTCATCAACGACGCTCTCGTATCACCCCCGAGACAGCATTTTACACGCGGCAGTAATCCCTCCACTATAACCACTCTTATTACTCTCGATAATCCGATTTTCTAGACTCCGCTAGAGGCGCACTTAGCGGATCCTTCCGTTATAAAGTTCTCGCGCCTATCGGGACATTAGTTGCCTCCAGCTATAACAGCAGCGTCCTTACGTCACGCTTCCACGGGGGCGGATAAGGGGCGAAGACGTCCATCGGCTGGTCAGCCATAGACTACGAATAACATAATATTAATTTCTTCCGATAAAGAATCTAACGTAAACGATTATAACGACGATAACGACTAATACGATTTCAACGCCGATAAGTCATATCTAGATAACTCGCTTCCGTCGATCGCCACTATTGCGGCATCCATTGCCAGCGAGCAGCTTAGAGGTTAGCAATCCTAAAGTAGCGTTCTAGCGAGCGGACGGGCTGATAGTTCCTCTAGTAACTACCGATCCTTAAGAGTCCGAGACTGTTAAAACTGGAAACGCCCGCCTATGTGGTGCATCTGCCATTGATCAAGTAGGACAGCCAGCTAATACAAGGACATCATCGCTAGCTTCATCCCTTAGCAACCCTGTCGATACCTTGCCCGTGGCAATCGCCTCGCTCCGGACAGCCCCCCATATATCCGAAGATCATAATAATTTGCTTAATTAAGATGCGAATATCTCTTATCAATCCCGTTCTATATTTGCCGCCGACTCTATTTCTCCTCAGTCCATGGTCTACCTAAGCACGACTCCCCTAAATCGACGTGGACTTATTCGTGGTTCTGACATCGAGGGCCAACCAAGAGCTGCCGCCACACATGATGGCTTGGGCCATATAGGGGTCGACGAATCAGCTTCAGCTCAAAGGACTATAATAGAACCCGAGAATTCCAGCCCCGGTCAAAGAAGCCCAAGTAATAACGGCGAACGGCATACGCCATTAGCAGACAATCGTGGGCGTGTTTCTATTGCTTCCACATCACCTTGAACTAATCAAGCACACGTTAAGGATCTTAAGTCAATAAAAATCCTAGGGCATGTTCCTAAAATACTAATAAGACTAGGAGGCGATTATAGATGTCCTAGACTGTCGGCAGCAGGCGTAGTTATCGTCGTGTCGTAGCAAAGAGAGATTATATAGAAGACCGGATGGATTATAGTGATGATGAGGACGTGCTAGTACGCAAGCGTTATAAAGCTGCGGCCCCGGCTCGCAGGCAGCGCGATCAGGTTGTGAATCCTCGACAGCCTCCGAGACCCCAATCACGCCGTGCCCGGAGGCAAAAGGGCAACAGCGACATCGTCTCGTCTTTAAATAGCGAGGCTGCTAGCCTAGCAAGCTACGAGGAATAGCCCCTTCTCGATGCGGTGCTAAAGTGCGCCCGAGATAACGGTACGGCAACGTTTTAGCTATAGTTTATATAGGCTACCTCGTATATAGCATACGCTAGCTCGAAAGTCCTCGGCCCTAGTCTCGCAATTCTAATAAAGAGAAATAGGTCGTCCGTAGAAGGTAGCTTAGAAGA